CAGGCCTGGGGGAGACCAGGGCAGAGGGGCAGGCAGAAGGCTGAGTCCTGGGACCTACGGGCCGCCACGGGCCCTAGAAGAGGCCAGGCCTGGGGGAGACCAGGGCAGAGGGGCAGAAGGCTGAGTCCTGGGACCTATGGGGCCGCCACGGGCCCTAGGAAGAGGCCAGGCCTGGGGGAGACCAGGGCAGAGGGGCAGGCAGAAGGCTGAGTCCTGGGACCTATGGGGCCGCCACGGGCCCTAGGAAGAGGCCAGGCCTGGGGGAGACCAGGGCAGAGGGGCAGAAGGCTGAGTCCTGGGACCTACGGGGCCGCCACGGGCCCTAGAAGAGGCCAGGCCTGGGGGAGACCAGGGCAGAGGGGCAGAAGACTGAGTCCTGGGACCTACGGGGCCGCCACGGGCCCTAGAAGAGGCCAGGCCTGGGGGAGACCAGGGCAGAGGGGCAGAAGACTGAGTCCTGGGACCTACGGGGCCGCCACGGGCCCTAGGAAGAGGCCAGGCCTGGGGGAGACCAGGGCAGAGGGGCAGGCAGAAGGCTGAGTCCTGGGACCTACGGGCCGCCACGGGCCCTAGAAGAGGCCAGGCCTGGGGGAGACCAGGGCAGAGGGGCAGAAGGCTGAGTCCTGGGACCTACGGGGCCGCCACCGGCCCTAGGAAGAGGCCTCGGGCTCCGGCCCACTGGGGAGCGACGCTGGAGGGCAGCCCCCAACCCGGGGGGCCGCTAACGCTGCCACGTAAAGCACCAGAGGCTCTGGAAGAGGGACGCGGTAGGGCCCGGCGGCAGGCGGTGGTCTCCCCACCCGGAGGCCCAGCCCCAAGGACGGCGGACTGGGAACGCCACCCGGAAAGCCCACGCAGAGGAACGGCGGGCCTGTCGTCAAGCCTCGGGCACCTCACGCCCCCTCGGCTGACGGCCGCCCAGCGAGGCCACGCGGCGGCGAGCCAAAGCGCTGGCCCCGGGCACCGACACCCGGCGGGGGCCGGGGCCGACGCCGAGCAGGCAGGCACCCCGTGCCTGGGAGGCAGCCCTGGGCAGGGTTCCTCACCCGGGGAGCGCGCGCGCCCCGGCCGGCCAAGTCCAGCAGCCACGGTGCGGGAACCTCGGCTGCGGGCGGCCGTGCGCTCCCAGGGGCGCCGCGGACCCCGCGGACCGAGGCGGCGCGCCCCCGCGAAGGCCGCTGCGGACGGGGCCCGCGGCGCGCAGCGGGAGGAGGGGTCGGCACCCCCCACCCCGCGGCCAGGGCGTCGTCGGGGGCAGCGGTGCTTGCGCGGCCACGGCGCGCACCACGGCGCGGGCGGCGCGGAACGGGTGCCCGAGACCCAGCGCCGCGCTCCGGGGGGCGAGTGACATCAGCCGCGTCCAGGCGGGCCCGCGCCCCGCGCCCCGACTTTCCGCTGCGCGCAAACTTTGGCAGAGGCCCCGGCCCCGGGGGCGCCGGGGGCCGGAGACCCCCGCCCGCCGCGGCCCGCCGCCCACGCGGGGCTGCCGTCCAGCTGGGCGCCCCCGCCGCCCGGACCGACGCGGAGAGCGGCGGCCCCGCGCGCCCGCACCCCGCGGGGGGACCCCGGCGCCGTCGCGGGGCGCGCAGCAGGGCGCGGGCGCGGGGGCAGGACGGCGGCGGGCGCCGGGGCGGCCATGTCGCGACAGGCGGCGGTGTCGCCGGGACGGGTGGCGGCGGCGCTTGGGGAGGAGGGGAAGGGGTCCGGCCCAGTCGAGCCTGACGCTCTCACCACAGGAGCTGGCGCCGCCGCTGAGGAGCGTATCGCGACAGGCGGGGGAGGCGAGCGCCCGCCGCCTTTTTCTCGCGCCCCGGGCCCGGGCGCTATCGCGATAGCGGCGCGAAGCGGAAGTGGGGTGGGGGGAAGTGGGCCCGGGGTTGTTCTGACGACGGGGTCGGGGCTCAAGGGAGGCCGCGGCGTCTGCCGATGGCTCCGCGGAAGCTGACCGGGCCCGGTCCAAGATGGCGGCGGTGGAGGAGGCCTCCCCTCCTCTCTTCTCGTCTCTGGCGCCGGCCCGCCCCCGAGCCCCGAACATAGGCCTGTGATTGCTCCTGCGGCATGTCGCTCTTGCCCCCTCGGGCGCACCCCATTGGTCCCTGGCGGGGATGCAGCCGGCCTCCTCTCGCCGGTTGGGCAATCCCTCCAAGGCGCGGCGTTTGATTGGCCTCCCGCGCAGGCTGCTAGGATTGGCTCAGGTTTTCCTCCCCGCTCCTCCTCCTCCCCGCCTCAGGGTACAACACGCCAGCGCGAGGGCCCGTGCATCAATCAAGAGGCCACTGCCGTGCTGATTGGATACACCCGTCCCCCTTCTCCTAAACCAATTGGCCGGGGGGAGGAGCTAGGCTGACCAGGGGCGGGAGGTCGTTCGTCAAGTTTAGAGCCGTTTTTAATTGGTTGTGAGGGGATAGTCCACCCTGAAGCCATTGGTTGGGCCCGGAAGTGGGTGGGGAAAGCGGAGGAAGGCATGGAGCGTGGGCGTGAAGGGCCGCTCACCTGATGAGAGGCGGACAGGTGCCTTCCGAGCGCGGGCGCAGCCGGGGTCGCCTGCCAATCGACGAGGGGAGGAGCCGCCCCCTCGTTGGCCCCGCCTGGTGTCGTTCACCCCGGCCGGTCCGGGGGCGCAGCGAGGGGGCGGCACCCGCCTGCGGAGCCTGTGAAACGGGGCGTAGCCAGCGGGCTCGGGTCCGCCTGCCCCGGCTGCGTCGCGTTCCTGCAGCTGCCCGCGTTCGGCACGGGTCTGGGGCCCGGTGTTGCGGAAGGGAGGAAGCAGGCGGTGGGCAGCGCCCCAAGTCACCGGCCCCTCGCACGCCCGCGGGGTGGGGAGGGACGCATGGACCGTCCGTCCTGCCCCCGCCCGGGACAGCAGCTCTCCCCTGCACGTCCGCTTCCGAGGGCACTCGGGGGATGACCCTGTCCCCTCCCGCTCTCCCACTTCGGCACGTCTGCCCTTCCGGACTTGGCACCCGCAGGAGCACAGCAGCTGTGCTTATGAATGAACGAGCGAGCGAGTGAACGCGAGGGATGACTCGTGGTCCAAGACTCGGGAGGCACGGGTGCTTTCACGAACCGCGAGGCATTTGCTCAGGGTCAGACGGTCAAGATGGGAAGGTGGATCCAGGGACGGTGCAAGTGAGCGCCGCATCCGAATCGCAGGGCAAGGGAGCGGAAAGGTTTTTAGGTCCACGCAGACCTGCGGAGTGAAGCCTGGAGGTCTGCACTTTGACACACTTGCCTGCGTGATCCCCATGCTCACTGGAGTTGGAGAGTCACTCATCTGGAGCCACGCTCCTCGAAGTGCGGACCCTGGATGGGGCAGTGCCTCTCGGACACCCGGGAACTATTTGAAGGCTTGTTAAAATGCAGATTCTGATTCCGGAGTTCCCAGGTTCTGCTTTTTTGACAAGTTCCCAGGTGATGCTGATGCTCCACAGTTGGCACTTTGAGTAACAAGGATTCAGAGCAATCAATGGTTCTCACACTTGGCCGCACATTAGACTCACCTGGGTGGCTTGAAAGAAAAAAATCCAGATACTCAGTCTTTTACCCTAGACCACTAAAATCTGAATTTCTGGGGATGGGAACCAGGCAGTAATTTTTAAATCTACTGAGATGATTCCAACAGGCAGCTCATCTGATACAGAGAATTTTCTAGAAGTGGTTCTCAAAGTGAGGTTATCAATCAGCAGCCAAAACATCACCTGGGAACTTACTAGAAATGTACACTTTTGAGTTCCCACCCTAGACCAACTGAAGCAGAAACCCTGGGCCCTGCAACCCTGGTTTTAACAAGCCACCCAGGTAATTCTGAAGCATTCTAAGCTTTGAGCATCTCTGTTCTAAGATTCTGCAGGACTGCAGCACGAGGTGAGTCAGATCCCCTCTGACTCCGGCCAGGGAGGTGGAGGTTCTGAAGAGGGGCAGACAGAGCACCCTTCCCCGGCAGACTCAGCAGCAGAGATCAGCCAAGTTCGTCACTTTTCAACAGGGCTGATTTAAAGGCTTAGGAATAAAGCTGGGGAAACCGAGTTCAGTGACCTGGGGCAGTGTAGCCATTAGAAGGAATGTGATGTGAGGGGAGAGATTCAGAGAGCTGCTGAGGTCCACAGAGTGAGCCCTGAACGGAGACATACTTGGAGCAAGTATGGCAGGGGCGGCCCAGAAAGAGGAACTGAGGAGATATGTCAGACAGGACCCAGCCAGCCAGAGCCCCAAGGAGAAAGTGTGAACTGGAGGGTGGGAGACGGGCAGAGGTAGGAGGCATCCCCTTCCTACAGGGTGGGTTGTGCACCCACCTCCTGGGTTACTAAGAGGGGCACTGACTGACCTCACAGGTCAGTGACCAGGGCTCCCTCCCCAGTGCACTGTGAAGCCCAGCTCCAGAGCACAGCACATGGGCCCCCAGGTGGCGTCTTCCTTAATTAGTGCTTGCAGGGTAGCCCCAGGGACGGCCCCTGCCCACAGCCTTGTCCCCACCTGCCTGCAGGCTGCGTGTCCTCAGCCTGCACCTTCCAGCCAAAGTGAAGGGGACCTTGGCTGAGCCCCAGTTCCAGGACAGACTGACCTGGGAGGAACTCTGAGAACACTGCGTCCTGGCCGGCAGGGAGCCTGTCTGCTCAGCCCCATCAGGGCTTGGCACAGCAGGGTGGGCAGGGAGCCCAACGCTAGGCACGTCCCGGGCACCTTTCCCGTCCTCACAGGTGGCCCTCGGCGTTCGGGGTGGAGGCTTGGAAAGGCGAGGCCACTCACCGGACACCACAGCCACGCAGGTTGGCCTGTTCGCAAGGCTGGGGCTTTCAGCGGCCACATCCCTTGGTCAGAACGACTGACGTTCTCCAGGTGGACTGGAGACACAGCGGGCTCTGCTCTTCCTGGGATCCATGACAGGGAAGAGAAAGGCCAGGGATGGGCCCAGACACCACCTGGATCTGTGCCCCCAAACCCCACAGCTCAGACTCCTCCAGTCACACGTGTTTGACAAATAACCACTCCCCAGGAACAGAACCTGATAATGTGCTTTTAATGGCACTTTTTCAAAAGTATCTCCCTTCCTAGTTAAAATACAAAAGAGGAGGCATGGTGAAGACTGGCTCTGCCCCCCTGCAATGGGGAGCGATCTTGGTGCTTGGGGGGCTGGGCCTCCTCCCGAGCCTCCCCGGACAGTCCTGGCACCGGGCTGAGGACGGAACCTCCCAGCCCTATCCTGACCCCGATCCCTGCAGAAGGGTGGGGCCTGTGCAGCTTCAGGGGCAGCCGCCCAGGGCGCAGTGCCTCAGGTGGACATGATGCCGCTCTTCTCGCCCTTGACTTTGAGGAACTCGGCCATGCTGGAGAAATACTTCTGGTTGGCCTCAGCCACCTTCTTCTCGGCTGCTTGCGGGTTCACAATTTCCAGGCCCTGGGCAGGTGAGGGAGGTGATGATGGGGTGGGGAGATGGGCTGGCCCCTGACAAGGCCCCCCACCCAAGTAAGAGAAGTGTGAAATGTCCAGGAGACCCTTCTCAATGGTCCTCGGGCTCCAGGTAGACATGAGAACAGTTTAGCAGTCACCAAACCACCCCCACCCCAAACCTGGGAGATTCTGACTCTGTGGGTCTGGGATGGGGGAAGAGTGGGGAGGACCTAAGCATCTGAATTTTTAACAGGTCCTCCAGGCGATTTTAAAAACAGCAATGTTTCAGAACAGCCAACCAAGGAAACCAAGTCACAGAGCTGAGCGGCTCGCCTGCGGCCCTAGTGCAAACCGTATCAACCCTCTGGTGACACAGAGACCAGCTCTGGGGGCCCCACACTGGCTGGCACCATTGCCAGTATCTTCCACGGGTAACTCTCACCTCCTCGCCGAGGCCTCCCTGGGCAGCTCCAACCCAACACCTCGCTCCCTCTCCCCCTTTCCTCCCTGCACTTTGCACCTTCCACTTTCCGGCAGACTCTCCACCGTACCTATCTGACCCCGCCATCCCATAAGCTCCGTGAGAGCAAGGCTTACTGTCCGTGCCTGGGGCTCTATCCCGGCGCCTGCAGCAGTGCTCGGCACTCGGGGGCTCAGTACACCCTCGCTGACGGAGCAAATGAGTTCAGTTACTCGGCACAATGCCGTGGGACACGCTGGCCCTCCTGTGTGGGTGAGCCGAGGAGGACAGGTGCGGTGGCTCCATCCGGTGCCTCGGTGGCTGGGTCCCAGCCAGCTAGCTATGAACTTCCTTACGTGGAGCCCTGAGGTGGTCCCCACCACCCAGCACCCCAGGGTGGGCTGAGCCGGCTCGAGGTCACAGGGGGTAAGTGGTCACCTGCAGGCCCAGCCCAATCCTAAAGCCGGCTGTGCTTTGCAGGCACGACGGTTTCCCTTCTGTCCCCACGAGCCTGAGCACCAGGAACCGCGCTCTGCCTTCCAGGGGCGTCCCTGATACACTGTCCCCAACAGCCCCGTGAGGAACTCCGTCATGTGCCCGCTTCCCAGGCTAAGAAGCTGGAGCCCAGGGAGAGGAAGGGGCTCGCCCAGGGCCACGCAGAGAGCTGGGAGCGGAGCCAGTGCAGAACCGGGCCTCCCGACTCCAGCGCACAGTACCTGGAGTGGGGTGAAGGCCACACTGGAGGCGGTCCCCGAGGAGCGGTCACGGATGGTGGACTTCCCGCCGTACACCACGCTCTGCTTCTGCAGCGTCCGCTGTGGGGGGAGGCGGGGACGGGATGTCTGGGCTGGGCCCGGGCTCTCCCAGCAGAGCTCCCTCACCCCCGGCCCCACCCGGCCAGGCCCGTACCTGCAGCGTCTTGGAGATCCTGGCTTTGGTGGCCTCGTTCACCTGAGTCTGCCGCACACGCCCGCTGCCCGATTTGCCCAGATGGCCCAGGCTGAAGCCCAGGTCCTCTTGGTAGGCGTCCTCCTCAATCTGGTGGGAGGGAAGGTATCCCAGAGTTGGCCACCCTCCATCAGCCAGATGCCCAGGCATTCACCCGATTCAGGTGCCTGCTGGGCCCGGTGAGGAGCGCAGGCCTGTTACCGCTCCCTGAGCTTACAGCTGAGAGGGGCTGCGTGTGGGTCTGTGTGTGTGCGGGGCCAACAACCAAAACTGGGCTCACTGACGAAAGGACATTTGAGTTAGTTCTTGCAGGACCGCAGGATGATGCTCAGACAGTGAGACCGGCAGAGGTGAAGCCTGGGGAAGGGCGTGTACAGGACGGCAAGGCTGGGGAGGGATGGGGCCAGCACTGAGTGCTACGCTGGTCCCTTTGGGGCGCATGGATGTGGGGGAGAGACGAGGTGGGTGGTGCCCCAGCACAGAGAAGAAGAAATGCGAAAGGAGCCTCAGGGTTAAGGGTGTAACCTCTCCGAAGCTCATGCGGTTGGCCTGCTTCCGGATCTCGGTCAGTCCCAGGCGCTCCTTCATCTTGCGGTACCTGGGGATGGGCGCCGGGGGTCAGCTGGGGGCAGGAGCCCCTCCCTTCCCTTCCCAAGCCCACCGGCCCCCAGGGCCCACCTGCGGCCGCCTCGCTTCTTGCGCTGTCCGTCGAGGGGGGCAGGCAGTGGCTTCACCTGCTTCACAGGCGGCGGCTCCTGCCACTTGTCAAACTTCCGCTCGATCTCATCCTTCAGTTCATAGCCCACCTGGGGAGGGCAGGAGGGTCCCCTCAGGGCCCTGCCTGGCCATCGGCCTGAGCGCAGCGCCTGTCCCCAGGCCTGGGGGGCCTATCCTCTGTCAGGGTTTAGTCCCAACTCAGACTCAGACCTCTCCCTGCACCCCTCACATAACTGTCTCCTTGACGGAGGATGCGAGCAGCCCCCCAAATGCAACAGGGCCAAACCCAATGCCTGCGTCTCCTCCCCAGCCTTCGGCCTTGGCCTGCACAGGTGGGCAGAGGGGGTCACCTGGGAGCCTCACCTCTGTGGTCTCGGCCCCACCAGGCTCTTCCTTCAGGAAAGACCCCAAATCAGCCCCCCATCAGCACCTCTGTTGCACCAAGGTCTCTCCAGGACACACAGGCTCTGCATGACCTGCCCCGTCCCACGGCCTCCTCTCCTTAGCTTGCTGTGTGCCAGGCTCAGGGCCTTTGCGCTGGCCATTTCCTCTTCCTGGGACTCTTCCCCCAAGCACTCACTTGACCTGCTTGCTAGCTTCACTTGGGTGCACGCTAGACTGTCACCTTTTCAGAGAAGCCCCCCTGACGTCCTGGTTAAACCAGCACCCTCCCTCCCTCGCCAGCCCAGCACCGTCTGACCCCATCTCAGCATTTACGTAGCACCCCTGGACACACCACAGATGTCTCGTCTCCTCACCGCCCCCCGCCTCCCCTGCCAGAACGTGAATGCCACAGAGGCAGGGCTTCGGTCTGAGTGGCTCACAGCTGTCCCCCCAGCACCCTAACCAGTGGTCGAGAGAGAGGAAGAGGAAGAAAGAGAGAGAGAGATGAAGCCCCGAACGCTGTGCCAGGCTGGGTGTCTGGACGCCAATAGGCGAGATAGAAAACACACCCACTTTCATGGATCAAGGCTGCCAAGAAGACAGAGGTAAACTGAACAAAGACAAGGCTGGTAGAGGAGACAGACCCACACAGACGGACGCCTGCCCACACCTCACCTTCCCTTCCGTGCTCTCGTGGAAACTGTCCACGCGAGCTGCCAGCGTGCACTTGGCGGCCACCAGCCGGGCCGCTTTCCGCCGGAGATCCTGAAGCAGCAGAGAGGGGGCAGAGTCCATAGGAGGCTTCCTCGGCCAGCACCGAGCATTCCCCAAACCGCAGCCGCCACCGGCTCACTTTCTGCCGGTCAGCGGCTCACCATTCCCACTACGTGTTGCCGTAATAGCGTGTTACGGCAACAGACCATCACTGTCACGGTTTTCTTTCCACCAGCTTATTAACAACTCGAACCCATTTGCGCAGACAGATGCATTACTGCAGGTGGAACACCATCACGTGCCAAAAACAATCATTAAGACAGAAAACATCCATCTGTGTTTCAGAAAGGACGGTGGCCCACGTTCTGAGATACACCAAGACGGTACACGTAACCCCCAGCCCCACATCTAACTGATAACGATAACGACGTTAGCAGTGACTGCATGTAACCTTGCCCTAAGAGGTCCGCCCTCGGCCCTCACCCCCCGGGTGGTGATCTCTGCTGGCCTGGGGGGCCTTGGACAAGGCAGAGACCAACCATGGGATTGAGGGTGGGGGTCTTTGGGTTACAGGGTCTCAACCTGGAGCCCAGATCAGCCACCTGGGCTACCTGGTCACATCCGCACAACTGAGCCCCAGTGCAGACTCCGAACTTCGAGGCTCAGCTGGGCTTCCCTGGGGGCGGGTCCCCCTGCAGGCTGTCACGTATGGAGGCCACGAGTGATGTGTCCTGACAGGGAGAGGAGGACTGGAACAGCGGTGGCTGGCAACTCTGGCCCCTGCCCCACACACTTCCTTCCGTGGCCGATGTGAGCCTGTCCTTTCACAACGACACACCATAACCCGAGTGGGTCAGCTTGGAGTCTGTACGTCCCTCTAGTGGGTTGCTGAACCTGAGAATGGTTTGGGGACTCCTGCACTTGTAAGCTAATGCTGACGTCACTTGTTACGTACAACTGGGACGTGAAAGAGTTTCATATATAGGAATCCTAATCTTAATCTAACCCCATGAAGCAGATCCCATTCTCCCCACTTCACAGACAGGCACACTGAGGCACAGAGCTCCCGCCTCCTGCCCAGTTGTCAAGTGCAGCTCTAGAACCCCAACCCCAGCACATGTGCTCCAGGGTCCTTGTTCTGATGCCCCATGTGACCCTGTTCTCTGAGCTCCTGACCACGGTCATTAGCTAGGGCCAATGGGAACTGAGGCACAGAGGGGGCTACTTGCTCTCTGGACGAGGCTGCGCCTGGCTCTGCAGAAGGCTCCACGGGGAGCCACGTGCCAGGTACGGGGGTGGGGGTGGGGGGCGACGACTCACCGGGGGCAGCGACTGCACAATGTCGCTGTGGTAGATGTAACCGGTGTGGGGCAGCACAGACGTGGACGAGAAGCCGGACAGCGTCTTTCGCTGGGCCCCAAGCAGCATGATGTTGCAGGCAGGCATCTTGGAGAGGTTGGTCAGGCCCCCAGCCACCCCTGCAACAGGAGGGAGGGAAGGAAGGAGGGACAGAGGGAGGATGTCAAGAGCAGCCCAGGGTGTTTGCCTGGGGGCTCACTGCGTGCTGTGTGTCTCTGTGTGAATTTCTGGTTGAATTCCTGAGCTGGCCCCGCCCCAGAGGGCTGACGAATCCCGTTTCGGAGGGAGGATTCAGAGGCGGCTCAGAGAGGTGAAACCACCTGCCTGAGGACACACAGCGAGGAGACGACCCAACAGGAATGTCTCCCCTGAGTCTGCAGAGCCACACGGCCCCTGCTCTGTGCGTCTCACACCAGCTGCCTCCACAGCGGGGACGCCCTGAGGACGGGGCTGCCGTCAGTCACCGCTGGGCTCGCGTGAGCACGTCTGCAGGCCCGGGGAAGAGGGGCTGCAGGTAAAAAGGCCTCTCTGATGGGGGTCTGCTGTGCGCCAGGCCCTGCGCTGGGACACACGCCTCCCGCACAGGCACCGCAACCCGTGTGCGAGAACGGCCCCCACACGCTGACATCACGATCCCCGCAACCTGCAACCCTCTGCAGATGTGGACACGCTAAGGACCTTGAGACGGGGTAAGTGGAAGAGAAAGGGGAGTCACAGGGAGGTGAGACAGGAGACTTTAAGATGGGGGATGCAGGCGGCCTCTGGGAGCTGGAGAAGGCCAGAACGGATCCTTCCTAGAAGCTCCGTAAATATAAAGGAACGCAGGAACTGGCCGACACCCTGATTTCAGCCCAGCAGTCACAGGACAGTAGCAAAGCCCTATCACCACTGGGGAAACCGAGGCACACGACGTCACCTGCCCAAAGACGTGAGGTCAGTGAGGGGGGAAGGAAGACCCACACTTGAGATTATCTTGCCCTGAAACCACTGCTTCTTTCTACCCTGCAACTCTGCACGCACCTGCCACCCAGGGCTGTGCTGGGGCCTGGACTGGATCTCCCGCCATTCCTACGTCGGAGCCCTACCCCCCAGGACCGCAGAACGGGACTGTGTTGGGAAATGGGCCTTGAAAGAGGTGATTAAAGTGGAAGGACGTCATCGGAGGGGCCCTGATCCAGTACGACCGGCGTCCTCGTAAGAAGAGATGAGGCCACAGACGGCCACCTACAAGCCAAGGAGAGAGGCCTCCGCAGGGCCCAGCCTGCTGACCGGCTGCTCCCGGACTCCCAGCCTCCAGGACTGTGTGACAGTGAACCTCAGTGTCTTAGTCCCCCGCTGCCCGCCGCCCGTCTGTGGTACTTGGTTAGGGCAGCCCGAACAACCCAGCACAGCTGCTTCATCGAACTCCCCCGAAGAGTCTCTCGGCTGAAGGGGCGAGGAGCCCAAGAGGGCGCTGAGACTGCAGGGGGTGGAGGAGGAGGGCCCACCCTCAGTCCTAACTCATCGCCAGGACTGCAGCCCCCATCTCGCGGATGAGACGCGGTCCTGAGAGCCGACGCTGCTGGGGCCGGCAGCCCAGGCGTCTGCGCAGAGCTGGGAGCTGCCGGGACGTGCTGGCCAAGCGGGGCCAGGCCCTCCAGCAGCCGTGCTACCTCCCTCTCCAGCCTGTCCAGTCCAGCCCGGCTCAGGGCTACCACCCCGTCCCTGTGCTGCAGGAAAAGCAGGGTGGCTGACCTCTGTGATCTCCAGGAGGGAGGACGGGGCGAGGGCAAGGGGGACAGGGTGCTGGGGCCCTGGGCCAAAGGCTCCGTCTCAGACAGGAGGGATGAGGCTTCCCCAAGGGCGCCCTATCCAAGGATGGCCCTCTGTCCCCACTCTGCCCCCGGGCCTCACCCATGATCTTGGCGGCCGTGGATGCCCCGATGATGATGGAGAGGTTGGGTGCGATGAAGGACATCCGAGACTCCACGTACTCGTAGATGCGGTGCTTGGAGGCGTTCAGCTCTAGCGCCATGTCGCAGGCCTCCTCCAGCCGCTCCAGCCCCTCCTCCGACAGCTGCTGCCTGCAGTGGGGAAGGACGTGAAGGGGTATGGGTCGGACGCCGGCCCCTCCGGGGTCGCCTCTCTGACCGGCACGGAAGCCCGTGTCCCCCCAGCTGTGTGCACGTCCGTATACACGTGTGTCCCATCGGCCCTGAGGCCTGGAAGCGAGGGCTGTGGGAATCCTAGTTCTGGGTGGGCACGGCGCTTGCCGCCTGGACTGGGGCCTTGCCTGCCCACGCCGGTGTCTGCCAGGTCGAGCTGGCGTCGAAGCCTCTGCCCATGTGCCCCCGTCAGCACCTCCTCATCCTTCAGGTCTCAGCCTTGCCGGCCACCGAGGCCCACTGTCACCAGCTGCGACCAACTGTGCCTATTTATGGCCTCTCCATGTCCCGCCCCCTTCTGGTGTGGGACCAGCCGGCCCTGGAGGGACCCACACTCGTCTGACTCTCAGCAGCATGGAAGATGCTGGGCAAGTACTTGTGGCCTGAAGCCGCAAGGGGGGATGTTATCACTGTCGTTTTACAGAGGGGGGACCCGAGGGCCAGATGGTGAAGGGGCCTGGCCTGAAGCCACAGTGCTGGTAACCAAACCCAGCCATGCCCCTCCCTCCTTCACCCCATCTGCGCTGTAAGGCGCACAGAGGAGGGACCACGGGGCCGGCCGGGGGCCCCTGCAACCAAAGCCCAGTGGGCTGATGCCCAAGGCTGCCCCCAGCAGGGGCAAGCTAAGAGCCCCCTTGTGGTCCCACTACAGAGCTCGGTCCCTGCCTGAGGCTGAGTCGTCACCTCCTCCAGGGAGCCACCCGGCCCAGTAGGACAGGTGCCCCTCCTCTTGCGCTCCATGCCCCGCGGCACCCCGCCTGCACTCCGACACTCGCCCTCCAGCCTTCGACCTGTGTGTGCACCTGCTTCCTCCCAGACGGGAGCTTGGGCCGGGCAGGGCAGGGCAGGCAGACTCTGCTTTGCTGAGTTCTCTAATCTGCCCTCAGAACAGTGCCTGGTGTTGGTCAGCATTTACTCGATGAACAGAATGGCAGCCCAAGGGAGGTCTCCACTCCACAGGACTTTGCTCTGGGGTTACAGACATTCCTTCCTCTTAGGCACAGATACCAGAGGGAAAGGGGCAGACCAAGGGGCCAACATGACGTCCCTGCCTTCGCAGACATTTTCATTCCAGTGAGGGACAACACGCCAGAGACAAACGCTTCCACTACAGGTCTGCCCTCTGCCTCACCGCTCCCGCCTACAGGCTCCTCACTGACTGAGCATCCTGGGCCCAGCACGGTGCCTGGCTTACAGCAGGCCCTCATCACACACGTGTGGAACAGAAATGAACTGTCCTCCTGAGACGGACACCTGGGCCATGGGCACCCCAAGATCCTCATCTGCAATTAGATGGGCCTGAGAGGGCCCCAGTGACTTCTCCCCCTGTACACACACCCCTGTGTGGTGGAGGCGGTCACGCTGACGACCATGATGGTGGCGTTGGTCAGGATCTGCTGGAGGTTCTCGTTGTTCTTGCACTTGTCCAGGCTGTTACCCAGCTCCTGGGGGCAAGAAGGCAAGAGAGGGGAGGCACAGAGACTCGGGGACAGCTGATGTCTATACACAGGGTGCCCGCCTCCTCCCAGTGCCGGGGACTTCACCGCTCAGAGCATCGGCAGCATCTGCCCTGCACGGCTGGTCCAGAACTGGACCCGGGTAGACCCGCTGCCTGCACCAACTCAGGGCGCAAATCTGACCACACCACTTCCCTGCGAGTACACCCCCTGCCACCATCCTCACCTCCTGGCCTCACCAGGAGACTCCTCACTACTGTCCCCACCCTCACTAGCACCTGACCCTCTCATGGCTTTCCCAGAAGGCCCAAAGCCTTGGAGGTCACATGGGACCCAAACTCGTCAACTTTGCCCCTCACTTCCTCCTTTCTGAACACACCAGGGCTGGAGACCATCTCAGGGTCTCGATACTCATGACTTCTTCCCCCAAATCTCTGCACGGCTGCCCCTGCGTCAACCTTCAGATCTCGACTCAAATGTCACCTGGTCCAACCACTGTTAGTGGCATGAGGGACCCCCTCATCTCCCTCCCTGCTTTCTCGGCCTCGAGCAGCCCCCAGCCCCTCCTGGGAGACCCATCCAGGGAAGCAGCAGGATCGGAGGTGGGGCAGAAGAGCCCTGAGAACATCCTTTCCAGGCTCCATCCCTTTCTTGCTGGAAAGCCTGGAGCAGCTGAACCACCACTCATCCTCCTCCAGTATCTCCAGGCCTCAAGAGAACAAGGAAGGCAGCTGAGACTCGGGCATCCTCACTCTGGGTCATTCACCTGCTCCCTGCCACCCCCCCACCCCCGCCGCCTTCACACGAGGGGCCATCAAGGGGACTCGGTTCCTCCCGAGTCCTGACCTCTCTCCACTCACCTTGACCGTGCGGATGTAATCCAGTGCGTTGGGGACCAAGGACTCCAGCTCAGGGAAGCGCTTTGAGTACTTATCCCGGATGAACTTATGGATGATGTCTAAGGCACACGGGGAGGACCGATATCTGATGAGTGGGCAGGCAGACTCTGCTGGCTGTCCCCAGCACCCATCTCCCCTTCCTCCTTTAGTAACCGAACCCCTTTAGTAACTGAACCCCAATCAGCTGGGCTCATAGACATGCAGCAAAAAAGCTCTGTTTCCCTGCTGCCCATACGGCTGGATGTGGCCACGTGAGTTTGTTCTGGTCTATGAGATGTGTTCTCAAGTGACACTTGCAATTTCCAGGTCACTCCCTTAAAGAACTGTGCCCTCCTCTTCTTTCCCGTTTTACTAGCAGGGATGTGGAGGTGATGGCTAGAGGCTGACAGTCACTTTGTACCCTGACACATGCAGCAGGTCAACAAGATAGAAAGCGCCTCACCCAGACTCTCACATTAGAGGAAAGCACTCTTCCTTCTTATTTAAGCCACTCTGTTACAGCAGCTGAACCTGGATTTGAACTAGTATGAGGAGTTTGGGGGAAGGCCAGCGGGATCCTGCCTGTCCCCTCCTTGGGGACGGGGGAGGAGGGTGTGAGGGACACCAGGCAGAGCCGTCTCTGCTCGCCTTCCCAGCACTCACTCAGTTCGTTCTCGATCTCCACGGTCAGGTTGTTCGCATCCACGATGACCCGGTATTCGGGGGCCGCCTCGACTGGTCCCATCACTGTAAGGATGACAAACCAGCCTGGGTGGGTGGGTGTGTGTCTAGGCTCCCACAGCTGGGGGAGTCACGGGGCAGCGGGGTGTGGCTGGAGGGGACGTGGGGGCCAAGGAGAAAGCCTAGAGGTGGGCTTACATGTCAGCCCACCTGCCATCTCTCTCCCTCCAGGCCAGGCCACATATGACCCCATCTCGCTCCGGGACTAACCCCTCCAGGGGCTCCCCACACCACTGACGCTGAGGGTCAAGCTCCCCAGACGGGAAGCCCCGTGAGGACAGGGACTGCGTATGTCGCCCACAGCTATGCCCCCGGTGCCCAGAACAGCGCCTGGTTGGGTATGTGTCGACTGTCGGGCTCCACGGTCTGGCCTCTGCACCGTCCCAGCCCCACCCTCTCGAGACGCCTCTGTCTTACACAGGCCAGCCAGGAAGGACTGGCTGCAGCGCCCGAGCACTCAGAGCCGCTTCACTCTCCTCTGGGCCTCTGCATACGCTGTTCCCCTCCCTGGCACGTCCCTTCCTCACACCTGTTTCTGAAGTTCCTCCCCAGGTTGTAACGATCATGACGACGACGACGACACTGAGGACGTTATCACAAGCCGTAGGCGCAGCGGCCGACACACAGGACGTACCATGTGGGCCACTGCTCCTGGAGCCTCCCAGGTATTGCCCTGTTTTCCCACAACCACCCAGGGAGGCTGGCCTTGCACGAGACCAGTGACGCAGAAAGAGAAACGGAGGCACGTGGCCTGATGCAGACGGCAGAGCTGAGATCTGGCCCCGGGGTCCTCTTTTTTTTTTTTTTAAGATTTTATTTATTTATTTGCGGAGAGAGGGAGAGGGAGAGTACCAGCAGGGGAAGTGGCAGGCAGAGGGAGAAGCGATGTGGGGCTCGATCCCAGGACCCCGAGATCATGACCTGAGCCGAAGGCAGATGCTTAACCATCTGAGCCACCCAGGCGCCCCTGGGGTCTGCATTCTTAACCCCGATGGCTCAAATGTCTCTGTGTCCTGAAGACTCAGAGGCACCTCGGGATCCTTCCCTCCTTTCAGGAGGCTCAGAGGTCTCCTCTGTGCTCCCAAGGCACTCTGGCCACATCCAGTAGACACAGCCGCCACCCAGACTGGCGATGTCCCGTGTCCGCTTCCCCGACCCCACACCAGGTGAGATCACGTCTGCCTGAACCCAGAGCCTGACCTGACATCCTCCGTTCCCCACAGCTCTCCCGATAGAGTAGCTCCCTGGCCTTGTGCTCAAAACCCCACAGGATCTAGCACTTTCTTCTGCCACCTCTGCCACTCCAGAGGTCTGAGGCTTCGCACACACAGCTCCCTCTCCCAGGGCACACGGCTGCTATTCTTGGCCTGGTGTATTCATGCTTCAAAGCCCATTTCAGCAATCAGCTCTTCCCAGCCTCTGAGGCAGGGTCAGCCCCCACCTAGCAGCTCCAGTGTCCCGCGCTCCCCCCACCCAGCAGGCACCGCCCACAACTGTCCAGACCTGGCCTGTCTGCTTCGCCAGACCCCGAGCATTCTGAGCCGAGACCTGGGCGGATTCCCCGGGGCACTCAGTGCCCACGCAGGCCTTCCACAGGGCGCCTCACGAAAACTTTAAAGGAAGGAAGGAAGAGTGGGTCTGCCTGCTCTGCCAACAAATTCCGGCCCAGAGCTCCACCCTGTCAAGAAGAATGGGTGGCAACAGGAGCGGCCTCCCAGAGCTGGGCTGAGTATTCAAGAGACAACCCAGCGTTCCTCAAAGCTGATGATCTGGTAACTGCACATCTTAGGGTTACTCTCCATTTACCAAATGACACCAGGTTTCCGCTCACAGTAGCAACAACTTTCCTTCTTCAGTAAATTGAAGGAAAAGAGTATGCTGACCTAAAGAAAACATGAAGTAAATAATAGAACAAGTGGTTCACAGATGTGGCAAGACCCTTAACCAGTCACATGAACTCCTGAAGCCTGAGCAGCCTTGGGGTGAGTCCCACTGCGGCTAGCAAGCACTCAGCACAGAGCACGGACTTCAGGGGTGTCAGTTTTACAACAGGATGTATTCTCAGGAGAGAAGACTGAGTTGGGATGGAAAAGAAAAAGAGGGCTCTCCAGAAGGCTGAGAGGCAACAGACCGAACTTTCAAAGCTGCAAGCAGCACAAGAGCCCAGGGGCTGGGTGGGCGAGGGGGAGTGGGAGGCGAGAGGTACCTTCTGAAGCCTTGGCCTGCTTGCTGATATACTCCTCAATCTTCATCATGATCTCAGCGAACTGTTCAGGAAAGACAGAGAGTTGGAACTCAGGACTCTTGAGGAAGAAGAGCGACCGCACGCATCACCCCTCCCGGCAGCTTCTCTTTACAGCCCGCTCACCATCTTGCTGTCCCACAGCTTGGCGATGCTCTTGACTGAATCCCCGGAAAGATCCAGCTGCGTCTCCTCCTGCACATCCTCGATTGCTGGCTCCTCTTCTTCCTCCCCATAGCTTCCTCCTTCCTCCTCCTCTGCCGCCTCCTCAAGGTCAGCCAGGAGCTCATCTGCCAGAGACATGCCGAGGCCTATGGGGAGGGAGAGCAGGGTCCCCCCTCGTTAATGAGAGGGGCTTCTCCCCCCAGAAGGGCCTGGTCCTTCTTGGATTGACCCCACAAGCATGCAGGCTCCATAAGGACAGGTGTTTTCATGTGCTTTGTTCTTCAGCCCAACTGTGCCTGGCACATAATAGGTGCTCAATAACTACCGAATCGCTCCGTGAACAAACCTCCCAGAAGCAGGTGGTCTCCGGTCATAGCTCACACCACTCACCCTTCTCACACTCCCTTTACTGGAAAAGACACAACACGCCCCTCATGCCGCCAAGCCTTAAAAAATCTACATCCTCCCCTTGATGAGATGGGACCTCTCCTCAGATCTTTTTTTGTCCTATAACAGAGACCCCTCCCCAAAATTGTTGAGCCCCAAATGAGTGACAGATAGCCTAAAATACTGATCTCCCCAGCCACGAGGGCAACCAGGCGGGGCCTAAAACACCTAGAGCCCCCAGGCTGATCCCCTCTGACCATGAGCAGCCTCCTCACGTACCTCAGATGCTGGACAAAATGAGTATTTTCTTTGAGTCCCATAAAGTGGAAAAGAACGAGAAGGACTACTCAGCAAGGTACCATACCATCCTCCCCACGGCTCTTACTTTTCAAAATGAGAAACCCGTCGTCCTCCTTCCTGTTCTTTCCCGTTTTCCGTAAGACAAATCCCCTTCCTCGTTTCCTTCCCTTCTACACCACCCTCCCTTGAAGCGTAAAAACAGAGACTTTGGCGCGGGTGATCTGTGGAGTGTAGCACGCTGGGGGCTGGGCAACAGGGAGAGCAGAGAACTCCCGGCCAACGTCAACGCGCAGTTTATGCGCAGCTGCAGACATGCCTTGCAAGTGGGATTGTCGCTTGTACGGTGCCAGGCTTTTTCTTTTCAAGAGAAGAGATTCAGAATCTTTACGCAGAATCTCTCCGTTTCAATGTTTCCTTGTAATCATTCAAATGGATAATTTAAAACTGAGGCTCCCTGCTCAGCGGGGAGCCTGTTTCTCCCTCTCCCTCTGCCCCTGCCCCCTTGTGGTCGCTTGCTCTCGCTCTCAAATAAAAGAAGGAAAGAGAGCTTCTCTTGTGCAGAGAAAGTGAAGAGGGTCTCCGTATGAGATCAGTTTCCCCTCACCCCCTCCTCTCTCCCTTGGGTGCGATATCCCCTTTGTTCCCACTTACCTGCGTGGTCTCACGTGTGCCTTTCCCTGAAACGCCCCTCCTCACTTTCCCCGCTGAGCAGGGAGGCCGATGCGGGGCTCGATCCCAGGACCCTGGGATCACGACCTGAGCTGAAGGCAGACACTTAACGACTGAGTCACCCAGGCGCCCCTCTTTCCTTACAGAGTATACCCCCCTCCCCATCCATATAAGACTTGGGTATCTCTGCATGTCCTCTCTGTTTCCCCACTCAACGGTCAGCAGACCTGGGCATCACATCTGTCTGTTCACAGCCACGTGCTCATCATCTAGCTCAATGTCTGGCACGTACTCGGTACTGAAAAATATACCCGCTAAACGAGGGGACGATCTTATCTAATCCCTACGCCGGCCACATCACGCTCTTTCTCCAGGTCTCTGAGTGTATTATTTTCCATCCCTCAGGCGGGAGCACAAACATAGTTTCCCGCAGCGTGCATCTCCGAGCCCCGGGCTAGGCCCTAAGCCGCTGTTAATGCATCTTAGGAGCCCTTTCGTTCATCCCAACACTTAAAGACTACCTGGATTTCTTTTTTTTTTTTTTTTTAAGATTTTTTATTTATTTATTTGACAGAGAGAATGAGAGAGAGAGCACATGAGAGGGGGGAGGGTCAGAGGCAGAAGCAGGCTCCTCGCTGAGCAGGGAGCCCGATGCGAGACTCGATCCCGGGACTCCAGGATCATGACCTGAGCCGAAGGCAGTCGCTTAACCGACTGAGCCACCCAGGCGCCCCAATAGGTCTTCTGGTTTTGTTTTGTTTTAAGATTTTATTTATTTATTTGAGAGAGAGAGAGAGCACATGAGAGGGGGGAGGGTCAGAGGCAGAAGCAGACTCCCCGCCGAGCAGGGAGCCCGATGCGGGACTCGATCCCGGGACTCCAGGATCACGACCTGAGCCGAAGGCAGACGCTTAACCAACTGAGCCACCCAGGCGCCCTATTTATTTATTTTAAAAATATTTTGTTTATCTGACAGAGAGAGAGAGCACAAGCAGGCAGACAGGCAGAGGGAGAGGGAGAAGCCAACTCCCCACCGAGCAGAGAGCCCTACAGGAGGCTTGATCCCAGGACCCCCGGATCATGACCTGAGCCGAAGGCAGTCGCTCAACCGACTGAGCCGCCCAGGCGCCCCAAGACTGCCTGGATTTCTAACATTTGCAAATGCCCGTCTTCCCCGTTAAGTGACGTTTCTGCAGGACCAGGGCCCGTACCCCTTGCTTCCCGGCTCACTATGCCCGCGATGAGCTCGCTCCGAGCCAGCCCGCCGCTCCGGCTGCAGCGCCGCCGGGACGCCCGTCGCCCTCCAGTCCTCACACTCCTTCCTCCCGCCCGAGCCCTCCTCAGCCCTCAGCTCCCCTCCCGCGCCCCTCCTGCACACGGGACGCGGCCCGCCACCCCGGGGCGCCCCGCCGCGCCCCGCGCATCCGCGATTACGTGACTACGTGATCACTACCTGACCAAGCCCGTCTCCCCAGGCACCAGGCACAGCGCTGAGCGGGCGGGGACCAGCGCCGGCTCCCGCCACACCGCCACAGCCCTGACGCTGTGGGGCACAGAGGACCCCTGCGTAACCAGTCTACCAAGGCTGCCCCTCTCCCTGCACACGCCCGCCCCCGGGCCCGGGGACCCGGCCCCCGCCCTCCCCTCGACTCCCTCACACGCACCTCTCCCCGCCTCTCACGACGGTGTCTAGGGAAAGTCGCTTCCAAACAGCGGTCGGCGCTCACTGATGACGTCTGAGTCTTGCGCCGGCGTCGCGGCCAAGCCGCGCTCTGATTGGCTCCCGCCCCTCGTCATTCCCGGCCGCCTTTGGAACAACAACTTTATTAGCTCCTGCCGCTACGCGCAGAAGCGGTAAGGAGGAGACGAGAGGGGACTTGTCGGCCTGCCGGCCTGCCAAGCACTAACCCTGCTAAGCGGGGAATCGCCTTAACCAGACGAGAAGGTGCGGAGACGAGAATAAAGACGCGGGCTACTCAGACGACTGGGGAAGGAGTGAGACGAGAAGGCAAGGCCTTTAAGCCGGGCGGGACTCGGGAGGGGAGGGGGAGGGGGTGGGCAGCGAGGCCGGAAGCCGGGAACTACCAGTCCCGAAAGGCGTAGCGGCTAAGTCCCGGATGCCGTGGCGTGAAGCCTGATGGGACGGGTAGTTTTGCGAAGGACTTAACGTAGAGGTTTGCGAGGTTGGACGGCCTGAGACCCGCGGCGCCCGGAGCGGGAGACATGGAACTGGAGCAGAGAGAGGGGTGAGTGGCTTTGGGGAAAACTACCACTCCCAAAAGGCATTGCGGCGCATCACGTATAGCCGTCTGCACTTTTACTTGAGGGCGGGTGGGGAGTGTAGTGCATGCAACTGCTTTCGTTCAGCGCTCTCAGGGACCAGGGTCTGTACTCGGGCATCCTGGGAGAGAAAGCTACGGGTTTGGAGTTCTGGATCTGAGAGATGACGAGGTTGGAGGCCCGGACTCCCGGGTCTGAGTGAGGCGACGGGGGCTTGAATTCCCTGGGATTCTCGGGGAACAAGTCTGGAAGTCTGGGCTCCCGGGTCTGAGGGAGGAGGGGCTGGGGGTCTGGACTCCTGGGTCTGAGGCAGGAGGGGCTGGGGGTCTGGACTCCTGGGTCTGAGGGAGGAGGAGGGGCTGGGGGTCTGGACTCCTGGTCTGAGGGAGGAGGGGCGGGGGGTCTGGACTCCTGGTCTGAGGGAGGAGGGGCGGGGGGTCTGGACTCCTGGTCTGAGGGAGGAGGGGCGGGGGGTCTGGACTCCTGGTCTGAGGGAGGAGGGGCGGGGGGTCTGGACTCCTGGGTCTGAGGGAGGAGGGGCTGGGGTCTGGACTCCTGGGTCTGAGGGAGGAGGGGCTGGGGTCTGGACTCCTGGGTCTGAGGGAGGAGGGGCTGGGGGTCTGGACTCCTGGTCTGAGGGAGGAGGGGTGGGGGTCCTGGGTCTGAGGGAGGAGGGGCTGGGGGTCTGGACTCCTGGGTCTGAGGGAGGAGGGGCTGGGGGTCTGGACTCCTGGGTCTGAGGGAGGAGGGGCTAGGGGTCTGGACTCCTGGTCTGAGGGAGGAGGGGCGGGGGGTCTGGACTCCTGGTCTGAGGGAGGAGGGGCGGGGGGTCTGGACTCCTGGGTCTGAGGGAGGAGGGGCTGGGGTCTGGACTCCTGGGTCTGAGGGAGGAGGGGCTGGGAACCTGAACCCCTGGGTCTGAGGGAAGAGGGGGCTGGGGGCCTGGACTCCTGGGTCTGAGGGAGGAGGGGGCTGGGGTCTGGACTCCTGGGTCTGAGGGAGGAGGGGCTGGGGTCTGGACTCCTGGGTCTGAGGGAGGAGGGGCGGGGTCCTGGGTCTGATGGAGAAGGGGCTGGGGGTCTGGACTCCTGGTCTGAGGGAGGCGGGGTGGGGGTCCTGGGTCTGAGGGAGGAGGGGCTGGGGGCCTGGACTCCTGGGTCTGAGGGAGGAGGGGCGGGGTCCTGGGTCTGAGGGAGGAGGGGCTGGGGGTCTGGACTCCTGGGTCTGAGGGAGGAGGGGCTGGGGGTCTGGACTCCTGGTCTGAGGGAGGAGGGGTGGGGGTCCTGGGTCTGAGGGAGGAGGGGCTGGGGGCCTGGACTCCCGGGTCTGAGGGAGAAGGGGCTGGGGGTCTGGACTCCTGGTCTGAGGGAGGAGGGGCGGGGGTCCTGGGCTCCTGGGTCTGAGGGGCTGGACTCCTGGTCTGATGGAGGAGGGGCTAGTGGCCTGGACTCCCGGGTCTGACGGAGGAGGGGCGGGGGGTCTGGACTCCTGGGTCTGACAGAGGAGGGGCGGGGGGTCTGGACTCCTGGGTCTGAGGGAGGAGGGGCTGGGGGTCTGGACTCCTGGGTCTGAGGGAGGAGGGGCTGGGGGTCTGGACTCCTGGGTCTGAGGGAGGAGGAGGAGGGGCTGGGGACCCGGACCCCTGGGTCTCAGAAAGGAGGGGCTGGGGGTCTGGACTCCTGGGTCTGAGGGAGGAGGGGCTAGGGGTCTGGACTCCTGGTCTGAGGGAGGAGGGGCGGGGGGTCTGGACTCCTGGTCTGAGGGAGGAGGGGCGGGGGGTCTGGACTCCTGGGTCTGAGGGGCTGGACTCCGGGTCTGATGGAGGAGGGGCTAGGGGTCTGCACTCCCGGGTCTGACGGAGGAGGGGCGGGGGGTCTGGACTCCTGGGTCTGAGGGAGGAGGGGCTAGGGGTCTGGACTCCTGGTCTGAGGGAGGAGGGGCGGGGGTCCTGGGTCTGAGGGAGGAGGGGCTGGGGGCCTGCACTCCCGGGTCTGACGGAGGAGGGGCTAGGGGTCTGGACTCCTGGGTCTGAGGGAGGAGGGGCTAGGGGTCTGGACTCCTGGTCTGAGGGAGGAGGGGCGGGGGTCCTGGGTCTGAGGGAGGAGGGGCTGGGGGCCTGCACTCCCGGGTCTGACGGAGGAGGGGCGGGGGGTCTGGACTCCCGGGTCTGATGGAGGAGGGAGCTAGGGCGGGAGGTTCAGGGTCCCTGAACCCCCTGACCTTACAGGACCATGGCAGCTGTGGGCTTTGAAGAGTTCTCAGCGCCGCCAGGCTCAGAGTTGGCACTGCCTCCGCTGTTCGGTGGTCACATCTTGGAGAGCGAGCTGGAGACGGAGGTGGAGTTCGTGTCTGGGGGTCTGGGCGGCTCGGGGCTCCGGGAGCGAGATGAAGAAGAGGAGGCCGCCCGCGGCCAGCGGCGGCGCCAGCGGGAACTAAATCGTAGGAAGTACCAGGCGCTAGGGCGGCGCTGCCGGGAGATCGAGCAGGTAGGTGAGTGCGGATTCCCCCGTTTGGGGGCCCCCTGGCCAAAATTACCCATTTCAGGTCTCTGCCTGTCCACGTGCCAGCCTTCTTTATCTAGCTGGGTGACTCTTTCATTCATTTATTCTCCACCTGTTATGTGTCAGGCACCGTAAGGCCTCTGCAGAGCCGTGTGCTCTGTGAGCGGCCCTGACGACCCAGATCGGCTCACTGATGTTTGTAGGTGCCCCTCACGTTCCCCACTAATCAGGGTTTCAGGGCTCCCATACCCCTCACATCAGGCCCTCACGTCCTGACCACTCTGCCGCTTGGGTCTCCCTTGGATCCTTCTGCTCTCCATCCCCATGGCTCCTGCCCCAGACGCGGTTTCTCTCAGCTGCATCACTGCATCGGCTTCCTGGGTGAGGATGAGGAGCGCGCAGTTGGCAGGGACCAGATCTTGAAAGGCCGGGAACACCAGGGCGTGACGTTTGGGTTTGGGTTTGTTGTTTAAGTGAGGGGGAGTTGTTGGAAGGTTTCAGGCGGGGGAGGGACAGGGTCAGGGCTGGGTGTTTGGAAGACTGAGCTTGGTTGTATTAGTCTCCTAGGCCTGCTGTAAGCGAGGACCACGAACTGGGCGCTAAGTAACAGAAATGCACTGTCACAGCTCTGCAGGCCGCAGGTGCAAGATCAGGCTGTCAGCAGGTGTCAGCAGGGCTGGCTCCTTCTGACGGCCAGGGGAGGGGTGGTGGTGTGGAGAAGAATCTGCGACCTGCGTCTCTCCTTGCATCGGTGGTTGCTGGTATTCATCAGTGTTCCCCGACTGGTGGGTCTCTACCTTCACCTTCACGTGGGGTTCTCCCTGGGTGTGCCTGTCTGTGCCCCAGTTTCCTCCTTGTATGAGGACACGGGCCCGCTCACTGACCTCATTTCACTTGATTACCCCTGCGAAGACCCTATGTGCAAAGAAGGTCCGTTCTGAGGTACTGGGAGTTAGGACTCCATGCCTTTTGGGGGGACACCATCCAACCCCTAACGGTGGTGGTCTGAGCTGGAGCAGGGGTCAGGAGACAGAGCAGGTGGAGAACAAGGACGGACGTTCAAGCCCTCTTCGGATGAGGAGCGCATCAGGCTGCCTGGAGCAGGACAGACGTTTGCTTTGACAGATGTCGGAGAGGGCCACATGGGAAGTGGGAGCAGGGGGAGTGCTTGGAGCAGGTCAGCTCCGTGTATTAAAATGTACTCCCCAGCAGCTGCACCCCCCGTGGCCAGCTGCTCCTGGGCAGCCAGTGACAGCTAGAACGTTCGCAGGACGCTGTCGGTCACGTGGTCTTACGTCCACGTACGCACACAGGTGTAGTAGACAGTAGGGAGACAAATCAGATGTGATCTACACAAACCAGATGCTCTGCGTCTTGTACTAGGTGGCTGTTGGCTCCACCCCGTCCTACGCTCACCCCGACCTACTTCCCTCCTCAACCACCCCCTCAGCTCTTGTCCCCTGGAGACTCCTCACGTGAATTCCACGATAGCAGTAATATTTCATCCCCGGCATCCTGTGTTCTCAGGGCTTCCCAGTACACGGGTGGTGACATCAGGGTGACCGTGGTCATGTGGGAGCACCCACTGTGTGCCAGGCCTGCCCTGGGCTTTACAGACAGGATGTGTCAGGACGCCCTGCTGCCTCTCTGCCCTCCCCCCACTCCCTGAAATGGCAGCAGAGACCCCGAGCCCCGTTTGACACATGGATACCAGGGTCCAAAGGGACTCCATTTGATTTGCTCAAATAGAGCTGGTATTTGAGTTTCTGCTTATTCCACCCCATCAGGAATAGGGGGTGGTGTTATTCCTGTTTTACAAACACAAGCTCAGAGGGGTTCTAGGTGACTCGCCCAAGGTCACACAGCTGAAAGGGGCAGGCTGGGGTTTGAACCCAGGTCTTTCTGACCCGGGGCAGTACCTGCTCATTCGTGACTCGGCCCACACACCTCTCTGCTGGACCTAAAGTAGCCACCGCCTGCCTAATCTCCAGCAAGTGGGCCTGCGCGGTGTCCCCCCAGCACTTTGCACGGCAGGAAGTCACACATTCAGCAAATACTGATGGAGAACCGCACCCCCTCGCCAGGTTCTGCTCAAGGCATGGGGACCCAGGCACAACCTGTGTCCTTTGAAGCTGATGGTCTGGTGGGGGAGACAGTGAGCAGGAGAAGTGGGTAGGCTAGAAGGTGGTGAGGAGTGTTATAAGGGAAACTGAGGCAGAGAGGAGTGGCTGGATGCACGGGGGGCACGAGGAGGGAGGGGGTGTTGCAGTGTGGCGGGAGGTCGGGGTGGACTACCTGAGCAGGTAACCTCTGAGGTCAGACTTGAGGGCGGGAGCTCTGCAGGCGTGTGGGAAGGCCCCCAGGACGAGAGGAGGCCAGCTGGGTGCAGCGGATGCGAGGGAGAGGAGCAGGAGGGGCCCGAGTAGGGAAGGAGTGGGTGCAGTAGGCCCGGAGGATGTGAGGCACTGTGGTTGGCTCCCTGGGGCCCCGCCGGGGCTCCATTCACCACGCATGGAACGAGTGGAGTCCAGGTGACTTGTGCTTCCTCCTGCCTCCCTGCAGGTGAACGAGCGGGTCCTGAACAGGCTCCATCAGGTGCAAAGGATAACACGGAGACTTCAGCAGGAGCGGAGGTAACCCCTTGCATGCCCCCCTGGGCCCCGTGCCTCTGCTCCGGCTGCTGTTTCCACCACCTCTCGCGCTTCTTGCCTGCTTCCTGTCCACCCAGGCCTTGTGGGAAGGGCTGAGCAAGGGCGGGGAGGCAGGTGCGCTCCCTTTGAATGGGACGCACAGCAGAACAGAAGCTCAGGATGTAGAGTCCCACGCTTGGTTTCAAGCAGTTTTGCTGTGTGACTCTCAGCAGGCGGCATCCCTCTCTGAGCCCATTTCCCGTCTCACGGAGGTGGCTCAAATCTTGTGGCTGCTGAGGATTGAACAGAAGCTCATGGGAGGAGCCCAGCCCAGAGCCTCCCGCCACGCGCCGTGTCCCCGTGTCTGGAATGCGCTGTGACCCGGCCAGTCCTCAGGCCTGCACTCACCTGACCCACAGGATGCGCCCGCCCTCAGGCACCTCCTTGGTGTCCAGGTCCCTTACTCACCTGCTCTCCCTGCCTCCTCCTGGCCATTCCTCGCTCCAGCACCCCAGGGCTTGGCCCTGGGTCCCCCCACGTCCACACCTCCGCTCTCCAGCTGGTAGCCGCAGGTGGCGACTTAACCCGAGACTTCGTTAAAATTGAAACTTAATGTTGGTCACAATAAATTTTAATTCACTGGAGTGCAATAGAAAATCCCGTTCCTCGGTTGCACTGGCCTCTGTTCACGTGCTCGGCAGCCACCAGTGGTGATTTTTACCCAGACCAACTAAAAGGACGTTGAAACTTGCATTCCTCGGTGGCGCTCACTGCATGGTAGCTCAGCCCTGACCTCGGCAACTGAGCTCGAAACCAAAACGGCCTCAGAAAGTTCCTCTGTGGCTGTCACCACGTGGCAGGGGCTCCGCGACAGCGACAGGTGGCCAGAACAGGACGTTTCTGTCCTCACAGAGGGTTCTGTGTCCGGAGTGTCACAGCACCGTGGTCCTTTGAATCCTGTCTGCAGCTCTTTGAACTCGGTGCCCTTTGCCAGCCGCCTGCCGGACAGTGACTTCTGGTCACGTCACACGCAGGCACAAGCTGACCCTGACCTTGCCCCCTGCCCCCGGTCCGCTCCACATCAGAGAATGAACCCTCCCAGCTGCTGCTTTCTCTCTCACCTCCTCGCCTGATGCACCCTCAGAACAGACCCAGGACCCAGCACCCTGGGCCAAGGCACTCAGCCCCTTGCCCAACGCCTGCCACGCTTGCCCCGGCCTCCCTGACCCTCCCGAGGCTCCTGCTGCAACACTCTGGGTGAACCTTTTTTCCTGGTTGTACCGTTAGCCAGGATTCTCTCTCTCAGTCAAACCAAGAGAGTTTATGAAAGGGAAGACTGGCCTTTATGGTTAAAACATTGAAAGTTCGGGAAGGGATCTGCACGTGCTAAGCTTCCCCTAACCATACAAATCAGGGTGATTGTTTTTTGAACAGTCTATCTGGAGCTCAGCCCCGTGCATCTCAGAGTGTGGCCCCTGGACCAGGAGTCTTGGTACCACCTGGGAACTTGCCAGAAATTCGGGGGGTGGCCAGGAGGTCTTCTAAAATGTAAGACATGCCACTGTGTAAAAACAGTATGGCACTTCCCCCAAGTTTAAAAACAATTACCATATGATCTAGCAACTCCGTTTGTAGGTATATCCCCCGGAAGAGTGGAAAGCAGGGCCACTGACGTGCCCGCCCATGATCATAACGGTATTCATAGCAGCCCAAACGTGGAAGCATCCGAGCATCTATCTGCGGATAGATGAACACAGTGTGGTCCACACGTAGGACCATCCAGTCTTAAAAAGGAAGCTACACCACGAACGGTGAAGACATTGTGCTAAGTAAGCCAGTCACAGAAGGACAAGTCCTGTGTGATTCCACTCGTGTGGGGACTTAAGTTCACAGAGATGGAGAGCAGAGTGCTGGTTGCTGGGGGCAGGGGAGTGGGGAGTTGTTTAGTGGGACCGTTTTACTTGGGAAGATGCAGAGAGTCCTGGAGACAGATGGTGGTGATGGATGCACAGCAGCGTGAATGTGCTTAATGCACTGAGCTGGACACTTAAAATGGTTAAACTGGCAAGTGGTATGTTATGTGTATCTCATCACAAATTTTTAAAAATTCTTTTTTCAAAAGTAAAAAATAACTAAAAAATAAGACAGACCAAGTCACTTCTCTGCTCCCAACCCCACATGGGGTCCCACCAGAGTCAGAGCCAGAATTATCCTCCAACGGCCAACAGGGCCCTGTGTCAGAGGGCCCGTCACATTTTGCTCTACCAAGAACACCGCACACATGCTGCTCCCACCTCAGGGCCTTTGCACTGGCTGTCCCTTCTGCCAGAAATGTTTTTCTGTCCCTCCTTCACCTTCTCAATGAGGCATCCCCCACCATCTTTTGAGGTTCCAGCCCTCTTCCAGTATCACGCGTCCTCCTTCCTGCTTTCCAGCTTACTCTGTTTTGTTGACTTGCTGATTGTCCCCCGAGTTCAGGAGGCTCAGGGGTTTTTGTGCAGTTCCCCGATGTATCGCCAGCACTGAGAACGTGTGGTGCAGACCAGGTGCACACACCCACCTGGAAAGAGACTGCATGTAAAGCACCCCGCCCAGGCGCTGGCTGCCAGGCAGCATTCGGAGCTAAAACCCCCCGAGGTTCTGGGCACCTGGGTGGCTCAGTCGGTTAAGCGTCTGCCTTCGGCTCAGGTCATGATCCCGGGGTCCCGGGATCGAGTCCCGCATCGGGCTCCCTGCTCGGCAGGGGGTCTGCTTCTCCCTCTGACCCTCCCCCCCCATTCTCTCTCTCTCAAATAAAATCTTAAAAAAAAAAAACAAACCCCAAGGTTCTTAGAAGCGGGGACCGGGGGAGGCAGAGAAGGTAGCACCTGCAGGAGTGCTCTGCGCCCATCTTTGTCTTGCCCTCCGGTTACGGATAAGGACAGCGGCTGACACCAGGACATACGCTGAGCACTAGGAGATGCCCCCGCTAGCAGCAGTGTCACCCTCACGGCGATGCGCCCGCTCAGCGTTGTCCTGTCCTGTCGACTGAGCAGGAAACAGGTGCAGAGAGGTCCCCTTGCCTGGCCCAGGGTCCCACCGGCTGCTCAAGTACTTGGCACCCAGGACTCAGACTTGGGAGCTCCGAATCTTCTGGGTCTACAGGTCCAGGACCACCTTGGCTTCGGAGCTGGGGCTGGGCTGTGGGGTACCCCTTCCCCCACCACCAGACGCTGAGGTTGTGCCCTTGGCGGGCTCTCTCCGGACACAGGTTCCTCATGAGGGTGCTGGACACCTATGGTGATGACTACCGCACCAGCCAGCTCACCATCGTCCTGGAGGTGAGCACGGCCTCCCGGCGGGCTGGGGCTGGGGGGCCAGGGGGCTGGGCACTAGGACAGAGTCTTCCCCTGCTGCCCCTTCTCCCCCCAGGACGAGGGCAGCCAGGGCACAGATGCTCCCACCCCCGGCAACGCTGAGAATGAGCCTCCAGAGAAAGAGGGGCTGTCCCCGCCCCGAAGGACGCCCGCACCCCCCGAGCCCAGCAGCCCGACCCCGGCTGAGGGGCCCAGCGGACGCAAGAGGCGGCGAGCGCCCCGGGACGGACGCCGAGCAGGAGCTGTGCTGACCCCAGAGCTGGCCCCAGTGCAGGTGGGACCAGGGCTTCCGGGTCTGGCAACAGTGCTGTGGGGGCTGGGCTTTGCAGAGCTCGCAGGCTCGGGGCTGGGGGGCTGGGGACGGGGCTGGGGACCGCTGGAGAAAGGAGGTGGGACTGGAAGGGCTGGGGTGGGTAGGGAAGGAGAAAAAGCCGGAAAAAGCCAGGTGAGGGCTTGGGTGGAAAAGGAGAGAGACTTGGAGGAGGCTGGGGGAGAAGGTTGGAGCAGAGGGGGGAGGGAGGGTCAGGGACCATGGGGGAAGGGAAGGCGGGAGTGTCGGGGCGAAAGCCCCGGGTGCACAGAGGAAGCTGAGGAGCCAGAACTGAGGCCGGTGGGCCTGCTCACGCCTGTTCCTTCTCTCCCCCAGATTAAAGTCGAGGAAGACTTTGGCTTCGAAGCAGATGAGGCCCTGGACTCCAGCTGGGTTTCTCGGGGGCCAGACAGACTGCTGCCCTACCCCACCCTAGCCAGCCCCCCCTTTGACTGACCCCCACCCCCAATAAACTGACCCCCAGAAACGCCTTGGCTACTCTCTACTGTTTCCACCTCTGATCACACACAAGCTCAGGTTCTGGGGCCGCTTTTCACATTTTATTGGCTCAGAGGAGGGGCCTCCTCCATGTCACCGGGGGTGCTCACAAGTTCTTCAGCCACTCCAAGCTTGGGCCCTGGGGGTCCTGGGGGTGGCTGGGCACGTCGGGCATGTTCCCATCATCTCGGAGGGGCACTGTGGGGCAGGAGGGTGGGCCACTGAGACCAGCAGATCTTGGGAGGCCCATAAAGGCTAGTCTGTCAGTTCATATTCAAAGAGGAAGGGGGACCCCAGGGGAGAGGTGAGAGAGGGGACACAGAAGCAGGGAGATAGAGACCTAGAGGCACGGAAAAGCAGACACAGAATGACAAAAATCCAGAAAGGAATACAAATCTGGAACGACAACAGAAACTCAAAAGTGCAAAAACAGGAAATGAGTTTCAGGGCACACGGATTAGCTCAGAAGAAGAAAAAAAGTCCAGCCCACGCTGCAGATTCTCAGACCCCTGCAGAGGAAAGACCTGCCCATGACCATTCCTCCACCAGCACAGGGAGGTTACCCCACCCCCACTCCTGCTTGGGGCCAGCCCTCCAGCTCCCACTCACCTGGATAGTTGTAGGGCGTGGCCTGGTTGATCATGGTGGCGTATTTGGTGAAGGGGCTGACGGTGGGCAGAATTACAGCTGTGGAGAAATGGGTGAGGCCCGTGGGAAGGTGGCTTGCAAGCGGGGGTGGGAGGGGAAGGCAGAAGAAGCTGAACTTCGGCAAACTATGAGTCAAATACATGGGGGGAGGGGAGCAGGGAGGTCCTGCCCCTCCAGGAGACCCCCTTGGCATTCCGGGATCCCCATTTATCAGCAGAAAGAGAGGGGGTGGGAGCCAGCAATTCAAGGAAACATGGGACCTAGAGGGCAGAGAGGAGGGAAGACATGGGGGTGGTCATGGAGTGAGTACATGAGTGTAGAGGTGGTCAGGGAGCCCAGGGTGGTGGGCGAGCGCAGTGTCTTGGGAATCTTCCAGAGGAGTAACGAACTGTTACAAACCGAGGAAAGGGGCGGGGGGTTGTGGTTTGTAAAAGGATTAGTTGCCCGGAAATTACAGTGCACCCAGGGTGGGGGAGCCAGGAGTCTGGGGGGCAGGGGTAGGGGGTAAAAGCAATGTTCTAGGCCAGCACTGTCCGACAGAAAGACATGAGCCACGTATTTGGCTTTACACTTCTAACAGCCACATTAAAAATAAAGCTAAAAGATACAAATGGATTTCTAAAATTATTTAACCTGGTGTACTGGATGTGTGTCTTTCCACATATAATCAACACAAAAGAAGCGGAGCTACTTTATAGGCTCGTCCTACTCTGCAGCCCGGCGTGTACTTCGCATTAGAGCGGAAAGTGTACCAGCTCAATTCAGGCGAGCTCCGTTTCAGGCGCTCAGCGGCCAGTGCGGCCCGTGGCTGCCCTAAGGGACAGCCGCTCCAGAACCTCACCGCGGCGTGTGGCCTACAGACCAGCGGTACCGACCAGATCTGGGGACCCGGGAGATCTGCCCCATCCCAGACCTATACAATGACAGTCGCATCTTGACGAGACCGCCCGCACACTGAAGTGGGAGCAGCCCTGTTCTAGAACGGGGGCCGTCGATAGAACCCCCGGGGGATTTTCACAGGATAGGATTCCCCAGCCCACCTCCACCCCACTCAGCTCCACACTGCACGTGCGGGGTGGCGGGCGGCCGAGGGTAAAAAGTGGGTGGGATTCGGACATTTTTGTCGCTCAGGTGTTTTTAATGCACAGCCTGGGCTCAGGACCTCTCCTCTGGGGGATCGCGCACCTCCTGGGGAGGTGTGTACGGGGTGGGGAGAAGGGCGCTCGTGAAGGGCTCATAACATCGGGGATGGGGTGGGCAAGGGGCCGTCGCGGGGGTGCCGACACACGAGGGGACCACAGAACGTTGAGGGGTACTCGAACGCTCGTGGGCAGCGACGGGACCTTGGGGGAGGGCGGGGTGATGCACGCTCACGCACCGAGGCCCCCGATGGTGAAGGACGCGACCAACACCGGCTCCTTGGCCCAGGCATCCTTGAGGAAGCTGGCGAGTCCTGGGGGGGCGGGTGAGCAGGGTCACTCCTGCGGGGGACGCCCCCGGTGACCTCTAACCCTCTCGCGCCGCCCCCGCCCTGGAGGAGCCCTCTCGCGACCTCGGCGTCCCCCTCCGGCCCGCAGCCCTCCGCCTCCACGGAGGCTCCGCGGTGCCCCAGCGCCGGCACCGCCGGACCCCGCGCGCCCTTATCGCCCTCACTTACTCCCGGCCATCTTGGTCGCGGCGGAGGCGGTGGCTGCGGCCAGCACGCGGAGCACTCTGGGAGTTGTGGTCCCCGCGCTCTGAGTCTGCGCGTGCGCCCTGGCACGGCACTCCGGTCCGGGGCGGGGACGAGGACGCGGGGCGCTCTGGGAGTTGTGGTCCCCGCGCTCTGAGTCTGCGCGTGCGCCCTGGCACGGCACTCCGGTCCGGGGCGGGGACGAGGACGCGGGGCGCTCTGGGAGTTGTGGTCCCCGCGCGCGAGCCTCAGCCGTCTGAGTCCGCGCGTGCGTACTGGCGCAGAACAGCTGTCTTGAAGCGGCCGCGAAAACGCAGAATTAAGTGCAAACCGGTCTCTTCGCCTAGGAGCCAAAGCCTGAGGCGTACTCCCCGTCTTCCAGCTGCGACCCATCCAAGGCGCGATGCAACAGTCCTCCTGTTAGCGTTTGCTCATGAAAGCCCCTTTTACAGATGGAGAAACGGAGGCCGGGAGAGGACAAATGACAGCTCTCATTTGAGATCGCAGCTCAAAATCAGTTCTTCCTGGAAGTTTTAACTCTCGTCCCGCAAGGGTTGGGTGTCTTCTGTGGATTCTCTCAGTGCCATATGTGACCTCTAGGGTGGCTCACTTTTTTTTTTTTTTTTTCTACTGCTCTAGGGCAGTCATGGGGTCTGAGTCCTCTCTGTGCCCCCAGAATAGCGCAGCACAGGGTCTGGCACATAATAGGTGCCAGTTTTTAGCCTTTTTTTTTTTTTTTTTTTAAGTTTAATTGGTGAACGCAACTGGTTATGACTGCCCCTTCTCCCAGGTTTTTCCACAGCACCATGGGGCTGTCACACGGTAACCCAGAGGCCCCCACTTCCCTCCTCCCTTCCTTAAACAGAGCTCTGGCTCTGACTTTCTGGCATTGCATTTCCTGAGAAGTGAGAGGGCAGCTGAGCCCTGGCTCCTGCTTCTGCTCCAGCCAAGATCTGCCCGCCATGGCTCTGGTGCTGATCCTCCAGCTGCTGACCCTCTGTGAGCCACCCCACCCCCTTCTCCCTGGGTCCCAGGCTGGTGGGGGTGCAGAGACAGGCTCTGGGGACCTGGACACCCTGAGTAGGGAGGGGGAAAGGAAGAAGGCTAATGAGTCTCCCTGAGGGCAGGTGCCGGCTAGTCAGGCAGCACTAGCTGAGGGTTCAGAATTCTAGACCAGAATAAGGGGACAGGTCTTAGATCCTTGGGTCCTAACACAGAAGGACACATGGGTCCTGAATTCCTGTTCCTGGACAAGGAGAGAGTGGGGGCAGGATTCTCTGGGTCTTGAGGCAGGAGGGTGCGAAGGACCTGAACTCCTGGCGATAGCAAGTGTAGAGTCCTAGATTCTGGTGTAGGAAGAGGATGAAGCCAGAACACCTGGGTCTCTGGGAAAGGAGGGAGCTGGGGACCCAGACTCCTGACCCCCGGGGAGGAGACATTGTGGGCTCAAATTATTGTCTCCTGGAAAAGGTGGAGTCCAAGGGTCTGATCACTGGGTGTAGAGGAAAGAGGGGGCTGGGGCCAGACTTGTGAAGTAGTTGGGGATTAAGAGCCCCGAGTTATGGCTACTGAGAGAGGACATATGGGTAAGATTCCTGTTTCTCAGAGGAAGGATTTAGATGTCTGAGTTTGCAGTGAGGTAGGACTGGGAGAAGCCTAGGACTTTGAAGAGACTTAGCTCCTCCACCTTCTACAGGGCCTCTGTGTCATGCAGACCTCACTTCAACTGGTGAGTAATATCTCCCATCCATTCACCTGTAAACTGCTGACAACCCATTTCCAACTATTCAGATTTTATTTTGGTGCTCAAACTCATCCCAGATTTCCATATTTCCCTCCCTCTCCTCCCTTTTTTCATCTTTTCCGTCCCTCCCTCCTTCCTTTCTTTCCTTCATATCTTACTCCCTTTAGTGACCAGTGTAGGTGAGTAGTGAAGACCATGAACTTTGGAGCTAAAGAGACCTAAGCTGGAACCCCACTCTCACCATATTATTCATTTACAACTTTGAACAAAACGCTGCTTGCTACTCAGTTTCCTTCTCTGTGAAATGAGCTGTTGTGAGGATTTAATAAAATCATCCCTGGCTGGCTCAGTTGGTAGAGCATGCAACTCTTGATCTTGGGGTTGTGAGTTTGAGCTCCATGTTGGGTATAGAGATTACTTTAAAAAATAAAAGTATTATTTTTTTTAATCACATATGTAAAACCCTTGACTCAAAGCTTGGCATAGTGCAGGGCTCAAGAAATAGGACCTCAGGCAATGCCAAATTAACTCCCCTATTTGGAAGCCCATTTCCACAAGAGTAGGATCCTCCACCCTGAGAAAGCCTTGAGTTTCTTTCCAGGTTTTCCAATTGGTGAGATCTCTTTCTCTCAAACCTCCCTCATGATACTACAACTTCAAATAAGAATCGCCCGGAAAACCACTGATACGATACCTTAGCTATCAGTTTATTTTAAATTATTATTTTTTAAATGATAAAGCTAACATATATTCATGGTTTAAAAAATGATTCCCAAAGGACATATAACCTCCCTCTTCCCCTTCCTCATCTTCCTTAAATAAGCTCTGAATCCTTACAAAAAGTTTCCATGCATTCAGACATATACATATATTTATATACTTCTTTGTTGTCTTGCCAAGGCAAAATTGATATTTCATGACTCACACTGTTCTGCATCTTATATTTTTTCACTTTACAATCTCTCTTGGGGGTGTTTCCGTATTATTATAACGAACTCTACATTTTTTTAACTGCTATTTAACATTTTCCATTGTATGGTTGGATTCTAGTTTGTTGGCCCTCTTGATGTATATTTAGGTTGTTTCCAGTGTCCTCTCCCAGCCCCACCCTAATCAATGCTTCAGTGAGTACTCCAACGTGAGCTTTTTGTGCCCACGTATGTACAGTTGTCTAGGGTGAAACAGTGGAATTATTAGGGCATGCCCTTTGTGTATTTTGATAGAAAGGGATGAACTGCCTTCTCAAAAGGTGCACTCAAGTGTACCTAACTACCTGTTTCACCATATCTTCACCCAAACAGAATATAAACCATTGTTTTAATTTCTGACAACCTGATAGGCAAAAAAATCTTACTGTTGTTTTATTATTATTATTTTTTTAATGATTACCAGTAACATTAAGCAACTTACCCCCTCCCCATGTGTTTTCATCCATTGGACTTCCTCTTCTGTGCACTACCTGGTTCATATGTCTTGTCCAGTTTTCAACTGGGCTGGGTTTAGGATTTCTTTCTATACTCTTCATCTATGGGATTAATGAATAAGTCCTTTTGCCAGTGCTATACCTTTTTTTTTAGCTCCGTCTGTCTATTCTCATACACAACTTTAAAATTTTGCAGTCATCAAATTAGTTAACCTTGTCTCTTCTGAATTTTTTGTTTTATTTTTTAAGATAGCTTTCTTTCCAAGACAAATATACTTTCCTATATTTTCTTCTAATACTTTTACAGTACGACAAAACAAAATAAAACAATGTAGGTCTTTAATTAACCTGGAATTGGTTTTGGGGCATTTGGTCTGAGGTAGGGATACCACTTTATTTTTTTTTTTTTACCCAAATCAATAGCAAGTTTGGGCAACCACTGAAATATGTTGACTTTGTTACAAATAACCTGAAGAGCAATTTACAAGTACAGATTTCTGGGACCCAATCCCTTGACATTACGTTTTAAAACCATGGAGTAAAGCTCAGGAGTTGCCCTGCTACTCTAATTTGCAGCTAGTCTTGACAATCTTTGACTGGGGTCCAGCGTCTCCCCTATTTTACAAGCAGGAAACTAAGGATGAGAAAGAGGCAGGGATTGCCCCAGCTGATTCTCTCCCCACCCCATCTCCTCAGGCTCCCAGGAATCCCAGGGCCCCAGTAGCCCTGTTTTTTCAGTGCCCCCAGCCTTATACCCCAAGCCATGGCTGGGGGCTCAGCCCGCTGCAATTGTAACCCCTGGGATCAACGTGACCTTGAGGTGCCGGGCACCTCAACCTGCCTGGAGGTTTGCACTCTTCAAGTCTGGAGAGATCACCCGTGTGCTGTACCGGGATGTGTCCATGGAGCTGGCAGAGTTCTTCCTGGAGGAGGTGACCCCAGCCCAGGGGGGCAGTTACCACTGCTGCTACCAGAATCCAGGCTGGAATCTGGGTGTCTGGTCCCACCCCAGTGATACGTTGGAACTGCTGGTGACAGGTGAGGTCCTGGGGCGGGGAGGGGGAAAGAAGGGAGTTTGGGGTGTGATGAGGGAGGGAGAAGGAGGGACAGAGAAATACAGGGAGAGAGATACTGAAAGAGACATACAGAAACAGGCTTGTACAATGACCCAGAGCAAAAAGAGCTACGTGGGGAGAGAAAGAGAACCAGAGAAACAGGTGATTCTTAACCAGGGACGATTGTGCCCCCCAGGTGAACTTCCTGGTAATATCTGGGGACATTTTTGGTTGTCACTACTACCAAAGATGCTGCAAACATCCAACAGTGCACAGGACAGCCCTCATCCTCACCCCATACAACAAAGAATTATCCAGATTTATCCAAAATGTCACCAGTGAAGTTAGGAAACCTTGGGAGAAACCCAGAAACACCAGAAGAAACAATTCCGGAGACGCTGCCTCCGAGATCCAGGGTAGTGAAACGCACAGGACGGGGAGATCAAAACAGGGACACGGAGAGAGAATTTTAGTGAGGCTCAGGCCAAGAGAGAAAAGGGGACAACCGGGGAGAGAGAGGCAGAGACACAGAGAAAGGAGCACTTGGGGGCGAAGACACAGGGGGAGCCAGGGACAAGGATGCAAAGGGCACAGAGACCGACACGGAGGCAGAGAAACTGTGGGAGACACTGGCAGAGATAGAGAGAGACAGCGGGGGGAGGCGGGGTGGGGGGAGAGAAGTTCAGAGAGAAGTAGAGGCTGGGGGGCCAGTGGACCGGGGAGAGGGAGTGAGAGCGGGGGGGTGGGGTGGAGAGGGAGGTGAGGGAGAGGGGGGAGGTGGAAAGGGGAGAGGGAGGGAGGGAGGGAGAGAGGGAGAGGAGGGAGGGAGGGGGGAGAGGAGGGCGGGAGGGGGGAGAGGGAGGGAGGGGGAGAGGAGGGGGGAGGAGGGGGGGAGAGGAGGGAGGCGGAGGGAGCAGGAGGAGGGGCGGGAGGGAGGAGGGGCGAAGGTCCGGGGGCGCGGGGCCGCGCCAGCGCTCGTCCCGGCCCGCGCCCCTCGCAGACCAGCTGCCACCCCCGTCGCTGGTGGCGCTGCCCGGGCCGGTGGTGGCGCCCGACGCCAACGTGAGCCTGCGCTGCGCCGGCCGCCTGCGGGGCATGAGCTTCGCGCTCTACCGCGTGGGCGTGGCGGCCCCGCTCCAGTACCGCGACTCGGCCGAGCCCTGGGCCGACTTCCCGCTGCGCGGCGCCAGCGCCCCCGGCACCTACAGCTGTTACTACCACACGCCGTCCTCCCCGTACGTGCTGTCGCTGCGCAGCGAGCCGCTGCTCATCAGCGCCGACGGTGAGGGCCCCGCGCCCCGCGCAGCCCCTGCTCCCCAGGAGGGGTGGGACCCGGCGGTTCCTCCCTGCTCCCCAGCCCGGAGGTCGGGGCCCCAGCCTCTCCCTGCTCCCCAGCCCGGGGGTCCGGCCCCCAGCCTCTCCTTGCTCCCCAGCCCGGGGGTCCGGGCTGGCAGTTCTCCCTGCTCCCCAGCCGGGGGGTCCGGGCCCCCAGCCTCTCCTTGCTCCCCAGCCCCGGGGTCCGGGCTGGCAGTTCCTCCCTGCTCCCCAGCCCGGGGGTCCGGCCCCCAGCCTCTCCTTGCTCCCCAGCCCCGGGGTCCGGGCCGCCGCTTCCTCCCTGCTCCCCAGCCCGGGGGTCCGGCCCCCAGCCTCTCCTTGCTCCCCAGCCCGGGGGTCCGGGCTGGCAGTTCTCCCTGCTCCCCAGCCGGGGGGTCCGGGCCCCCAGCCTCTCCCTGCTCCCCAGCCCGGGGGTCCGGGCCGCCGCTTCCTCCCTGCTCCCCAGCCCGGGGGTCCGGGCCCTCAGCCTCTCCTTGCTCCCCAGCCCGGGGGTCGGGGCCCCAGCCTCTCCCTGCTCCCCAGCCCGGGGGTCCGGGCTGGCAGTTCCTCCCTGCTCCCCAGCCCGGGGGTCCGGCCCCCAGCCTCTCCTTGCTCCCCAGCCCCGGGGTCCGGGCTGGCAGTTCCTCCCTGCTCCCCAGCCCGGGGGTCCGGCCCCCAGCCTCTCCTTGCTCCCCAGCCCCGGGGTCCGGGCTGGCAGTTCCTCCCTGCTCCCCAGCCGGGGGGTCCGGGCCCCCAGCCTCTCCCTGCTCCCCAGCCCGGGGGTCCGGGCCGCCGCTTCCTCCCTGCTCCCCAGCCCGGGGGTCCGGGCCCTCAGCCTCTCCCTGCTCCCCAGCCCGGGGGTCCGGGCCCCCGGTTCCTCCCTGCTCCCCAGCCCGGGGGTCCGGGCCCCCAGCCTCTCCCTGCTCCCCAGCCCGGGGGTCCGGGCCCCCAGCCTCTCCCTGCTCCCCAGCGCGGGGGTCGGGGCCGGCGGTTCCTCCCTGCTCCCCAGCCTGGGGGTCCGGGCCCTCAGCCTCTCCCTGCTCCCCAGCCCGGGGGTCCGGGCCCCCGGTTCCTCCCTGCTCCCCAGCCCGGGGGTTGGGGCCCCAGCCTCTCCCTGCTCCCCAGCCCGGGGGTCCGGGCCGGCGGTTCCTCCCTGCTCCCCAGCCCAGGGGTCCGGGCTGGCAGTTCCTCCCTGCTCCCCAACCCGGGGGTCGGGCCCCCAGTTCCTCCCTGCTCCCCAGCCCGGGTGTCCGGGCCAGCGGTTCCTCCCTGCTCCCCAGCCTGGGGGTCTGGGCCCAGCCTCTCCCTGCTCCCCAGCCCGGGGGTCCGGGCCCCTGGTTCCTCCATGCTCCCCAGCCCGGGGGCCCTCCCTGCTCCCCAGCCTGGGGATCCAGGGGGTCCGGGCCCCTGGTTCCTCCCTGCTCCCCAGCCTGGGGATCGGGGCCCCTGGTTCCTCCCTGCTCCCCAGCCCCGGGGGCCCTCCCTGCTCCCCAGCCCGGGGGTCGGGGCCCCCGGTTACTCCCTGCTTCCCAGTCCTGGGGTCCTGGCCACCGGTTCCTCCCTGCTCCCCAGACTGGAGATCCAAGTCCCCAGCCTCTCCCTGCTCTCCAGCCCGGAACCCCTGGTTCCTCCCTGCTCCCCAACCGGGGATCCAGGCCCCAGCCTCTCCCCGCTCCCCAACCTGGGGGTCTGGGCCCCCAAGCCCTCCGTGCTCCCCCTCCCAGGGGTCCACGCCCAGTTCCTCCCTGCTCCCCAATCTAGGGATCCGTACCCTACGCCTTCTTACCCAAATCCAGGAGTCCAGGACCCCTGCTCCCATCGACCCACCATAACTTTGAGACTGGGAGCTGTGTCCCCAGTCTCACCCTGGAGGTTCGAGACCCAGAGAACAGGCCCAGACTGTGGGTTCCGGAACTGAAGGCCTCTCTCCCTTGCTGTCCTGCAGGCTCGGGCTCCTTGGACTACATGCAGGGCAACCTCGTCCGCCTGGGGCTGGCCGGCCTGGTGCTCATTTCCCTGGGCACACTGGTTGTTTTTGACTGGCGCAGCCAGAGTTGTGCCCCAGGCAGTGTCAGGCCCTGAGCCCCAGAGGACTGGACACAGATGCCTCGCAGTGTGAGAAGAGTTCCCAGAGACAGCGAGAAGAAACAGGGATTCCTGGTGTTGGACTGGCCCCACAGTCCCCCTGGCTGAGCCCAGCTTCTGGGTCATAATAAGCTTCGTACTGTGTGCTCTATCTCCCTTCTGGGTCATTCCTCTAGTGCATCAGTGGAAAGCTGTCTCCGTGGTTAAGGCTTCCTAGTCTCGAGGCCTGGGTTCGAATCCCAGGGCCACTGCTCACTCACTGCGTTATTAGGAAAGAGACCTTTCCCAAGTCTCAATTGCCTTGAATGTAAAATGGGCTGACTGATAATACCCACTTCATAATCTTGTAGGATTAAGTGGGCAATACACATGAAACCCTCAAAAGTGACTGGCCCATAGTAAATGCTCAATAAATGTTAGCTATCCTATAACTGCGGTTTCTACCAGATGCTCAAGGCCGGAATGTAGTCCCCCCCACCCCCCACCATTGCGCATGCTCCAGCTGAACTTTTCAGCAATTCACCGCCATTTCCTTCATGCCCCCCAGCCTCTACTTCTCTCTGAACTTCTCTCCCCCCTTGCCTCCCCCCGTCCTTGGTCGACCAGCAAACCTCTTCCAAACCCCTCCTCAGACCTTCTGACCTGGGTAGACCAAGATCAGATCAAGGAGAACTTCTTCCCTATTTAAAGCTTCATTTGTGTGCAGTGCAGGCTGTTTTCTTGAACCGTCATTATGATTAAGTGGAGTCCGTTGCCAAGGCAACAGCAAGTGCAGTCGAGCACTGACCTGGACATTTATACATGGCACCTGGCCTGCTTCCCATGGGGTCTTGGCTGCCTTCACAGTTGTAAAGCTAATGCAAACCATTCCGCAGTGCAGCCCGTTTGCTCTCCCCTCTTGCCTCTCTTTCTGGAAGGCCTGACTACATTCAGTTTCTCCTGAGTTTAGTAATTTAACTTCTATTTTAATCTTGGTAACCCGGATGCCTTTATCATCCTCATACACACATACACACATTTTTCTGTCTTTAAGCACTTCTTACCACACAACACTTGTGTTCCCTTCTTGCTTATGCCTAATTTTGATGGAGCACACATCCTCTTCTATTGTTACTAAGTTTTCCACCTTCCCCTTCTCCTCTTCCCACTCTGTGAAGGAGAGGATGCCTTCCATTTTTTGGACAACCCCAGCTCCATCATCCACAAGGGGGATAGCCTTGAGCAATTTACAGACCCTCCTGAATTTTTATCCCTGAAAGAGGAAACTAAAAATATCCACCACGTTGGTTTGAGATAATCAAACAGGATAACTTGTCCCCAACATGTGGAGAGAGATCATAAAAGCTCAAGATCAGCAGTTTTAATCTATCCCACCCCCCCTTTTGGGGAGACATGATTAGGAAGCAAAGCTTACATCACAGCCCTGTACACACATCCATTTACATCTATAAACTAGAATTCAAGTTCTATGAAGCAATATTCACTTCTACTATTTTATTATGATCTATTTTATTAAAAATGCTGATCATGACTCCTTTCATTGATGAAACAACTCCCTAACACCCACAGTGAGACACGATTTGAGGAAGTTGAGCAATATTTGTTGGTGTTCCTTGGTTACAGAAACTGATCTCTGGACTCGTATAAAGACTGGGAAACTCAAAATATGGATAAACAGCATAAAACGATGGTATTTCAACACCCAGTTCTCCTAGTAGTTGAGATTTGGGTACTGCAGTTAAGCAGAACTGAAATCAGAAGTCAAGTTAGCCACCTGGGTTCACTGACTTGCTGAAGAGATTGGAGGAGAGACTCCGAGCAGGACTTTCTGGGTTTGTACTTAGTACCAATGTGGGACTCCTGTGGAGCATATCCTGGGCAATCTCCCTGTGAACTGGATGTGGACGTGGGAAATCAAGGGAGAAGCAGGGATCCAGATTCACAGGAGGAAACCAGACCTGGATGGGGCTGCAAAGTCATCAAATCCAGTCTTCTCATTTTACAGATGGGAAAATGGTGGAATGGAGGGGTGGCATGAAGCTCCCCCATAGTCATACGAGAAATCAGTGGCACGTCAGGGAGGCTCCCCAGGAATTTGTACTTCAACTCGGCCACATCTATTCATTCACTTTACTAGTCAACCACTCATCCCACTCATTGTCATCCATCCATTTGTTCACTGATTCTCATCCTTCTTTCTAGCCATCCATCCATCCATCCATCCATCCATCCCCTTTCCTCTTGCTCCTATTTGAATATGTACCCTTCCTTTTGCCCTTACCCATCATTAATTCATTATTACATCCATTCATCCATATTTCCCCTTATTAATCAGCTAATCAACTTATTAATCTACTCACCTATTTATTGTACTTATTCAGAATCTGTCAACCAACCTTTGCATTTATTTATCCAACAAGCCTGAAGATCTCTTCTTCCTAAATTGGGGAGAGGGGGAGGGGGAGTTGGAAAATTTAATAACGATAGAAGAAGATGTGTGCTCCACCAAAATTAGGCATAAATCAGGAAAGGAACACATGAGTGTTGAGTGGTGAGAAGTGCTCTGAGATGGAAAATGTGTGTATGAAGATGAGAAAGGAATCAAGGTTAGCCAGATGAAAAAAATATATATATTATTGATAATGTTAGTAATAGAATATTGTTTTTATTTTTAAAGATTATTTATTTAAAGATTTTATTTGTTTGACAGAGGGGGAGAGGGAGCATGCACAAGCAGGGGGAGCAGCAGAGGGAGAGGGAGAAGCAGACTCCCTACTGAGCAAGGAGCCTGATGCGGGGCTTGATCCCAGGACCCTGGGATCATGAGCTGAGCCAAAGGCAGATGCTTCACCAACTGAGCCACTCAGGTGCCCCTATTTATTTATTTTAGAGAGGGAGAGCACATGAGACCATGGCAAGGGGCAGAGGAAGAGGGAGGGAGAATCCTCAAGCAGAATCCCCACTGGGCATGGAGAATGACTTGGAGCTTCATCCCAGGACCCTGAGATCATGACCTGAGCAGAAACCAAGAGTCGGCTGCCCAATTTGCTGAGCCACCCAGGTACCCCCGTCACTTCCACTTTTGAATGAGGAAGAGAAAGGGGAATATTATCACATTTAATATTGCAAAGCAATTTACTGTTCTTGAGGCAGTGGTTCCTTTTTTTTAAATTTAAGATTTATTTATTTTAGAGAGGGGGGAGGGGCAGAGAGAGAGAGGGAGAGAATCTCAAGCAGACTCCCTGCTGAGTGCAGAGACCCCGATGTGGGGCGTGATCCCACGACCCTGAGATCACAACCTGAGCCAAAACCAAGAGTTGGATGCTTAACTGACTGCACCACCCAGGTGCCCCAAGGCCATGGTTACTTTTTTTTGTCACCCACAAATGCTCAGCGCTTCCAGGGTGTTCATAATGAGACTGTGACAGATCTGCTACCAGCTCTCCTTTCTACTCACTCGCGCCTGGTCCACTGTGCTCATCCTTCCGGTTTCAGATTGGATGCTGTTTCCACTGTAAACTGCTGCCTGGCCCATCTGTGTTCCCATAGTGTCTTGTCGTACCTGAACTGAATATTTACACTGTATTTGGATTTTCTCTCTCCCACACTAGACCACAAGCTCCTCCCAAGAGGGACCAGGTTTTTGCATCTCCGTGTGTCTGGGGCCTGGCATAGGTCTGAGGAAACATGCACAGTGTGGCTCAGTGAGCTCAGCATGCTGCAGATGATCTAAGTGAGCTCCATACTTTTGCCCTTGTGCAGTGGGCAGAATGATGCCCCCCTCCCCGCCACGTGTGATGTCCTGATTCCTGGAACCTGTGAAAATGTTGTACGTGGCCAAAGGGACTTCCCAGGTGTGATTAAATTTAGCATCATGAGGGGCGCCTGGGTGGCTCAGTCGGTTAAGCGTCTGCCTTCAGCTCAGGTCATGATCCCAGGGTCCTGGGATCGAGCCCCGCATCAGGCTCCCTGCTCAGTGGGGAGACTGCTTCTCCCTCTCCCACTTCCCCTACTTGTGATCTCTCACTCTCTGTCAAATAAATAAATAAAATCTTAAAATAAATAAATAAATAAATATATAAATAAATAAATTTAGCATCATGAGGTGGGGGGGTTATCCTGGATTAGTCAGTTGGGTTCCATGAAGTCTCAAGGATCCTCATGTATAAGAAGAAAGAGGTCGGAGTCAGAGAAGGGAATGTAGACATGGAAGCAGAGTCAGTGTGAGGCAGGGTCACGAGCCAAGGAACACAGGCTCGCCTAAAGCTGGAGAAGTCGAGGAATTGGATTCTCCCCTAGAGCCTCCAGAAGGAATGCAGCCTCTCAACCCACGTTGGACTTTTGACCTCCAGAAGAGAAAGATAAAAAATTTATGGTTAGGCCACTAGTTTGAGACAATTTGTCACAATGGCGATAGCAAAACTAATACTGTTAGCTTCAACAGAACCTCTTTCCTCTTCCCACAAACCCAGGCATGTAACCGTTAGGATTTCCACTTCTGTCCCCAACCCTGCTTGCCCCAAGTTCCTGTTTATCTACTTGGCACACATTTATTCAATGCCCACCACGTGTGGGGCACTGTGCTGGGTGCTGGGGACAAGCAGGGAACGCCAGCAGGCATAAACCCTGCTCTCATGAAGTTCATGGAAAAAAGCATTAACCAAACTGCTACACAGTGTATTGATTAGGGAGCACTTTAAGCTGCTGTAACAAACAGACCCCCTCTAAGGAAAAAAAAACATATAATTTTATTTCTCGGGGCGCCTGGGTGGCTCAGTTAGTTAAGCATCTGCCTTTGGCTCAGGTCATGATTGCAGGGTCCTGGGATCAAGTCCCACATGGGGTTCCCCCTGCTCTGTGAGGGGCCTGCTTCTCCCTCTCCCACTCCCCCTGCTTGTGTTCCCTCTCTCGCTGTCTCTCTCTGTCAAATAAATAAATAAATCTTTAAAAAAATGTTATTTCTCTCTCACTTAACAGTATATAGTTGAAACAGTCCAGGGCTATTTATCAACAGCTTTGCTTTTGTCAACATATGGCTTTCCTGTGTGGTTCTGAGTCAGCACGAAAGGAGGAAGAGTGAGAGAGAGAAAGAGAAGGAGATCACACAATCATTTTTAAAGAGTAGGACCCAGGATTTGAAAATGTCTCTTCTGTTCACATCCCGTTGGCCAGAACTCCGTTCCATCGCCAGGTCTAGCTGCAAAAGTGGCTGGGCTCTAGCGTGTGCCCTTCTAAAAATGAGGGAGGGGGGGTTCTGTTACTTAAAGGAAGAAGGGAAACTTAGATGCTAGGAAACCATGAACCATCTCCATCAGTATAACTATAGTAAAAAAAAAAGAGAGAGAGAATTTTGAAAGCCTATAATCGAGGATTTGATCTAGTCTTGGAGATCTCTGATGGCTTTGCTTAAGTGCAGAGGTGAGATCTGAAAGTTGAGCAGACTTTTAACTAGGTGAAGGTGCTGGAAGGGTGTTCTAAGCAAAGGGATAGCATGTGCAAAGGCCCTGTGGTGGAGGAAGCCGGGAGACAGTGGTTGAGAGACGGGCTAAATTGTGTGCTACTGCCACCTAGTGGTCACACCTTTTCCCTTGAAGTCCCTGAACTCCCTTAGAGGTGCATCATGGAACTGTAGCCATGCTCCTCTATTCCGGCTGGACACTGAGCTGTGAATGGCAGTGACCAGTGCCACTTCCAAGCTGGAGCATTTACCTGTAAGAACTCCCTCCTCACCTAGACACAGTGCTCCACTGCTCCAGGCGCCTGAGGGACAAGGATGAACCGGGCCCCCTGCCAGTAGTTTCTACTGTAGGCCCCCTGCCCCACCTGGCTCCAGGCACTCCTACTAGGAGCCCATCAATATGACCATCTTTTTGTCCACCTGTCTCGGTCCACTCGGGCTTTTTAAAAATGCCATACACTGGGGGGCTTGAACAACAGAAACTTACTTCTCAAAATTCTGGAGGCTGGGATGTCCGAGATCAGAGGGCCAGCATGGTTCTTGTGAAAGCCCTCTCCCTGGCTTGCAGGTGGCCTCTTGTATCCTCACAAGGCAGGGGGGGAGAGAGAGAGGGACGGTGGAGAGGGAGGGAGAGAAAGAGACCTAAGGTTTCTCTCATGTCTCTTCTTATAAGGGCACTAATCCCAACCACGTGGTCGCCACCCTCATAATATCACCTAAACCTAACCACCTCCCAAAGGTCCCACCTCCTAATACCAGCACATTGGGGGTTAGGGGCTTCAGCATAAGAATTTTGGGGAGACAGACATTCAGCCGATAACAGCATCCTTCTGGAGATCTTGTATCCACTGCTTACTTTTAAAGAATTATGAAAAGTTCACTCCAAGGTAAGGGGGTGGGGAGGCTCTGCTATGGCATCCTGGAAACCCTTCACATGTCCACATGGACACTTGAACTGCAGCTAATCTGACTCTGGGCACAATGCCTTATGATCCTCCTGGAACATAAGAAGATGAGAGGCTTGTGAGGAGCTTTGTGAGGCCATCTCCCACTCACCTTATTCCCACCCCCCGCCCCGGAAGACTTTCGCCAGACAGCTTCTCGTTGCTTCTCAGGTTCCGATGAGGTATGGCACTTTCTGCCCTGTTCCCCTCAGACTGGAGCTGCAGAATATAAAAATGCTTAGCTGCGGTCTAGATTTGGCTCTTGTGGTTCTGTAGAAAGACATGTGGCCTTTGTTTCTGGTTCCTGGCACAGAGCTCCTAAAACCCTTATTTCCTTAGTGACAAGGGTGATAGGAGCATCTTTTCTTCTAAGGAGGCCACTCTTGGTGAGCCTCTAGGTAGCTTCAGGATGGGGGCTGGTCATCAGAAAGACCAGCCGTGTGACTAGAAGCTTGGAACCTTCTGCACCACTCCCATCTCTGAGGAGAGAGGAAGAGGCTGGATATTGAGTGATTAACTCAACGGCCAATAATTTAATCTTGTCTCTGTAATGGAATAATGTAATGTGATAAAGATTATTTAAGAAATCTGGTTAGGGGCACCTGGATGGCTCAGTTGGTCAGCATCTGACTCTTGATCTCAGCTCAGGTCTTGATCTCAGGGTTGCGAAGTCAAGCCCCGCACTGGGCTCCATGCTGGGCATGGAGCCTACTTAAAATCAGTCAACTCTGGAAAACACTATGGAGGTTCCTCAAAAAGTTGAAAATATAGTTACCCTATGACCCAGCAATTGCACTACTGGGTATTTACCCCAAAGATACAAATGTAGTGATCCAAAGGGGCATGTGCACCCCAGTGTTTACAGCAATGTCCACAATAGCCAAACTATGGAAAGAGCCTAGATGTCCATCAACAGATGAATGGATAAAGAAGATGTGATACACACACACACACACACACACACACGATGGAATATTATGCAGCCATGAAAAATTGAAATCTTGCCATTTGCAATGACATGGATAGAACTAGAGAGTATTATGCTAAGCAAAATAAGTCAATCACAGAAAGACAAGCATCATATGATCTCACTGATATGAGGAATTTGAGAAACAAGACAGAGGATCATAGGGGAAGGGAGGAAAAAATGAAACAAGGTGAAGCCAGAGAGGGAGAAAAACCATAAGAGACTCAATCTCAGGCAACAAACTGAGGGTTGCTGGAGTGGAGGGGGAGGGATGGGCTGGCTGGGTGATGGACACTGGGGAGGGTATGTGCTATGGTGAGCGCTGTGAATTGTGTAAGACTGATGAATTGCAGACCTGTACCCCTGAAACAAATAATACATTATATGTTAATTAAAAAATTTAAGGGACGCCTGGGTGGCTCAGATGGTTAAGCATCTGCCTTCGGCTCAGGTCATGATCCCAGGGTCCTGGGATCGAGCCCCACATCGGGCTCTGTGCTCAGCAGGGAGCCTGCTTCTCCCTCTCCCTCTGCCTGCCTGTCTGCCTACTTGTGATCTCTCTCTCTCTGTCAAATAAATAAATAAAATCTTTAAAAAATAAAAAATAAAAAATTTTAAAAAATCAATCAATCAATCTGGTTAAAGTGTGGAGGTGAAAGCTTTGCCAAAAGTATCAATTTTGTTTTCTGATGCAACTAGGAGAATTACACAAATATTCACTCATGACTTTTACTAAATTGTTCTCTACTCCACTGAAATAAATCTACACACAGAAGTGTTATTTAAACAAGAGTCTTATAAAAATCTCAACTTTATTTTTTTATTTTTTATTTTTTAAAGCTTTTATTTATTTATTTGAGAGAGAGAGAATGAGAGAGAGCACATGAGAGGGGGGAGGGTCAGAGGGAGAAGCAGACTCCCTGCCGAGCAGGGAGCCTGATGCGGGACTTGATCCAGGGACTCCAGGATCATGACCTGAGCCGAAGGCAGTTGCTTAACCAACTGAGCCACCCAGGCGCCCCTAAAAATCTCAAGACTTTAAAAATCATTGCCACATCTCTTGAAAATCACCTTCAAAGAAACACCTGTAATTATAATTCATTTCTCTCCTTGATAATTCATTGCCGTGTTGATTTTTCTGTATTACTAAATGGAAAGACAAGTAAGCCCTGTCAAGACAATAGTCTCAGGGGCATGTTGCTCTTCTTCCAAATGAATAGTGGAAAAATTCATAAAAACTTATGATGTGCTTGGTTTCTTATTTTAACAAAGAGATTGAGGGCGCCTGGGTGGCTCAGTTGGTTAAGCGACTGCCTTCGGCTCAGGTCATGATCCTGGAGTCCCGGGATCGAGTCCCGCATCAGGCTCCCTGCTCGGCAGGGAGTCTGCTTCTCCCTCTGACCCTCCTCCCTCTCATGCTCTCTGTCTCTCATTCTCTCTGTCTCAAATAAATAAATAAAATCTTTAAAAAAAAAAAAGAGATTGAGAATTTTGTCTTATTTAAATTAGCGTATCTATCAAATACAGTTTGTAGACTTGTAGTTTGCAGATTTGAACCCTGATTTTAAAAAAACTGACAAAAAGAGCATATTTGAGATGATTGAGGAAATTTGGATACTGGCTGGATATTAGATGGTATCAAGAAAGTACTGTTAGAGTAAGGAAACGACAGATGTTGGCGGGGATGCGGAGAAAGGGGAACCCTCCTACACCGTTGGTGGGAATGCAAGCTGGTGCAGCCACTCTGCAAAACAGTATGGAGGTTCCTCAAAAAGTTGAAAATAGAGCTACCATATGATCCAGCAATTGCACTACTGGGTATTTACCCCAAAGATACAAAAGTAGGGATCCGAAAGGGTACGTGCACCCCGATGTTTATAGCAGCAATGTCCACAATAGCCAAACTGGGGAAAGAGCCAAGATGTCCATCGACAGATGAATGGATAAAGAAGAGGTGGTATATATATATACAATGGAATATTATGCAGCCATCAAAAGGAATGAGATCTTGCCATTTGCAACGACGTGGATGGAACTGGAGGGTATTATGTTGAGTGAAATAAGTCAAACAGAGAAAGACATGTATCATATGATCTCACTGATATGAGGAATTCTTAATCGCAGGAAACAAACTGAGGGTTGCTGGAGTGGGGGGTGGGGTGGGAGGGATGGGGTGACTGGGTGATAGACACTGGGGAGGGTATGTGCTATGGTGAGCACTGTGAATTGTGCGAGACTGTTGAATCTCAGATCTGTACCTCTGAAACAAATAATGCAATATATGTTAAGAAAAAAAGAAGAAGAAGAAGAAGAAGGTAGTGGGAGGGGAAGAATGAAGCAGGGGAAATCGGAGGGGTAGACGAACCATGAGAGACGATGGACTCTGAAAAACAAACTGAGGGTTCTAGAGGGGAGGGGGGTGGGAGGATGGGTTGGCCTGGTGGTGGGTATTGAGGAGGGCACATTCTGCATGGAGCCCTGGGTGTTATGCACAAACAATGAATCATGGAACACTTCATCTAAAACTAATGATGTAATGTATGGGGATTAACATAAGAATAAAAAAAAGATAAATAAATCTCCCTGGAAAATAAAAAATAAAAAGGTAAAAATAAAGAGCATTTAAAACAAACAAAACAAAACAAAAAGAAAGTACTGTTAGTTTTCTTGGGATGATACTGCCTTGGTGGTTATATATTTTTTAAAAAGATTCACATCTGATAAAGATAGCTATGTACTGAAATATTTTGGGAAAAAAGATAAGTTCACAAGATTAGTCACTCAGTAAAATTTAACTATTACTTTATAGCTATTATTATTTAAAGATTTTTTTAGTATAGTTGACACACAATGTTATACTTCTTTCAGGCATGCAACAGAGTGATTCAGCTTCTCACTGTGTTATGCTGGGCTCACAAGTGTAGCTACCATCAGTCCCCATACAACATATCACAGTGTCATGGACTATATTCCCTATGCCATGCCGCCTTTTATTCCTGTGACTTATTCATGCCATGGCTGGAAGCCTGTATCTCCCTCTCCCCTTCACCCATTTTGCCCATCCCTACCCCCTTTCTTCCTGGCAACCATCAGTTTGTTTTCTATATTTATAGGTTTGATTCTGCTTTTTGTTTATTCATTTGTTTTTTAGATTCCACGTATGAATGAAATCATATGGTATTTGTCATCTGTCTTTCTCAATCTGACTTTACTTAGAATAATACCCTCTAGGTCCATCCATGTTGCTGCAAATGACAAGATCTCATCCTTTTTGTGGCTGCATAATATTCCTCTGTGTGTGTGTGTGTATTACTTCTTCCTTATCCATTCGTCTACTGATGGACTTAGGTTGCTTCCATATCTTGACTATTGTAAATAATGCTGCAATGAACAAGGATGTATATATCTTTTTGAATTAAAGTTTTCATTTTCTTGGATAAACACCCAGTAGTGGAATTATTGGATCATAAAGTATTTCTTTTTTTTTTTAATTTTATTTATTTATTTGACAGAGAGTGAGAGAGGGAACAGAAGCAGGGGGAGTGAGAGAGGGAGAAGCAGGCTCCCCGCGGAGCAGGGAGCCCGATGTGGGGCTCAATCCCAGGACCCTGGGATCATGACTTGAGCCGAAGGCAGACGCTTAACGACTGAGCCACCCAGGTGCCCCAAGTATTTCTATTTTTAATTTTTTGAGGACCCTCCATACTGTGGTTGTACCGGTTTGCATTCCCACCAACAGTACAAGAGGGTTCCCTTTTCTCCACCATTGTCAATACTTTTATTTCTCTCTCTCCTTTTTTTTAAATTTTAACCATTCCGACAGGTACCTCATTGTGGTTTTGATTTGCATTTCCCTGATTAGTGATGCTGATCATCTTTTCATGTGTCTGCTGACCATCGGTATGTCTTCTTTGGAAGAACATCTATTCAGATCATCTGCCCATTTTTTAATTGGATTGTTTGTGTTTATTCTGGTGTTGTGTTGTATAATTCTTTATATACTTTGAGTATTAACTCCTTATCAGATATATCATTTTCTTTTTCATTCAATCTTTTCTCCCATTCAGTAGGTTGCCTTTTTGTCTTGTTGATGGTTTCCTTTGCTGTGCAAAAGCTCTTTATCTTTATTTTGATGTAGTTTCAATAGTTTATTTTAGCCTTTTTCCTTTGCCTTAGGAGACATATCTAGAAAAAATGCTGCTATGACTGATGTCAGGGAAATTACTGCCTGTGTTTTTTCCAGGATTTTTATGGTTTCAAGTCTCTTAGATCACGAACAAGACAAGGATGTCCATTCTCACCACTTTTATTCAACATTGTGCTAGAAGTCCTAGCCATAGCAAGCAGACAAGAAACAGAAATAAGAGGCATCTAACTGGTAAGGAAGCAGTTAAATTTTCACTATTTGCAGATGACATGATATTGCATATAGAAAACCCTAAAGACTCCACCAAAAAGCTATTAGAAGTAATAAATGAATTCAGTAAAGTTGCAGGATGTAAAATTAATATCCAAAGATTGGTAGCATTTCTATATACATTAATAACGAAGTAGCAGAAAGAGAAAACTAAGAAAACAATCCATTTAGAATTGCACCAGAAAGAATAAAATACCTAGGAATAAATTTAATCAAGGAGGTGAAAGACCTGTACCCTGAAAACTATAAAACATTGATGAAAGAAGCTGAAGGAATGGAAACACATTCCATGCTCATGGATTAGAAGAATTAATATTGATAAAATGTCCATACTACCCAAAGCAATCTACAGATTCAATGTGTTCCCTATCAAAATATCAACAGCATTTTTTCACAGAACCACAACAAATAATACTAAAATTTAAATGGAACCACAAAGGCCCCAAAATAGCCAAAGCAATAAATCTACTATAAGCATGGCCCTGATCCACTTCTCCTCTAACCCTAAAGGCAGCCATAATCTGGTGCAAGTCCGTTTCTTTTTTAAGACTTTTTTTTTTTACTTGAGAGAAAGAAGAGCCCACGCGAGCACAAGAGCCAGGGAGAGGCAGAGGCAGAGGGAGAAGCAGGCTCCCCACTCAGTGGGGAGCCCAACACTGGGCTCGATCCCAGGACCCTGAGATCATGATCTGAGCTGAAGGCAGACGCTTAACCCACTGAGCCACCCAGGTGCCTTTATCTTAGAATTTTTCCCCCCACAGATTCCACTTATTTATTTGACAGAGAGAGACAGCGAGAGAGGGAACACAAACGGGGGAGTGGGAGAGGGAGAAGCAGACTCCCCACTCAGTGGGGAGCCCAACACTGGGCTCGATCCCAGGACCCTGAGATCATGATCTGAGCTGAAGGCAGACGCTTCACCGACTGAGCCACCCAGGTGGCCCTGGAAACTTTCCTTTTTAAACACTGTGGTAAACTACACATAACATGTACCATCTTGACCATTTTTAGATGCGTGGTTCCGCAATGTTCAGTACATTCACGCTGCTGTGCCCCACCACCACCACCATCCACAGAGCTCCTCATCCTGCACATCTGTGCCCATTAAACCACGACTCCGCCTCCTCCAGCCCCTGGCTCCACCATCTACCTTCTGTCTCTATAAATCTGACTGCTCTAGGGACCTCACAGAAGTGACTCATACGGTATCTGTCTTTTTGTGTCTGGCTCATTCCATTGAGCATAACGTCCTTGAGGTTCACCCACATTGTGGCAGCTGTCAGAATGTCCTTCCTCTCCGAGGCTGAATAATACTCCATTGTGTCTACAGACCACGTTTTGTTTGCCCATTCATTCGTCAATGGACACTCGGGTCGTTTCCACTTCGTCTACTGTGAATAATGCTCATGAGAACATGGACGTACAAGTATCTCTTTAAGACTCTATTTTCAATTCTTTTGAAAATATACCCAGAAGTGGAATTGCTGGATGGTAATTAATTTGATTCAGTTTTTGAGCCTCTATGCAACTCCAGAGTCAGGGGATGTGACTTTGCTTCTTGGTGCCCCACTAAAAGCACACACGTGCTTGTTTTTCAGTTTCCATAATTGTATCAACATTTCTTGTCCTACATTTGCTCCTCTCTCATTGCCTTTTTTCCTTCTTAGCTTATGTCCTCCTAATAAATCCCCTAATTGTCTTTCAATGAGGTTTTGGGAAGAAATGTATATGTCCCATCTGCATGTTTATGTAGAAGTCCTTATATCTGTTCCTAAATTCAGCAGTCCCCAATTCTAAGCTTTACAAGAGTTCACTCCTCTTTTAAACTATGAATTTTTTGCATCCCACAGCACCTCACTTAAAATTTCTAAAGGCTTAAATTTCAATAACATTTAAAGGGATAAATTAACATATCAATTTTAGCCAACTTAGAAAGCACAGATAAGCAAAAAGGAACAAAAAATATTGATCGCAATTCTACTACTCAGAGAATAACACTTTTGTAAATAAACTAGATTTACCTTCTAGATTTTTCCATGTGCACATCATGCCTGGGTTGTCTCTTGTTCTGTCTACACCTCAACCAGATGTGGAACACAGCTCCCTAAGTTCTCCTGAAGAGCCTCTTTCCGCCAGAGATCTAATGACAGATTTCACAGAAGAGATTTCACTGAGGAGATAGTTCACATCGCGTCCCCACAACAAACCACTTACAAACCCACCACAGACATTTCTCTTCTTCAAATTCCTTTTCTGCTATGTTGCCTGCCAGTGAGGGTTCTTCTGTCTTACCTTCTCTTTATAGGGCCTGTTGTCTCATTCTCCCAGATCCCCACCACTCCGATGCCCTATGACTTCCCACCTCTTTGCCCTCAGCTCTGACCCCATTCCTGCCCTCAGCATCCCTGGGACATAACCTAGAAGTTGTGCACGTCACCTTGCTCACATCCTGTGACCAAAAGGACCCACAGTTCCCTGAGGGAGAGAAATGTTGTGGGTTTTTTTTTTAAGATTTTATTTATTTTATTTGAGGGGGTGGGCAGAGGAAGAGGGAGAGAGAGAAGCAGACACCCCGTGGAGTGCAGAGCCCAATGTGGGGCTCCATCTCATGACCCTGAAATCACGACCTGAGCTGAACCCAAGAGTCAGATGCTCAAGCGACTGAGCCACCTAGGCGCCCCTAGAGAAATGTATTCTTATTCTGGATCGCTGGGAGCCCAGGTATTTGCTGTCACAGTGCAGAAGGGGACGATGGTGATTGAAGTCCAGTTAGCAGTGTCTCGCATGCTCTGCATACTCACGGCTATGCCCTGGAAGTGGATGGCTGACCTCTGGGCTGTTGGGAGGACTCAGTGCATCAAGCCTGTGGGAAGTGGTTTGAGAGTGTGTTGCAATAGTCATTTCCTGATAGAGACTAGAAGACAGAAACTCTGGGTATGCAGAGTGGAGGACTGAAAAACCAGGGGCAAAGCTGTTCCTGCACGTCCTGGAGTCAAGCGGACATCTTGGCTTCGCACCACCAGCAAGACTGAAGGAAGATCCTTGGAAGAGGCTTGTGGGTGCTGCCATGATGCCCCAACTCTTGGCTCTGCTCTGCACTGGTAAGTCACGGAGGAGGGCAGCCACTGGACGGGTGGGGCTGGGCTGTGGCAGCAGCTGGAGTTGGTGGGGCCTGTGGGGTGGGTAATGGTGTGGGGTTAATAAACACAGACTAGAACCTTCCATTTCCTGAATACAAATTATGTACAAGGGACATGTTGGGTGCTTTACACACATTTTCCTGTTTCCCCAAACTCAGTCATCCCTGAACTTCCCCATGACATTTTTCCCTATGTACGTGACCTCTGTATTCTTTCCTATGTGATCTTCCTCTCTAAATTCCCCAGGTTTTTGTATTATTGTTTTTGTACTCAACTCTATTTTAAAAGAAAATCTGTAAAACACTTCTATTAATGGAAAATCAGTGTCCCTCATCAAAAACAGACCCTGTTCGCCTCTGGGCCACAGTTTCCACAGGTCCTGTTTCTGAGAGGTAGCAGTGAATGCAGAAAGCCGGCTTCAGTCTAGCACTCGGCAGTGGTATTCTTCCATGGGATCTGAGAGAGTGCCAAGAACCGAGAAGACAGACTTTCTCACACAGGCTCAGTGACACTTCCTCTCCTGTCATTGACCTGAAGTCATCTTACATCTCTTAGAGAAAGTCTCCCAAATAATTCTCTTCCCCATACTGCATTCAAGGAATCTGAAAGTCACAGCTGAAGTACCTGCCAAGGTCACTCTGCTGCTAAGCGGAGAAGCTGAATTCCAATTCTGGTCTGCACAGTGCCAGAGACCATAATTTTCCATTGGGCCATACGAAGGAATTAAAAGGTCCTAATTTTGGGGTCGGGGGGTGGAAATGTCTGGAGGGTGGATGAAGGGAGTCATGGTTAGAAAAACCTCAAGAAGGTAAATGAGCAGTGGATCCAATGATCTTAGTAGGTGCCAGCAACCTTCTCCTGTGAAGGGCCTGATAGACAGGCTCTGGGGTTACATGGTCTTTGTTACCTACCATTCAACACCTGTCAGAATGGCTCTCATCAAGAAGACAAGAGGTGTTGGTGAAGACATGGAGACTAGGGACTCACACACTGTTGGTGGGAATGCAAACTAGTGCAGTCACTGCAGAAGACAGTATGAAGGTTCCTCAAAAAGTTAAAAATAGGGGTGCCTGGGTGGCTCAGTCGGTTGGGCATCTAACTCTTGATTTCAGCTCAGGTCATGATCTCAGGTCATGAGATCAAGTCCTAGGTTGGGCTCCTCACTGAGCACAGAGCCTGCTTGAGATTCTCTCTCTCCCCCTCCCTCTGCCCCTCCCCCACATGCTCGTGCTCTCTCTCTTTCTAATAATAATTTTTAAAAAAGCTAAAAGTAGAACTACCATATGATCATCAACCCCACTTTGGGGTTATATATCTAAAGGAAATGAAAACATGAAATTGAAGGGATGTCTGCATCCCCATGTTCACTGCAGCATTATTCCCAGCAGCCAAGGCATGGAAATGACCTAAGTGTCCATCCATGGATAGATGGTTACAGAAGATGTGGTCCGTATTATTCAGCCGTGAGGAAGAAGGAAATCCCACCATTTGTGACAACATGGATGGACCTTGAGGGTATTACACGAAGTGAAACAAGTCAGAGACAGAAAGATAAATACTGTATGAACTCACTTTTCTTAGGATCAATTGGTCTAGATCTGAAAGGAAGGCCACCAGGGAACATACACCTCACCCTTCCAGGCAATACCAATCTTAGATTTTTGAGATTTCCTCCGGGGTACCAAGGAGAGGACTCATGGCCAACCGTAATGTCAGGGATGCATTTAGGCCATTCCCCAAGGGCAGACAGAAGCTTCTCCATGCAAAGGACTGCGTTCTCGGTAGCTAGATGTCCCTTATCATAGGGTAGGGCTCTCCCCACTCCTTCCTCCGCTCTCAGTTGATATGGATGGTTATGCTGTTGCGTTGGGAGGGAATTTGGGAAATCATTATTTCTGAAATCATTATTTCAGAAATCTTTGTAAATGACACTCTTTACATAAGACCAACTCTATTGGTCAACATGTATTTGTTGAACATCTGCCAAAGTCCACACTGCATTCTAGGTAGTGAGGATGTATTCTCTGCACTCAAGGGGCTTAAATTCTAGTGATTCCAGATCTCTTATGAACCCAAGAGCATCAGGAATAATAGGTGTCTTTAAAACCTAAGTGGTTTCTTTTCCCCCCAGCCAAATGGTTTTTGTCATTATTAAGATTTCTCTCACACTCAAGAAGCCATGGCACCAGGGGAAGGGTGGGTCCTGTGCCCTCTACAATGTTGACACGCTCAGGAGACACCCCGAGTGACACATTTAGGGTAACAGGGATGATCAGGAGCCAAGTGTAGTGTCCCTTATCCTCTCTTCACCATCAAATCTAGAGAGGATATCACAGGATACAACAGACGAATAGGGTGGATGGATAAAGGATGGGTGGTGGGGGAAATCGTTGGGTTCTGAGGCAAAATGGCAAGGCCATCCAAAGTCCTGGGGCCATTGTGAGGAGAGATGACTCTGGGACAGTGAAGTGGGACAATGTGAGAAATGACAGAGACTGTGGTATGGAGGATGTCCATATCTTGACTCCCAGGAGCTGTGGACATGTTCCTTTGTGTGGCAAAGGAAATGCAAGGTGGCAGGAGGGATTAAAGTTGCTTATCAGTTGGCCTTAAAGTAGGGAGCTTCTTCTGGATTATCTGGGTGGTCACAGTGTAACCAACCACGTGATCCCCAGGGTAGCAAAAGAGGCAGAAGAGGGTGTCAATGCGCCAACGATTCCTAGTTTTAGAGCCAGAGGAAAAGGCCACTACCAAGGGGTGCAGGCGCCTCTAGAAGCTGTGAAAGGCCAGGAAATGGGTTGTCATCTAGAGCCCCCAGAAGGAACACAGCCCCGAAGACACCCTGGTTTGAGCCAGTGGGACTTGTGTTGTTGGATTTCTCTAACCCACGGAACGGCAAGGTAATAAATCTGTGTCATCACGAGCCACTAAACTTGTGACAATCTGTAACACCAGCAGTCCTAGGAAGTTAACATAAGGGGCAAGCCAGCATCCATGCCAGATGGGTTTTCCAGCAGGAGGCTGGGACTGCCACTGAGCATGATGACAGGGCTCAGCGGCAGCCCCCGGGGAGGCCCCTCGGGACGGGGCTCCAGGTGGATGCTCATGTCTCATGGACGGTTCTCTTGCAGGGCTGTGTGCTGGCCAAGGAAGCAGGACAACTGATGGTGAGTTCCTTCAGTCAGACCCTCCCTCCCCTTCACTCCAAACTCCCTGTGTCCCTTCTCTTTCCTTCAAGGGGTTTCCTGAGAGCAGACAAGGGCACCAAATCCCATCCCCAAATCTGCTTCCTTCCAGAGTCCCTTCCCAAGCCCTCCCTCAGGGCCTGGCCCAGCTCGGTGGTGTCTCGCAAGAGTAATGTGACGCTGCAATGCTGGACTTCTACCAAGAATGTCAACTTTGTTCTCAGAAAGGGAAAAGTTCATTTGCAGTCTGTGCAATCACGGGCTTCCACAGAGGGCCTGGCTGAATTTCACCTCACTGGCCTAAACAGCGACAATGCTGGAGAGTACGCCTGTGAGTACTACAGACGAGGGAGCCCGTACATACGTTCACAGCCCAGTGACGTCCTCCTACTGCTGGTGACAGGTGAGGAGGTGCCTCGGAGGGACATAGGGTCTTGCAGGGACAGGTGTGGGGGAGGAACCCGAGGGAGGGAGGGAACAAGGGGAGATGGAGAAACACAGAACAGACTGGCCTGGCTCAGCTTCAGCCAGGGCTTGCTGGGGAAATCTTCCCACAGTCAGAGTGGAAAGAGGGTGAGACCAGGGATCTGTCATTTCCCCCACTTGGCGGGAACCCTTGCCAGGAAAACAAGGGAGGGTGGGGGACCCCGGGCTGCTCCCCATGACCTTGGTGCCCTCCTTTTCTTCCAGGAGATTTACCAAAACCTTCCCTCCAAGCCCACCAAAGGGGTGAGGTGACCGCAGGAGAAAACGTGACCCTGCAATGTCAGGGGCCAGCCAGTGTTTACGAGACTGTAATGTTCGCTCTACTGAAGGCGGGAGCGGCAGGGCCCATACAGGTCCAGAGTCCTGCAGGGAAGGAGACGGACTTCTCCCTCCGGACTGTGACAGTCAGTGATGCCGGGAATTACAGCTGTGTGTACTTCCAGACAGGGATTCCTTTCTGGGCTTCGCACCCTAGCGATCATCTTGAGATCCGGGTGACAGGTGAGGTTTGCACTGTCAGGAGGACCGCAGCTGGATTACCTGCCTGCTGAGGTGCTGGGACCTGAGGGAGTGCAGTGAGGGCACAGTCTGTCTCCACAAGACTCTGCAGCTTGGAGAAATCATTAGGAAGGGAGGGCCAGGATTCTGTGGAACCGTGTAGAGGATCTTCTGCCAAGACAGGGAGCAGAGATGGTGGAGAACCACATAAAAGGAGGCTGGGTGGGGGCTTCCCACTGTAGGTACTCTGGGGGGACAGGCTTCAGGGAGGGGGGATTTGCAATAATTGACCCCCACTAGGAAAATAAGATGTAGCCACAAAACCATCGCATATCTCCTGGGCAGGGCATAATTCATTTAGACTAAAATGTGAATGACACCTCCTGGGGTTATGCAGGAGGAGGTTCTAACCAAAAGGCAGAGGAGGGGGCAGAGAGTAACAGAGCCCAGGAGGATCTTCCTGAGAAAGACTCAGAGACTGCAGCAAGATCTGTGTTCCATTTTCATTGGGACTCTAGCACTCTTGCCTTTTAGCTCAGCTGAGTCGAGCTTTTCTCTTCCTGCCGAGCCCTTTCTGTCGAGAGGAATGATTTTTTTAAAAAACCATGGCAAAAGTGCATAACGTATAAGTTACCCACCTCCAGAGCGCCCTTCATCTTGCAGAACTGAAACTCTGTCCCCATCAGATAGCCTCTCTGCACCCCTCCCCCACCCCAGCCCCTGGCTCCCACTATCCTACATTGTCTCAATATATCTGACTAATCCAGGAACCTTACCTCACTGGAATCATACGGTATTTGTCATTCTGTGACTGGCTTTTCTCACTCCGAAATACGTTCTCAAGGTTCATCCATACCATAGCATATAGCTGGATTTCCTTCCTTGTTGAGGCTGATAACGTTCCATTTTATGGGCAGACCACATGTCGTTTACCTATTCCTCAGCTGATGGACATTTGGGTCCTTTCCACCTATTTGGCTACTGGCCACCTAGTGGCTACCAATTCTTTTGGATGTATACTCAGAACTGGGATTGCTGGATCTTAGGATAGTTCTACCTTTAAATTTTGGGGGACCCGCCACCATACTGTTTTTCATAGTGGCCATGTTCTACGTTGCTACCTACGGTGCACAAGGGTTCTGTTGGTTTGTTCAGGAAAGGGATGTTTTTTGACCCTTGTGCACTAGGGCTATTTTTGACGCCTGAATTTGTCCAGGACAAGCGGAGGAAGAGAGGCCAGTAGGAACCAGGCATCCTCCTGGATGGGGGCTGAGCACCCCAGTATGGACATGAGGACCAGTCATACCTGCACAGGGCAGTAAACAGAGAACCTGGAATTTCCAAAAAGCTCATGGTGCCGGGATTCGGGGCTCCTGAGAAATGCCACGCAGGAGACGACAACAGGTGAAGTCAGTGGACCTGAGTTAAAACCACAGCTCTGGCGCTTGCTGTGAATATTCCTCCACTCAGTTCTTTGCCTGCCTTTCCCTCATCTGTCAAGTGGGGGGGAGGCAGCAATGCACACCTCCGACCCATTCAACTTCTGTAGGAAGGAGAGAGAATGTAAGCGATCAATTATAATGGATAGTTTTGAGGACTGTATTCAAGACACTTGCTTGCAAGTGAAAAGCACCTACCTTGACGTGACCTCGGGAAAGTGAGGGGAATAGATCAGCCCTTGGGATTAAAGAGGTCATTCAGTGTTTCCCAACCGGGCACTACTGACATTTTTTGCTGCATAATTCTTTTTTGGGGGAGGGGGGGAGAACGGTGCATCCTGTGCATCATAGGATGTTCAGCTGGATCTCTGACCTCCACCTGCTACAAGTCTCCTTTGCCAACTGCGACAACCACATCACCTCCAGACACTGGCAAGTGTCCCACGGAGTCCGGACTATGCGTGGCTAGAAACCACTGGGATCGTGGGCCAGTAAATCGTGGGAAGCGCATGGATGCCACCTGCTTCAGAAACTGGAATGAGGGACCGGAGTGTTGCCCGGATTCTTTTCCCCTCTGACACTTGTTTGTGTCCTTATGGTGCTCTTTTAGTGGGGACCAGCTCCCTCTTTTGGGCAGAGAGCATGGCTTTTACGAGCTGAATTTATGAGCAGCTCACAAATTTTACTCCTGGAGAAGCATCTGACCCTCCTTCCCAGACCCAGTTCAAAACAGACAGACACACAGACAGACAGACAAAGGGACTGGGGAGGGCTGTGAACAGTCCTGGTCAGCTTAGCCTCTAGATCGATCCTAGGAAATGCTCATGAGAGAATGCTGTGCAAGAAAAACCCCAGCACCATCCAGGGTGACTCGAATGTAGGGGGGAATGAGCAGTTCCTAAAAGAAGGGAGAGGAGCTACCCTCTGATCCTATGGTCTGAAATTTGTGTCCCCCACCCCTGCAATTTCATGTTGAAATTCTAACCCCTAATGTGACATCATTAGGAGGCGGGGCCTTTGGGAGATGCTTAGGTCTTAAGGGTGGAGTCCTCATGACGGGACTAGTGCCCTTATAAAAGGAGACCCCAGAAGCTCCCTTGGCCCCTTCTGCCACCCAAAAGAGCCCCACCCCCCACCCCTCGACCATGCTGGTGCCCTGATCTCAGATTTCTGGTCTCCAGACCTGTGAGAAAAAGACGTCTGTTGTTCATCAGCCCCCCAGCCTGTGGCATGCTCTTAGAGCAGCCCAAAGGGACTAAGACAGCTAATAACGGTGGGGTATCTGCTCAGCAAGGGTGTTTGCTACAGAATGGCAGAGCCCTGGACAGAGCAAGAAAATTCCAAGGTCCTGAGGTTGATCTGGAGACCACCGGCAGCAGCACGGGGTAAAGGAGTTTTCTCTCTACCCCAGGGTGGGGCCACAGAGCCCAGGAGTGAGGCAGGGAATTCACGGGTCCAGGGAAACCTTTCCTGCATCTAAGATCCAGCTACTCCATTGCCTCCTAGGTCAATGTGAAGGACATTCCCCCCAGGGATAAGTCAGGTAATTGGGAGAAAGGGAAGAACATTCAAACAACCACAGCCATTTGAACAGGGATGAGCACCTGTCACTTAGGTAGATGGCCCCCCTGTCTGGAGGAGTGTGTACCTGCTCTTGTTTTGCAAGTAATTACAAGCATTTGGATTTTAGTTAGTTAACAAGCTATCTTCCTATAGATTACTTAGCTTCTGTCTGCCTCAGTTTCTGTACCTGTTTAAACGGGACTGAGAGTAGGACCTACACAAGGGACTCATGGTGAGATTTTGAGGAGTTAAAGGACCTAAATCCTTTCTAAACTGTCTGGTGGACAGCAAGTGTCATTGAAGTCATCTAAGTCTTTACTATTCTTATCATTATGAACACCCCAAACATCCCCCTCTGCATGGCAAAACAGCTTTATCAAGAGCTGCACTCCTAATGCCAGACTTTCCAGGAAACAGAGAACATCTGAGGAGTGTACCCCTCAGATGGTAACAGTAAATATCCTCATTGTTACAATGAATTACAAATATTAGTGGAGAATTACATGACCTCCTAAGGCCTTCCAGGTTCTAAAAAGGCCAAGGGTGCACGTCTGTGTCTTTAACTCAGCTCAATTGCACGTGACAAGGTTAAGCACAGATGAGATGGTCTTCAAAACATGACGCTCAAAGAGACAAAACCGGAAGAAAAATATTGTAGGTTGGATCTGCTCTCTGTAGAAAGGCGGACATTTTAAATAATTTCAGGTTATTCCACAACTGGTGAGTCATTTGTTTTTTCTCTTCTTTATCCTTGGCATATAAGGAACCCTCTGAGTTTCTTGATATGCTGCTCCCAGCTTGAGTACATCAGTGACAGAACGGCTCAACTGGAAGGACCCAGGAAGCTGTTGTCAAGCCCAATCACCACCTTTCCCGTGTTCCTTCAGCAACTGTTCAAACCCTGACAACTGTCACCAAGGGCAACAGGCTGAGGAAGACAGGAGGGTGTCATCTGGGGAGTGGGGGGTGGGGGGTGGCAGGGAGATGACTGAATAGAGGTGCACTGACAGACTACTGCAAACGGAGCCCAAGAGTTTCCCTTTGGGATTCGCCAGAGCTTTTTATAAACCCTTTCGACATTTTTGGTGGTCACTGCTGGGGATGGGGGATAGAGGATGCTCCCGGCATCTAGGAGGCAGAGACCACGGAAGCTGCAAAACACCCTGTGATGCCCAGGACCCCTCCCCACCAAGAACTATCCAGCCCCGAATATCAATGGCGCCCAGATGTGGGGGCGCCTGGGTGGCTCAGTCATTAAGCGTCTGCCTTCGGCTCAGGTCATGATCCCGGGTCCTAGGATCCAGCCCTGCATCGGGCTCCCTGCTTAGCGGGAGGCCTGCTTCTCCCTCTCCCTCTCCCCCTGCTTCTGTTCCCTCTCTCACTGTGTCTCTCTCTGTCAAATAGATAAATAAAATCTTTAAAAAAATAAATAAATAATGTATAGAGTTTTAAATTTTATTTAAATTTGATGGAGATACCACCTTACACCAGTTAGAATGGCAAAAATTGACAAGGCAAGAAACAACAAATGTTGGAGAGGGTGTGGAGAAAGGGGAACCCTCTTACACTGTTGGTGGGAATGCAAGTTGGTACAGCCACTTTGGAAAACAGTGTGGAGGTGCCTCAAAAAGTTAAAAATAGAGCTACCCTATGACCCAGCAATTGCACTCCTGGGTATTTACCCTAAAGACACAGATGTAGTGAAAAGAAGGGCCATATGCACCCCAATGTTCATAGCAGCAATGTCAGCAATAGCCAAACTGTGGAAAGAGCCGAGATGCCCTTCAACAGACGAATGGATAAAGATGTGGTTCACATATACAATGGAATATTACTCAGCCATCAGAGTGGATGCATACCCAACTTTTACATCCACACGGATGGGACTGGAGGAGATTTTGCTATGTGAAATAAGTCAAGCAGAGAAAGTCAATGATCATATGGTTTCACTTATTTGTGGAACATAAGGAATAGCATGGAGGACATTAGGAGAAGGAAGGGAAAAATGACGGGGGGGGGAATCGGAGGGGGAGACGAACCATGAGAGACTATGGACTCCGAGAAACAGAGGGTGTTAGAGGGGAGGGGTGGGGGGGATGGTTTAGCCCAGTGATGGGTATTAAGGAGGGCATGTACTGCATGGAGCACTGGGTGTTATACGAAAACAATGGATCCTGGATCACTACATCAAAAACTAATGATGTATTGTATGGTGACTAACATAACATAATAAAATTTAAAATTTTTTTTTAAAAAGAGTAAAAAATTTTTCATTAAATTTAAAACTTAACTCAAGAATTCCGTCTTCTAGGTAAAACTGAAAGGAAGTCTCCCAAGATGGCAGAAACAGAGCTAGGTAAGAGAGTCGAGCTTCCTGGGACATACAGTCATTCACCCGTGGGATGAGATGTCCTTGTGCAGCTATGAGTTATCCACCCCTGGGAAAATTCTTGAGGATGTCTATCTGTTGGTGATGCCTGAAGGCTGTGGCTCAGTACAAGGTCTTCCAAGGTGGGGAGGATCAGAGGCACAGCTCTGCCACCTCGGTAGCTGGGCCACTTTGGAAATAGTACTTCAACCCTCTGACGTTCAGCTTCTGCATCTGTAAAATGGGCATCACTCTGTCTCTCTCCCAGGATACTTGTAAGTATGAAAAAAACGTAGTGAGCTCTCCAGCATGTGGTAGGAACTCAATCGATGGAGACACACTGAGGCACCAGAGAGTGTCTCAGGAAACCGTGGGCCCTCTTAACCCCTCACCTCTCCCCAGGGACCACTGGGATCACCCTCATTGTCATCTTCACCTTTCTCTTCCTCCTTGGAACCTTCTTCATCTGGAAATACACCCGATGTGGTGAGTTCAGGAAAACAACAGCTAAATATTTGGGAGGAAATGGGAGAAATAGAATGGGAAAGTAACACCACAGGGTTGATCCTGTCTCTCTTTTATCCGCAGGGGCAGCTCTGGACAAGATGACCAAACGGTAGAGCTACTCAGAGGATCCCATACGCCCATACTTAACTCTTCCTCCATTGCTGCCTTGACTACTCAAGACCTTCTTTCTTACCTCAACATTTTATGTGGCCCCAAGCAGCCCCAGCAACCATCCTGTGTCTCTCCATGTCCTCCCTTCTTACAACCACCCTCCACTTCTCACTCAGTGTTCTTTCCTTGGATCCTTTCCTCATGGACCACACTGCCCCCAACCACTTCCCCTCCTCACCTCTCAAGACTTTGCTGAGCACCCAAATGACTCAGGGACCCCAGGGAGGGGTGTATGAGCGTCGAGTAAGTGGGGGGTACTTTGGTTTACACATGATCTTGCTTGGCACCTCACCTCCATCTACCCACAATGATCCCGATTCCTTTTACCTTTACCAATTTCCTTTACCTCTAATGCTTCACTCTTTCTCTTAGGTCCCACTCTAAGGAACCTGAAGAAGTGGGGACAAGTATTCAGCCTGAGAAAGGAAGTGGTGGTGGGTACATGTGTGTGTGTATTTCTATTTGTATGGTGTGTGCACACACGTGTGTGCGTGCAGACTTAACCCCGGAGCCTAGGGGTGAAGCAACAGCAGAATTTTTCCTTTCCAGATCCACCCGCAGCTATGATGAGCTGCTCTCCTGCCTGGGTGAGTTTCCGCTGTGGCCATTTCCCGTCATCCCCTCAACCCAAGCTCTCCGTCACTCCCTCCAGTTTTGTCAATGGTTTGGGTCTCTGCTTTCCTCTACCCCCACCCTTGCTCTACTTTCCAGGACAATCTGGTCTGAAATTTTCTGTGCCTTCTCTGGCCAGGGGACCTTCATCCCATCACTTGTCCTTTCTGGGGACATTTCCCCATGTGACATGGGATGCACATCACCTTCTTTCTGGGATGAATGGGATGATTTAATGAGCTCAGAGCCACACAATGATCAGTAGGATCCCAGGCATGGTGTAAGCATTCAGTGCTCCTGAAGCTGCTATGATTATAAACTATCTGTTATAATCTCGGGCCAGTGACTTTCCCACCCTGAGCCTCTGTTTCTTCATCTGGACAATGGGGATAATGTGCCCCACCTCTTCATGCTATTTATGAAAATATGGCAACCACCTACCATGAAGTACCTGCAAACTACAACCTGCAGGTATCAATAGTGACCCTTATTGTTTCCATTTACACTTCAATTTTTTTAAAAATGGTGGCAAAATGCATATAACACAAAACTCACCGTTTAACCTGTACAAGTTAGCAATTGTTGGAATATTCACAATGTTGTGCAAAAATCACCATTATCTAGTTCCAGAACATTTTCATCACCCCAGAGGAAACCCCACAGCCTTTAAGCACTCTCTGCATGCCCATACCCCCACCCCAAGCACCTGACCACCACTAGCTTTCTGTGCTTAAGGACTGACCTATTCTGTACATTTCAGGTTAACACTCTCTTTGGTGGCTGTTTGTATGAGTTATCTATGGTTTCATAACAAATGATCCCCAAACACAATGGCTTAAGGCAACACTTATGATCTCACGGTGTCTGCAGGTCAGGAATCTGGGTGTGACTCACACTGGTCTCACAGGCTGGCATGAAGGGCTTGGCCAGGGCTGGTTCAGGCTTGGATTTGTTTCCACACTCACTCACTCAGGTGGTGGCTGGCAGGATTCAGTTCCTTGCTGGCTGCTGGCCAGAGACCACCCTGACCATGTGGGCCTTTCCATAGGACAGATCGTAACCCAGCAGCTGGCTTGATCAGCATGAGTGAGGGACCTGAAAATAGACAGGTGTGAACAAGATGGAAGTCAGTCTTTCACCACCTAGTCTGGGACACGAAGACACAGGACAGCCCATCCTTTTCACTTAACTCTGTTTGACAGATGCATGTCCCTAGGTCCCACCAACCCTCAAGAGGGTAGGGGACTGCACCAAGACTCAAAGTGCAGGAGGCTCTTTCTAATACAGCTGTCAACCACACTGTTGTTACAAATGCTAAATCTTCACAATCCAACACTCTTTCCCGGGAATACTTGGTCCTTTTCTCCTTGCTTCCCTTCAGGATAAAACATCCCAGGTCTCAAGAGCTGAGGAACCCCATGGAGTGACTTATGCTGAGCTGAACATCAGAGCCCTAAGTGAGGGTCCCTCCAGCCAGATGGAGCAGCCTCTGGAAACCTGTGTGTACTCAACCCTTAAGGCATAGCCAGGAGAGCACCTGGAGCCTGGGAAGGAAGAACTTCCAACAAGGGGATGGACGATGGAGAGAGGACCCTTGAGGCACTAAGCAAATGGGGATCCCTTTCCTCAAATCTCCAATGAAGACTTGTTTACTTCTTCTAAAAATTTATTTTTTTTAAATAAGAGGTATCATTTGCATAGAGTAAGATGCACAAACCTTATCTCTACCTATCTCCTTTGGTATAACCACTGTCCAATTAAAAACAGTATTTCTAGCACTCCAGAAGTTTTCTTTGTGCCACTCTCCAGCTAACCACCCTTCCCCTGAGATCATTCCTTTTTCTGACTTGTATCGCCTTGGATGACTTTTGCCCCTTCCTCATACGCACTCATATACACGCAGTACACCACGTGAATTCTCCTGTGTGGGCTGCTTCCATGTGAAGATGTTGTTTCTGAGGTTTATCCCGGATGTTACTCGCATTGGTACCTTCTTCCCTTTTTACTGCTGAGTATTACTCATTGCACGTTCATACCACAATCTGTTGATCCATTCTCCAGTGGAAGGACACTTGGGTTGCCTTTCTTGACTGCCACTCTTCTGCTCCCACTCCCTTCTCTCCACAAAACTGCCCCCATGACCTTACACAAGTTTGTGGGCTTGAGTGAGCCTTCATTGTGGCTTGTGACCACCAATTATTCTCACTCCTGGTATTTGTGCCTCCGTGTAATCCCCTCCCCTGGTTTTGGAAACTTGCTTCTAACCTACAGAATATAGCAAAGGAGACAGGATGTCACTTCAGCAGTCGTGTTAATGAAGAATACAACTACCATCTAGACAGCAGGCTCTTTCCTGCCTTCTATGATTGTGCACTTGCGTGATGATGTGAGTTCCCCATTTTGGAGAAGCCCACTTGGCAAGGAACTGAGAATAGTCTCCAGCCAGTAAGGAATTGACTCCCGCCAACAAGCATGTGGGCTTGTGTCATATAATAAAGAATTTGGCTGATCTTTGTCCTTGGCTCCGGGGAGGTAATCTCTAAGTACTTGGAATCTCTCGAGTAACAGGAGCATCTTTGTTATTCACGGTGGGTGCCTTGTACCACACCTGGGTTTATGTCAGTGAGATGCCCCAGGATGGGGGCTGGTGATGCCAGAAAGACCAACCATGTGATTACAGGGTTACAGCCTTGACCTCTGGGGATGAGAGGGGGCTGGAGACAGAGTCAGTCATGTGGGCAATGATTCAATCAATCACACCTATGTAAGGAAATTCCGATGAAAACTCTGGACATTCGGGGAGCTTCCTGCTTGGTGACACATCCTGAGAATACAGGAAACTTTGCTTTGGGGGCCCTCTTAGACTCCCCCATGTGTCTCTTCATCTAGGTGGTCTTGATTTGTATCCTTTATAAGAAAAACTATAATCATAAGTATAGTGCTTTCCTGAATTCCTTGAGTGCTTCTAGCAAGTTAATGAATCTGACAGGTGTAGTAGGACTCTCCAAAATTTTAGATATTGGTTCAGAGGTGCAAGTGACTCTGGAACACCTGAGCCTGCAGCGAGGACAGTCTTGTGGGCACTGCACCCTCATCCTGTGAAGTCTGCTAACTCTGGGTGGTTCATGTCAGAATTGCATTGCAGCTTGGAAGTGGATCCTTCCCCAGCTGAACCTTCAGATTAGACCCCAGCCCTGGCTGATATGGTGATGGCAGCCCACAGAGGATCCTGCTCAGCAGTGCTTGGGTTCCTGGCCCCAGAAACTATGAGATAGTGAAGGTGTGTTGCTGAAGCTGCTGTATTTGTGGCAATGTTGTTACACAGCAACAGATAACCAAAATGCTGAAACCCTCGTGTGTACCCTTCCACACAATGAACCTGAGACAAGGAGGCACCTTCACCACTGCTGAGGGAGCTTCAGATGGTTTTCTGGAAAGGGAATGGGCTTCTGAGACAGAGCTGGATTCCAACTCCTGCACCTGCCTCTCCCACCTCTATGTCTTTGCACAAGGGAACCTGCCCTGCTGCCCCTCACTTTACATATTTCCCGTTAATTTGCTTCTGCTGCCCGAATTTCACCAAATACGATTTGGCAGGAAGCACGCTGGTTCACCTGCATCATGAACTCAGCAAGCTGGTCAAAATGTAGGTAAACCAGGATTTACATTTTTAATTTGCAGAGACACATTTTCCTACCTAGAGACAAAATCAGTGAGGGTGGTGAAAAAAAGAATGGAAAGCTGCCATTTCAGACCTTCTGATAATTTCATTTCCTGGCTAAGTAGGAGCCTGTGAGTCACACACAGCTTTTCCAGGAGACAAAAATGATTTTGGGTATAGAGACCGTGGCTTCACAAAAGCCACTGCAAATCCTGAAGAACGTGGCACTGTGCCCATGCATGATGGTTAGTCGAGTATGGTGCTGTGAGGTTTGTTCCAGCAGGAATTGGTCTGAGCTATTCTGCTGACATGAAAATGTATCCCACGACACTGACCTCTGCTTGTGCAATAAAACCTACTGATTAATAGTGTTGCTCTGTAACCACGGGTCCCAGCAGTCCTGGAGAGCTTGGTGCCAGCTTCTCAGCATTATTTACTGGTAAACGTGGGAATGATGACCCTCCAGAGGCCTCTGCCACATGCCCGTCATGGACTAAGAAACCCCAGCCAAGGATCTGTTTTGGGTTTCCCGAAGCTGAGGGGCTTTGCGAGTGACTCCTGACCCAAGACAGAAAGTCCATCTAGGAAGTTGTGTGAAAGGAGAGAGACCTTTTTGCCTGGGATACACACTCTCAGTTTAATGCTAGACAGCTGCTATATTGTATTCTTCTCCTGCAACACACAATATTTGGGTTCTACAAGTCTGCTTTAGCAATTGAACCTCACTAGCACAGTTAGTAAAAGAACTATTTGGTGGGGTGCCTGCCTGGCTCAGTCGGTAGAGCATGCGACTCCTGATCTCGGGGTTGTGAGTTTGAGACCCACAATGGACATAGTTTACTTAAAAAAAAAAAAAAAGGAACTATTTGGCTGTAGTCCTTAGCTCTTAAGACAGTGGGCAATGTTGGGGTGTCTGGGTGGTTCAGTCGGTGAAGCATCTGCCCTCAGCTCAGGTCATGATCCCAGGGTCAGGAGGGAGCCTGCTTCTCCCTCTTCCTCTGCCCTTCCCCGCCATGCTCTCTCTCGCTCACTCGCTCGGTCACTCGCTCGCTGTCTCAAATAAGTCAATAAAATCTAAAAAAAAAAAAGACAGTGGGCAATGTCTAGCAACCTGAGTGTCTGTCCAGGATTTTCCAATATTCTCAACAGTGAAGTACCTTCATCTCCTCGGAGGAACCCTTCAGGCTCAAGCCTCAGGCATTTGGAGGGGGCGGGGGTCCACATGCTTGATGCCGGAAATCTAAGACAGATGAGGACTTTCTGTGAGCCAAGTCTTTGATGCTCAGTGCGTAGGAGTATGTTGCAATCAGCAGCACCAACGTTTTCAAAACGTGGTGTGGAAGAAGGAACTGAAAAGTCAGAAAAATCATTACTTCCCACACTCTAGATACAGGGCAAGGCCTGGCCATCCCAGTTCCTTGTTGCTCACCTGCAGACGGCACAACCCAAGAAAGGTGCTGGAGAGGCTGACAGTGACATGCTGCCATGATCCCTAAGCTACTGTCACTCCTCTGTCTCAGTAAGTGTCCCAGAGCAACATGGTGGGACCATAGAAAACAACAGAATTGGTAAGAGGTTTGGCCTGCGGATGGAAAGAGAAAACATAACATTGGCTTTGGTTTAATGAGTGCATACTATGTATCAGAAATCTCGCTGAGTACAATGCATACGTTACCTCTAAACCAATGCATTGGAAATTTCAATTACTCTTGTTCCGAGTTCTTGATTTCTGCTGAATGCCTTTGCTACCTGTACTTTATTGGTTTAATGGGTTTTGCTTTTAATATAGACTCAGCCTTTTTTGCTTAAAGAAAAGTGCTTACAATACAAACTCTCCATACTATGAATAAAAATCCAGGTCAAATACAAGAACTATAAAGTAAATGCAGTGATAAGGAGACAATGTTAGGATATTGTAACTATACACTGGTCCCTGTCAAGCTTCTGAGCCTGAGACCTGCTAGTTCTTTGCTATAAAGGCAATTAGCCATGGGACACCTGGGTGGCTCAGCCGGTTAAGCGTCTGCCTTTGGCTCAGGTCATGATCCCAGGGTCCCGGGATCGAGCCCCGCATCGGGCTTCCTGCTCAGCAGGGAGCCTGCTTCTCCCTCTCTCACTCCCCCTGCTTGTGTTCCCTCTCTCGCTGTGTCTGTCTGTCAAATAAATAAATAAAATCTTAAAATAAAATAAAATAATAAAGGAAATTAGCCACAATCCACAACATCAGAGACTAGCTTCAATAAGCTTTCTTGGTGACATAATCAGAAACTCTACAGGAGTGCTTATTGCATGCGATCATGTAGTGCTTTTTTAAAAAAGATTTATTTGAGAGACAGCGAGCGTGCTTGTGCAAGAGTGGAGGGGAGAGGGAGAGAGAGAGAGAGAATCTCAAGCGGGCTCCACCCTGAGCACAGAGCGCCACACAGGGCTCGATTCCACAACCCTGAGATCACGACCTGAGCCGAAACTAAGAGTTGGACGCTTAACTGTGCCACCCAGGTGCCCCCATGTCGTGCTTTGATTGTCCTTTCTTCCACCTAAAATCATCACACATAACACAGATGGGATGTATTCCACATTTGGGAAATACCACTCTGATCCACCCCCCTCAAAAAAAAAAAAAAAACCGCAAGGGAGAATGAGGTCCACTTTTATAGAGGAGGAATCGAATTTGAGTCTGCAAAGTGAAGAGATTTGCCTCGGACTGCACAGGTTTACCACCTGTGTCAATCTCAAAGGGAAGCCAAATCTCAACCCAGACTGCCGAGCTCCAAAAACGTTTCCGCTCAGCCACGATGTTAAATTAAGAGGGACACATCCACAGGGTCCAGCGTATGGAGCACTCTAGGCATGTCTGAAAGGATTCTGGGGTTGGGAAAAGCCTGAGGAGGTAGACAGGAGTGGTTCAGAATGCTAGACTTGTACCTCAGAATGAACTGGTTTCCAGAAACCAACAAAGCTCGATATCCACAAAACGTCAGGGGAGGAGGACTTGCCTCCGCATGGCCCTCTGCACTCGGCTTCCTGTTACCGCCATGGTTCTCTGATCCCAAGACTTCAGGCTCCTCCCCAGAGCACCCCTAACATCAGAGGCTTGCCTTGGGAAGACACACCTGTTTGTGTCTAGAGAGAACACAGGACTGAGTTCTGAGGACTCTGCTCCTGCACACAGTCCTTGTGGGGCCTTGGGGAATGTGTGTCCGTAGTTACAAGTTCCCTCATCTTTCAGAATTACTTTCATAATCAGGTTCAAGCGTGAGTGGCCAGTCCATGCTCAAAAAATGATCTTTTTATGTTTATTATTCCTTGCATCATTCATTCTCCTCTGGCTGAGTTAGGCACTGATTCCACTTAGCATCCCTTCCAGAGATCTTCCCTGGGCACGTGGATGAGATTTTCATTCCTTTTTATGGCTGAGTACTCTTCTGCTTATGTATGGATCGCGTTTTGTTTATCCACCCACCTGTTGGTGGTCGCCTGGCTTGTTTCCACCTTTTGAAGGTTCCTGATCTTCCTCACGTCAGTGAGATTAACCTTTTCCTTAAAAAAAAAAAATTTTTTTTATTTGTCAGAGAGAGCGTGCGAGCACAAGCAAGGGGGAGATGCAGGCAGAGGGAGAAGCAGGCTCCCCGCTGAGCAGGGAGCCCGATGCTGGACTCGATCCCAGGACTCCAGGATCATGACCTGAGCCGAAGGCAGACACTTAAACGACTGGGCCACCCAGGCGCCCCAGATTAACCTTTTCTTTTTTGTGTTTGTCTTTGAGAGATAGTGAGTCTCTCCTAGTGGATTTCCTGTTCCCCCCTAAGCAACGAGGCCTCTGAGCAGCGCCCTGCTGAAGACTGAGATGAGATCCCATGAGATGTGCTGGGGCCTGTGAGCGGGAGATAAGTCCCATGTGACCTGAGGGTGTGTCCCCTGCTATCTACCAAGCTCTGCAAAGCCCTCAAGCCCCTTCGAGCTACCAGAGCGCAGGCCACTGAAGGAGTTAGACCCGCGTTTCTAAAAGATTTTTTTTTTACCCCATGTGGACCAGTTTTGTGTCTTAGCAGGGAAAAGGGGACGTCACCAGGTCTTTGTGCTGAAAATGCCTCCCTACCACCACAGTTCTCTGATCCCAAGAGGTCAGGCTGCCCCACAGAGTGTTCTTTACATCGCCTCCTACATCCCTCACAACACCTCCCTCAAAGGCCTTGGGACCGGAGTGTCTGGGGGAGTGCAGGAGAGGGCTGATGAAGGAGGGGCTTGGGGTTGCAAAAGCCCCGAACTTTCATAGGCCCCAGAAAGCCCCGTGAGCCAAGAGAGTGCCCACACAGACTTCTCAGTCCTGATCACAAGTCCCTCGTGAGGTGTTCCATGCTATCGAGAATTTATTTTCAGACTCCCACTTTCTCTGGGCATCTCACAAAGCCCAGAGACTTTCTGAGTCCCCAGACTTTACAGGCTCTTGCAGGGAAGTCCTTGAGCTCTTGCCCTTCACTTTGCTCTTCACCGTAACACGAGGCTGCTATTCACGGATGGCCTCACCTGCTATGCAGAGAGAAGTGACTCCTACTTTCCACTCAGTGTGGTCAGTCAAGAGGGAACAGGCTCTGTACTGCGGGTTCCTCTCCCTCTTTGCCAAGCACAGCAGGATGAACAAAGATCTGGGCTCCCAGGACTTTGGTGCTCAGAGACCAGGCTCAGTGCAGAGCTCAGGTCATGCTGCTTCCCAGGCAGGGGGACTTCTAATGCATTCGGGTGTCCACAGACGTGTGCTCTGACCACCTTTCTCCTTTTTCCATTCTCTGTGGATTCAATGACTGTGAGAGTTTTCAATACCTTAAACACATCCATTGTGCTCCCTATTTTATTGTGATAAAATATATGTAAATAACATTTACCCTCTTTATCTAGTACAGTGGCATTTAAATGCATTCACAATGATGTGCAGCCTTCACCCAAAACCTTTTCATCATCCCCAACACAAACCCTGTACTCATTAATCAATAAACATTTTTCCTCTCTTTTTCCCCAGCCCCCTGATAACCTCTATTCTACGTTCTGTCTGCATGAATTTGCCTATTCTAGGTACTTCGTGTAAGTGGAATCATATGATATTTGTCCTTCTGTGTTTGCTTAATTTCACACAGAAAAATGTTTTCCAAGTCCACTCGTTCTGTAGCATCTGTCAGAATTCCATTCCTTTTTTTTTTTTTTAAGGTTTTATTCATTTATTTGACAGAGAGAGACACAGCGAGAGAGGGAACACAAGCAGGGGGAGTGGGAGAGGGAGAAGCAGGCTCCCTGCTGAGCAGGGAGCCCGATGTGGGGCTCGAACCCAGGACCCTGGGATCATGACCTGAGCCGAAGGCAGACGCCCAACGACTGAGCCACCCAGTGCCCCCCCATTCCTTTTTATGCAAGAATAGTATTCCCCTGGGCGCCTGGGTGGCTCAGTTGGTTAAGCGACTGCCTTCAGCTCAGGTCATGATCCCAGGGTCCTGGGATCGAGTCCCGCATCGGGCTCCCTGCTCTGCAGGGAGCCTGCTTCTCCCTCTCCCACTCCCCCTGCTTGTGTTCCCTCTCTCGCTGTGTCTCTCTTTGTATGTATGTATGTATGAATGAATGAATGAATGAATGAATGAATGAATGAATGAATAAATAAATAAATAAATAAATAAATAAATAAATAAATAAATAAAATTCCCCTGTCTACAGAGACCACATACCTGGTCTCTATCCATGTATCCTCTAGTGGACGCTTGGGTCTTTTCACCTTTTAGCTATTTATCACTTTTTTCCAAAACATGGAGTGTAATATTTTTGACTGGCCTATGCAATTTTAGCTCAAGGGCCTGGTAACTTCCCCCCTTTTCACTACTAAGACACAAAACTGTTTCACACAGGCAAAAAAAAAAAGAGTAAAGTTCTTAGAAACACAGATCCAATGAGTATCTGTGGAATTAGAGCACTCTCTCTCTCCCAATAAATTCTGTAAACAGGCTTGATGTTATTTTTAAAGAGATCTTAGAACTCAGGCAAGCTGTAACCACCACATTTGGGTAGTAATGGCAGGATGTCTGTGTTGGTCAGAGACGCATATTACCACTATCATCACTTGCAAGTTTCTTTCCACGCCACCAGATTTCGAATATCTATGCTGCGGTCTTGAGAAATGTTTTTCTAGGTTTGGTTACTCAGCTGAATACTTGTATCACCCGGGAGATCTCAAAAGTTTGGTGCCTGAGCCCTATCCCAAGTGATTGTGATTCAAGGCTTTTGTGGTTTGGTCTGTGCCCTAGGATCTTTAACTGCCCCCGCCCCCTAGGAAAGCTCAATGTGAAGCCAAGGCTAAGAACAACTGAGCTGTAGTACCCTACAGATGGACCCAGGTGTGGGACAAGGGAGGAGGTAGGTTTTCCCCTTTCTGGGATATGCATGTGGATTCTTTGAGGCTTGTTTTAGAGGACCAAGCAGTAACCTCTGTCCTCAAAAGACGAAAAGACATTATGGCAAAGATGGGATCAGAAAGTCATCAGATTAAAGGCTGAGGTTGACTTAACTAGCCTTGTCCAGGGACAGAGCTCACTCCATCTTTGAGCCAATCCTGACTCACAAGTGGACATGGGTGACTGGGTGAGGTCTGGAAATGGAGCTGGCCTGGTGGGAGGAGGATGGGGAAGTTAGGGTGAGGTTGCATCTTTTCACATCCTTGTAAAAGCTGAGCTGTGATTACGCGGGGCATCTCGTCAGCCGAGCAGTGTGCATTTGTTGAGGTCCTCCTACATGCCAGGACCTGCACAGACAGTGGGGATGCTGAGATGAAGAACACAGTCTCTGCCTTCGACTGCTCACAGGTCGTGACATCCTGTGTCTCCCGCGGTATGAGGTCCATAGCTTCTGAGCTCTCTCAGTTACAAACTAAGGGTATCCATCTTAGTTTATGTCACTCAAAGCACCAAGCAGCCTTCAGCAGGAGGGTTCTTCTGGTACAGGCGAGACTGTCAGCAGACCCTCGGGTCCACCCAGGGTCTCAAAAACCTTCAGAGGTGGGCTAGGGTCGCATTTAAGTCCTGTGCTCTCACAACATCTGGCTCATGGTTCCTGCCTTCTACCCCCAGGGTGAGGTGGGGGGTCCACAGACGATAACGCCAGCCTGACAGAAATGCAAGACTGAGAGTGGTTCAGGACAGAAGCTGAGAAGAGAGGGGCTTGTGGACATTGCGGAACCAGGCCAGGTCCTGGGGCCGTGGGAGGAGTGAGCCGCACAGGAGACCTTCTGGGAGAGTGGGGAAGGAGCCCAGAGCAGAGCTGCAGCCACAGTCCAGGTGGGGAAATGAGAAGCCCCAGATGCATGACCTCCAGGGTCCGTGCTCAGCAGCAGCCCCCGGGGAGGCCCCTCGGGACGGGGCTCCAGGTGGATGCTCATGTCTCATGGACGGTTCTCTTGCAGGGCTGTGTGCTGGCCAAGGAAGCAGGACAACTGATGGTGAGTTCCTTCAGTCAGACCCTCCCTCCCCTTCACTCCAAACTCCCTGTGTCCCTTCTCTTTCCTTCAAGGGGTTTCCTGAGAGCAGACAAGGGCACCAAATCCCATCCCCAAATCTGCTTCCTTCCAGAGTCCCTTCCCAAGCCCTCCCTCAGGGCCTGGCCCAGCTCGGTGGTGTCTCGCAAGAGTAATGTGACGCTGCAATGCTGGACTTCTACCAAGAATGTCAACTTTGTTCTCAGAAAGGGAAAAGTTCATTTGCAGTCTGTGCAATCACGGGCTTCCACAGAGGGCCTGGCTGAATTTCACCTCACTGGCCTAAACAGCGACAATGCTGGAGAGTACGCCTGTGAGTACTACAGACGAGGGAGCCCGTACATACGTTCACAGCCCAGTGACGTCCTCCTACTGCTGGTGACAGGTGAGGAGGTGCCTCGGAGGGACATAGGGTCTTGCAGGGACAGGTGTGGGGGAGGAACCCGAGGGAGGGAGGGAACAAGGGGAGATGGAGAAACACAGAACAGACTGACCTGGCTCAGCTTCATCCAGGGCTTGCTGGGGAAATCTTCCCACAGTCAGAGTGGAAAGAGGGTGAGACCAGGGATCTGTCATTTCCCCCCCTTGGCGGGAACCCCTGCCAGGAGAACAAGGGAGGGGGGGAGGCCCCGGGCTGCTCCCCATGACCTTGGTGCCCTCCTTTTCTTCCAGGAGATTTATCAAAACCTTCCCTCCAAGCCCACCAAAGGGGTGAGGTGACCGCAGGAGACACTGTGACCCTGCAGTGCCAGAGGCCAGACAATATTTTCGTGCCTGTAATGTTCGCTCTACTGAAGGCAGGAGCAGCAGGGCCCATACAGGTCCAGAGTCCTGCAGGGAAGGAGACGGACTTCTCCCTCCGGACTGTGACAGTCAGTGATGCGGGGAACTACAGTTGTGTGTACTTTCTGATGAAGGCTCCTTTCCTGACCTCACAGCCTAGTGATCATCTTGAGATCCAGGTGACAGGTGAAGTTTTGCATGATTCTTAGGACATTTAAAAAAAATTTTTTTTAAGATTTTATTTATTTGCGAGAGAGAGAATGAGAGACAGAGAGCATGAGAGGGAGGAGGGTCAGAGGGAGAAGCAGACTCCCTGCTGAGCAAGGAGCCTGATGCGGGACTCGATCCCGGGACTCCAGAATCATGACCTGAGCCGAAGGCAGTTGCTTAACCAACTGAGCCACCCAGGCGCCCCTCTTAGGACATTTTAAAAATTTAATTAATTCATTAATTAGTTTGTTTTTATTTTGGCTATTTATTTTCTTTCTCCTGTTTTGTTGACCTATAACTGGCTTATAACACTGTATTAGTTTAAGGTGTGCATCTTTTTTTTTTTTTTTAACTGGAGAGCATTTCTTCTCTTTCTGATTCCTGTTTCTCCTTCACTTTCCTGAGCATCTCCTTTTTAAATCTCTCCTTTCCTACTTTCTAGTCTTTGGCGTTTGTTGCTTTGCATTCTTGGAGAATGTCTCAGGCTGTTCTTCCAAACGATCCATCCCGCCACCACCAGAGCCCCTCCTGCCACCCTGGGCGTCACTTAGAGTTGTGGTGCATCCTGCTGATGGCAACTTCATGGCGGTACCTTTCTCGCGCTTAGAACACGGCGCTCCCCCAGCTGCCTGCTTTTCTGGCATAGATGTGGGATCTTCTAAACTGATCTTCTTCTTGCTTCATTGGATGCTACACCCTGCTTCCTCGGTGGTGTAAATGTTTGCGTGTGCGCTGTGGTCAGCGAACGTTCTGTAGTTGGAAAGCAAGGTCCGGGCAGGCGGTGCTGAGGGATGCAGAGGGCATCCTGGGCTTGGTGGGGTCATCACGGGTCTCTCCCCATGGACTCTGTCTCCAGGGAGCATTGTTGCTGATGTCTTCAGACATGAACTCTGCACTCATGGCACGTGTGAGCTGGAAGATTCAAGTGCAGGTTCTGTCTAGGAGCCAGGGCCAATGGCGAGCCCTAGCTCTTCTTGGGTGAAGCTGAAATGAAATACATGGTGGTTCTGATGCTCAGCTACTAAGCTTGAATTTTCTGGAGCTCACTGGCTGCACTGTCTTTGCTCTGAGGAGGGGAGCAGACGGAAGCCCTGAACTACTTTCATTCTCCGTGCAGCACCTTTGGGTTTTGGGGTTGCTCCTTAGCCTGATTCCTACTACAAGGAAGGAGAAGGGGAAAGGGCAGTGTGGGAGGATCGAAATGAGATGAAGAGCAAAGAAATGAAGGAAGAGCGGTAAGGCAGAGAGAATAGAAAGGAGACAAAGGAAGACCCACCACAACTCTCAGGAAATCCCACGTGTGGTTTGAGTGATTACAACGTCAGTGAAGGTGCAGCTGACCACTGGCCAGGAAGCACAAGCAGGTGCAGGAGAGTCACACTGGGCAGATCCACGTGAGAAGGAGGGATGCTCCTTTCCGGCTGGTGCTCATCCTCTTCTCTCTCCCAGCTCCCCCAGATGCCACGTCGGGGGATTACACCATGGGCAACCTCATCCGACTGGGTCTGGCTGCCATAATGGTGGTGATTATGGGGGCTCTTGTGGTGGAAGCCTGGTGCAGCCAGAAGGAGTCTCCACGTGGATCCACATGAAACACCTGAGCGCCTCTCTTGTTCATGGGCTGCTGTAGTGACATGGGGTTCTCTAAACACCAAACTCTACCATGGGACTTCTTGTGTTTCTCAACATGGGCACAGATGGCATTTTTGGTGGGATATTTCACCATATGGGACTGTCCTGTTCATTGTGGGAACATTTAGCACCATTTCTCTTTCCCATTAAAGAGCAGTTGAAGCCCCAGTCATTGTGGAAGAAGATAACAAGCAATACTACTGTACTTTTTCCAACACCCCTAGATATGGAGGATGGGAGTGGGGTGGTGTTGCCTTGGTGGAGAGCCTGTGTTAGGAGGGCAGGGAAATAATATTCTTCCTCTTCCTCCTCCTCCTGACCTCAGGTCTGTACTACCCACATGCCCCTGGCTGCCCAGGGAAGGATGAATGTTGGTAGACAGCCCTGCTGATTCTTAACAGTCCCATGGAACCTGTATTCTTAGCTCTATGAAGAACCACTTGAGGACAAGAGATGGCTTCCGTCCTGCTGTAGCTTCACCTGGGGCAGAGGACAGGCTGAAGCATAAAGACACACCTAATAAATTTGGATGACTTGAAAAAATACTTAAAGCTTCAGAGTCAGGCTGGGTAACCTGTGTAGTAACTTCTGTAGGAACTGTTATTCCATTGAAAAGTGGGGAAAACACTGCTTCCTGCATATTTATTATTGACTTCTCTCCATTCTCTATTTTGTGCTTCTGGACTAGCAATTAGTCAAGTATTTAAATTTCTGTATTTATCACACATGTCTTAAATTTTATTTTACATAGTCCCAACATTTTACCTAATTTGGGGAGACTTCCTCTCAGTTTCACAGCATCAAGTTGCTCCTGAGGTGCACCCAGCATGTCTTCATCTTCTGGTGCAGGTGTAAAATGTTATCCTCAATATTTTTATTTTCAAGATCTGTTGTTGTTTGTTAATAATCCTGTTCTTTTTCACAAATACTCATTCTTATTCTAGAACTGTTATCTCCTCTCTTATAACCCGGGAAATACACTTATAAAAACCCAGTTCTGATCGGAGTCGAGTAGTAAAACTCATGGTTCCTCCTGACAACAGACCCCTTTCATTGCTACTTGGTCAAGAGTGGTGAAAATGGACAGAACTCTGGATTTATGGGTGGCACATCAGACAGACACCAGCTGCTCAGTCTATAACCACTTCTTGCTGCAGTATCTGCCTTGGCCATGTATGGAAAAGCCTTCATGATGTTCCTGCTCCCTAATGTGTGACTGCCCACGTCTACTTTAGACTGTGTTTCCTCTTCAATCAGATCCTACTTTCATTCTGAACTCATTCGACTCACAGGAAGTTGCAAACTCAGTACAGACACTTGCACCCTGCATCCATTTTCTCCAATGGTTCCATTGTAGGTCCATCACAATACCAAAACCAAAAAGTTGACCCTAGTACAGTGTGTAGGGTTCTATATTGTTTTATCACATTTAGATTCAACTGGACACGGGTATAATCAACATACTGGTGTAGTCTATCACCATAAAGATGTTCCTCACAGTGTGCCTTACTGTCACACCCTATCTCTCTCCCCAACACCACTGCAACCACTGGCTTGTTCTCCATCTTTAAAATTCTGTCATTTTCTGAATGTTTTATGTCATATTATTTTCATTTCCTGAATGTGGGTGTGACACAAAAACCTGTGGGTCATAGGTCATATGAGAGGAAAGAAGGGAAAGGCTGGAGGAAAGAGGTCACTGCCCACACTGAGCTTCCCTCCATCCCATGGTTGCAAAGCTGAAGAGGGGACCTTAGAGCAGGCTGCAGGGCCAGTATGACCCTGGAACTCCTTTCCCTCCTCTGCTTTGGTAAGTTCCTTAGGATGGTGTGCTGGGGTTCAAGATGAGGGTGGGCTGACAGATTGAGAGATAGAAGAATACAAAAGAAATAATGTCAGTTTGTATTTACTGATTGCTTCACCCACGTCAGGACCCACGCTGGAGGCTTTACATCCATCCACTGCTCAAGTTTTTGCCAATATTCAAATATGTACATTCCACATTTGTGATGGTATGCTATGCCTACACCACCTTTACTTAATATATTATTTACTGACAGTGAGTCAATATTTTTCTTTAAATAAAGGTATTTATTTGAAAATGGAAACTACTTAGCAATAATTTAACAATGCATGTCACCTACCTGAAAAAGGAGAATTAATACAAATATATAATACTATGGAAAGGCAGAAAATGTTAGGACATTATAGCCTTATGCTCTTTTCAGGTTTCTGAGCCCATGGCTGACCATTTCCTAGCTATAAAGGGCGATGAGCCAGAGATAAAGTTGTTCTAAAGTACGTCAAGATGATCTTCTCTCCTTGATGTAATCAGAAGGGTTTGATTGAAAGGGTAATAACTTTTTGATGCTGTGATCAAAGCTATAGGATATTGTGTCAGTGTGTTGCCTAAAATCATCGCCTTGAGCACCTGTGGTTCATATTCCAACCTGTAGGAAATACCACTCTGACCCTTGCAAACAGTCCTGCATGGTGGGAATTAGGCCCACAGGGTTAAATGAGGACCCTGAGATTGATAGCTGAGGGTTCCTGCGCAGGGCCACACAGAGAATGAGCAGAACAGTCAAAATGCAAGCCCAGCCTGTCTGCCTCTAAAGTCATGACTGTTCCCACTGGGTTATAACAGGAAACTAAAATGGATACAAGTATGGCATCTCCAAAACAGAAATGTCCTGGGGGTGAACAGATGCTGAGTAGGGCAAATTCTAAAGCATAAAAGAGGAGCCGTTCATCATGGCAAGTGAAAGGCCAGTCACAAAAGACCACATTCTACACGATTCCATTCATATGGAAGTCCAGAATAGGGAAACCCACAGAGAAAGTAGGTTAGTGGTTGTTTAGGGCTGGAGATGGTGGAGGTGGGGAAATGCAACAAAAGTAGAAGAGTAATGGGGTATCATTTTGAAGTCATGAAAGTGTTTTAAATTTGACTGTGTGAAGTTTGCACATATCTGTGAATATAGGAAAGCCAATGAATTGTACATAGTAAATAGGTGAACTATATGGCAGGCATGTGAATTACATCTCAATAAAGTTGTTTAAAATTTCCTGGGTGTGAAATGGGGTACAGTTCAGGATGTCTATTTGCAGGTGCAAAAAACCCTAGTTTCCTCAGACAAGGACATTGTGTGGTTTTCAGCTTGTTTTGGGGCACCATGACTAGATCTGAATTTTTCTTTTTAAAGATTTTATTTATTTGTCAGAGAGAGAGAGACAGAGCACAGCTCTGATCCCTAGACTCTAGGATAGTCTATAGGGCTCTCTTTATGTCAGACCTCCACCTTGGGAAAATGAAAAGGATTCCATTCTTAGGTCTTCTGTTTTTCCAGGAGAGGAGTGAATCAGGTGTATGTTCTGGAGCCTCCACTCCTGCACATGCTGGTCGATTGTATTTGAAATACATCACATGGTGCTGGGGCTTGATTTCCTTATTCATACAATGAGGATAATTATGACCATCTGCAGGGCTGTCACAGTGATGAGAGACTGTGTATGCATAGGAAGATTACTGTTATTTCCATGGGGGAATGAATCCTTCTATCATCCCCCCTCCCTGGCTCAGGTGCTATTTCTGCTGGAAATCGCTCATGCAGAACTCTCCATCATCTGTCAGTGAAGCACACAGGTCCCTGCTGGTCCCTGCTCTCTTCTGTCCTTGACAGAATGTGTGCCCATTAACAGGCTCCAAAGCACCCACTCCTTGTGAGATAAGACTTCTGAGAATGGTCTCCTCTTATCACTGTATTGGTGATGTGCAGAGTTGACACAAGATGCCAGTTAGATAAGCAGCCGGGTGGTCAAGTGTGTATCCAACCAACATGTCCTTCCAACCATGTTGGGTGAAGCCCTCAAGCCTCAGGGACACCCCACTCAGGAGGCAGGTAGAGGGTCCCGGTCCCCCCCCACCCCAGGAGTGTCTGCAGGGGTGAGTGAGGGCAGGTGTTGAGGCAGGAACTGAAGAGGTCTGAATGTTTCAGAACCCTGTGTGGTCCTTAGCTGGGAGATGGCACATTGAGGGCATTAAGTTCTAGTAGGAATTCACTTAAAATCACTTCATGATGCTTTATGATGGTATTTTTTTCTTAACTAAGTTTAATTTATAGGCTAAGCTGGGTTCTCACACCTGAATTCCTCCCTTTGCTCTGATTTTCCAACAACTATGGACAGCTTAAAGTACCTTCATATTCTCTGACTCTACAATATCACACTTGCTCCCATAGGAAATCTCATTTCATCACTAACTCTGCTCACTTTGCTCTGTGCAGTTACATGAAGTTGATGTAGGTCTTCTACCTTTTACCTACTTTCAGCAACATCTGAGGTGGCACGTGTCTGTCCTGGGAGCTCCACCCATTCTGCAGGGACTAGGCAGGAGGGACAAAGGTCCAGGCCCCCAGGGCTTTGATGCACAGGGACTAGGCTCTGTCCAGAAGTGGGGGTCAATGCTGCTTCCCATGTGCAGCTTCCAAGTGGATTCAGGTGTCCACAGGCCTCTGCTGTCTCCACACTTGTCCTTCCTCCATTTCCTGGGGTCCTCTGACTTTGCAATAGCATTCCTTCACATACCTTGGCACATGTCCACTACCTTCATTTTCTCAGACTGCAGATTTAATTTTCATGATGCTTGCATGTGTTTGCACCTAAAAGTCCCAGTAACTTCTCACCTTCCCCCTGAAACACCAAACTGTTCCTCCATACAGAAGAAAGAAATGAAATTTCTGTTCTTAGAAACACAGGCCTAGCTAAACTCCTACTTCTCCTTGTTAACATAATACCCTTCTTACAATAATATTCATGTATATGATATAAATTTCCAGGAGATCTTAGCACTCAGGCAAAAGTATCCACCCCACACAGATACTCCACAAATCATACTATTACCATCCTCTATGCCAAACTGCATTTAATCTAGCCATTTCTTCTACAGCCTGTGTTACATGTTCTAAATTGCTCCACCTGAGAGGGGAGGCAGTAACCATGGGGAAGCCTAGTGACTGGGTCTGACTCTAGCCAACTCCTGCCATTACATAAGGCCATCTGGCATAAAGTGACCAGGAATCTTCTCCCTCAATAATGCCTTATATCTCATGGGTGATTCCTCTACAGGGTTGTGTGTTGGCCAAAGAGACACAATAGTTCGTGAGTGTTCTCTTTTTCTTATTTAAATGTTACTAGTTTTTTCATCCCAAATTCCCCATCCTTTCCTTCTCCTCTAAATGGAATGTAAGGTGAGTGTGTCATCTGATCTGAGCTCTACTTCTTTCCAGGGTTGCTTCCCAAGGCTTCTCTCAGTGCCTTCCCCAGTTGGGTGGTATCTCCCAAGAGTAATGTGATTCTTTTTTTTTAAATTTTATTTATTTATTTATTTATTTATTTATTTATTTATTTATTTATTTACTTACTTACTTATTTATTTATTTTAATTTTTATTTATTTGACAGAGAGAGAGAAACAGCATGAGAGGGGATAGGGTCAGAGGGAGAAGCAGGCTCCCCGCCGAGCAGGGAGCCCGATGCGGGACTCGATCCCGGGACTCCAGGATCATGACCTGAGCCGAAGGCAGTCGCTTAACCGACTGAGCCACCCAGGCGCCCAGTAATGTGATTCTGATGTGCTCAACTCTTACCAGGAACGTAAAATTTGCTTTCAGAAAGGAAGGAAAGCCACTCTCGGATCCCATGCCGCTACCCAGTTCTACAGGGATCCAGGTTAAAATCGACCCCTTTCACCTGAGTCACTGATGCTGGGGCGTACACCTGCGAATACTCCACGGAAAGGGCCCCTTTCAGAAGCTCTCCAGCCAGGGATACTCCTCTACTGTGGTTACAGGTGAGGTGGGGGTACTTTGGGATGACTTTTGGCATCAAACACAGCCTTCCTTGGCACAGAGAATGAGGCAGAACTAAAAGAAGACTGGGAGATGAGAAGCGCTCACCCTCCGTGCCCCCAGCTGAGAAAAACAGAATAATCCAGAGTCAGCTGGTTGAACCCACGCCTTGGTGGGAGTCATAACCCTGCCCGGACATCGAAAGAGGGCCAAGATCAGGGATCTCCCGTCTTTTCTCCCACGTCAGAGCTCGCTCCCAGAAGGCCAAGGGAAGGAGAGAAACCAGGCTACCGCTGACATTCTGCTACCGGAAGTGACCTTCTGTTAACGGAAGCGATCTTCCATTACCGGAAGCGATCTTCCATTACCGGAAGTGACCTTCTGTTAACGGAAGCGATCTTCCGTTACCGGAAGTGACCTTCTCTGACAGGAAGTGACCTTTCTTTACAGGAAGTGACCTTCGCTTACAGGAAGTTTGCCCAAACTTTCTCTCCAGGCCCTCGGAAGGCATAAGGTGAACCCCGGAAGAAATGTGGCTCTGCAGTGCCACAGGCCGGACAATATGCTTGAAGACGTAATGTCTGTTCTCCTGACAACAAGTACTAGAAAGCAGGTACAGCACCAGAGACCTAAGGAAGAGCAGACTTCTCCCTTCAGAAGGTGACAGTCGATGACACTGGAAACTACAGCTGTGTCTACGACCAAAGGCTCCTTTCTTGGCCTCACACCCCAGTAACCGCCTTGAAATCCTGGTAACAGGTAAGGTTTTACATGATGTTAAGAAAGATTTATTTTAAGATTTTTATTTATTTGACAGAGAGAGACACAGCGAGAGAGGGAACACAAGCAGGGGGAGGGGGAGAGGGAGAAGCAGGGAGCCCGATGCGGGGCTCGATCCCAGGACCCTGGGATCATGACCTGAGCCGAAGGCAGACGCTTAACGACTGAGCCACCCAGGCGCCCCATCTTTTTTTTTTTTAATAAAGATTTTATTTATTTATTTGAGAGAGAATGAGATAGAGAGAGAGCATGAGAGGGGATAGGGTCAGAGGGAGAAGCAGACTCCCCGCCGAGCAGGGAGCCCGATGCGGGACTCGATCCCGGGATCCCGGGATCATGACCTGAGCCGGAGGCAGAGGCTTAAGGGACTGAGCCACCCAGGCGCCAGATTTTTTTTTTTTTTTTTTTTTATCAGAGAGTGTTCTGTTAGTCTCTGATTCTCATTTTTCCATCATGTCCATTATGTTCTTTTTATGTCTCTTGTAATTTCCATTTCCTTGCCTTTTTTATTTTGCATTCTTGGACGATTTCTCATGTCATTCTTTAAAATTACTAAGCTAGTCACCAGCAGAATTCCTTCTACTGTTGTCTGCAGCTATTACAATTTTGGTTTATCTTGGTATGAGTGACTTTCATTCTCGATGACTCTATCTTGTTCTCCAAATGTGGTGTTTCCCCAGCAGACTGCTTTTCTGTCATGGGTGCAGTACATAGTTGTATATCCTGGCCCACACTACTTGTTGCCTTCAAAAATTATCTTTTGTTTCAGGGAGCCTGGGTGGCTCAGTTGTTAAGCGTCTGCCTTCAGCTCAGGTCATGATCCCAGGGTCCTGGGATCGAGCCCCACATCGGACTCTCTGCTCGGTGGGGAGTCTGCCTCTCCCTCTCCATCCGCCCCTCCCCCAGCTCATGCTTTCTCTCGCTTTCTCTCAAATATATAAAATCTTTAAAAATAAATAAAATTATCTTTTGGGTCCTACTATAATTCTGCTTCCCTGGATGCTACACACTAATTTCTCAGTTTATAACTTCCTTTTTGTCTTACTGATTCTCCCCATAGCCAGTGAATATTTTATAATTAGAAATAAAGGTCTGGGGGCGCCTGGGTGGCTCAGTCGGTTAAGCGTCTGCCTTCGGCTCAGGTCATGACCCCAGGGTCCTGGGGTCGAGCCCCGCATCGGGCTCCCTGCTCAGCGGGGAGCCTGCTTCTCCCTCTCCCTCTGCCTGCCTCTCTGCCTATTTGTTCTCTCTGTCAAATAAATAAGTAAAATCTTTAAAAAAAGAAAAGAAAGAAAGAAAGGTCTGTACGGTCAGTAATGAGGGGTGGAGGGGGCTTTCTAAAGTTGGTGGCATCATTACAAATTTCTCTCCATGGACCTTGCCTCAGGGACATGCACAGGCTCCTCATTAGGAATCAGAGCCACTGCCAGACTCAAGCTCTTCTTAGGTGCAGCTGAAATGCACCATGACCCAGGTGCTTAGCTGCTGAATTCCAAAATTCCTGAGCTCACTCCCTGTGTGAAATTAAGTTTTGTGCTCTGAGGAGGATACTGGGCCAGCTCCTAGATTTCAGTACTCTGTTGGTGCTGTAATAGGTTGATTTTTGTCCCCCAGAAGGTATGTTTGAGTCCTCCTAACTCCTGGTGTGTGTGAATGTGATCTTCTTTGGAAATAGCATTACTTGGTCTTTGCAGATAATCATTTAAGTTCATATGAAGTCATAGTGAATTAGGGAAGACTCTTACTCAATATGACTGGTGTCCATAAAAGATGAAGAGTAAAGACACGGAGACACACAGAAGAAAGACAGCTATGTGACAACAGAGGCAGAGATTGGAGTGATGCTGTCACAAGCCAAAGAAGGCTTGGAGCTTCCAGAAGCTGCAAGATGCAAAGAGAGAAGGATCAGAAGGATCTTTCCCTAGAGTCTTTGGAGAAAGTATTGCCCTGTCAACACCCTGACTTCAGATTTCTAACCTCCAGACTGTGAGATAATACATTTCTGTTATGTTAAGTCACCCAGTTTGTGGGACTTTGTTACAGCAGCCCTAGGAAACCAATAAAAGCACTCTAAGTCTTTTTGTGTGCTCCTAAGACTAATTCCTAATCTATGGAGGGAGAAAGGAAATATGCGAGGGTGGAAATGAAATAAAGAGCAAATAAACGAAGAAAGAGATGAGGCAGAGAGAATATAAAGAAAAGACCAAAGAAGGACCATTATAGCCCTCTTGAAAGCCTATGTTTTCAGTGAATAAAACTTCAGTGAAGGTACAGGTAGGTGACCACGCCAGGAAACACCAAGTGGGTGTGTGAGAGTCACAGTTGGTAGATTCATTTGAGAAGAAGGGATACCAGTGATGACCTCATTCTCTGTTTTCCCAGGTACCACACTGGGAGATTACACCAAGGTTAACCTCATCCAACTGGGTCTCGCTGCCATGTTTCTTATTATCACCAGGATTTTGCTGGCTGAAGCCTGGCATAGCCAGAAGGAGTCTCCATGAGGATCCACATAAAGCATCTGAGTACTTATCTTTTTCATGGGTTTTTATAGTGATACAGGGTTCTTTCAGCACCAAACTATATCATGGAGATTTCCCGTTTCTCAGTAGGAGGGCCAGTGGCCTTTAGGTGGGATACTTCTTTACCATGTGTGACTGTCCTATTGATTATAGAAACACTTAGCATCTATTTTCCCTCCCCACTAAACACCAGCTAAAACCCACAATAAGCGTGGAAGAAGAAAAAAGACAAGTACTACAGTACTTTCTCAGACATCCCTAGATACAGACAATGGGGAGCAGGGTGTTCCCCTGGTGGAGAACCTGTGTTTGGAGGCCAGGAGAAATAACATTCTTTCTCTCCCTCCCTCCCCTGATCTCTCTCTCTGTCCTTCTCTACCTACAGGCCCCACAGCTGCCCAGGGGAATGATGGATATTGATCAAGTTAGACCCACTGACCCTGAACAGTTTCCAGTGGATCGTGCATTCTCACCTCTGCTGAGAGCCACTCCAGGACAAGATGATGGTTTCCTCTTCTGTACTCCTCACTTGGGGCAGAGGACAGGCCTGGGCATAAAGATTAATCCAACAGAATATTAATTTATGTAACACAGGACATCTTTTCCTACTATATGATGTACCATTTCTGTTATAAAGCAAACTTCCGTAAGTATATAGATCTGTTTCTGGGATCATTATTTATTTGGTCAATGTGGCTTTACTGTGCATTTTCCTGACAGTTAATGTCGTTGAGCATCTTCTCATGTACTACTGGATATATGTATATATTCCTAATGAAGTATCTGATGAAGGATTTTGCCCATTTTTTAAGCAGACTCCAGGAGCGCAACCTGGGGCTTGAACTCATGACCCTGAGATCAAGATCTGAGATCAAGAGTCGGACACTTAACCGACTGAGCCACTCAGGCACCCCAACTCTGCCCATTTTTAAATTGGGTTGTTAATCTTCTTGATATTGAGTTGTAAGAATATATATATAATCTGGGCACAAGTCCATTATTAACAGACATGTACTGCAAATATTTACCTCAGTCTGTTACTCCTCTCTGCACTTTTAAATGAAATTTTGCATCTTTTTAAAAGCTAAAGTTTTGAATTTTCATGAAGCCTATAAATTATGAAAGTTTTTCTTTTACAGCTAGAGCTTTTGTATTCTATCTAGGAAATTTCTGGCACACATAGATTGTGAGTCCTTGTTTTCTTCTGTAGGTATGATAGTATTACCCCTTACATTTAGGTCTATTATCTTTTCAAAATTTATAGAGATGGTATCAGGTAAGAGTCAAGGTTCATTCTTTTAACATACAGATTAACCCAATTGTTCCTGTACCATCTCTTGAAAGGGTTATTCTTTTTCCACTGAATTATTTTGGCATTTTTGTTTAAAAACCAGTTTACCAGGGGTGCCTGGGTTGGGGGCTCAGTCGTTAAGCATCTGCCTTTGGCTCAGGTCATGATCCCAGGGTCCTGGAATTGAGCCCCGCATTTGGGCTCCCTGCTCAGCGGGGAGCCTGCTTCTCCCTCTGCCACTCCCCCTGCTTGTGTGCTCTCACTCTGTCAAATAAATAAACAAAATCTTTTTTAAAAAATCCTTGATTTAGGGGTGCCTGGGTGGCTCAGTCGTTAAGCGTCTGCCTTCGGCTCAGGTCGTAATCCCAGGGTCCTGGAATCGAGCCCCGCATCGGGCTCCCTGCTCGGCGGGAAGCCTGCTTCTCCCTCTCCCACTCCCCCTGCTTGTGTTCCCTCTCTCGCTGTGTCTCTCTGTCAAATAAATAAAAAATAAAAAGATAATAAATAAATAAAAACCAGTTTACCATAGATTAACTAGTTGCTTTCTGAACTCTGTTGGTCCACTGATCCAATACCACACTATATTTATTATTGTAGTTTTTTTAAGTCTTGAAAACAGAGGCTGTTGGCGTTATCAGGTTTTCAAATTATTCTGGCAGTTCTAGATCCTTTAAATTTCCTAAAATTACATTTTAGAATCAACTTGTCAATTTCTACCAAAGGCTACTGGGATCCTGATTGGCCTTGTGTTTACACTATATATCAACTCAGAGAGAATGGATATCTTAATAATGAGTGTTCTGATCCAGGGGCACAGTTTATATCTTTATTTAGACTTCTCTCATTTCTCTCATCAGTGTTTTGCCTTTTTCAACATACAGGTCTGGCATATGTCAACTAAATTTTATCCTTAGGTTTTTCATGTTCCTTTACATGATACAAAGGATACTGCCTCCTAAATTATCACTTGCAGTGGTTCCCTGCATGTGCATATAAGTTCAGTTATTTTTTTGTTACCAAGACATCCTGCTACCTTGCCAAGCTGACATTATTTAACTTTTTGTAGATTCCTTAGAAATTTTTACATAGTCCATCATATTCTCTGTGACTAGACACAGTTTTACTTCTTCCACTTCTAATCTGTATACTACTTTTTTTTTTTTTTTTTTTTTTTGCCTAATTTCTCTAGCTAGAATATCCAGAATGCTGTTGAGGAAATTAGTGATCTTGCCTTCTACGTGATCTTACAGTGAAAGCATTCAGTTGTTCACCATTAAATATGCTATTACTCATAGGTTTTTCACAGATGTCCTTTATACATCAAAGGAAGTTCCCTTCTATGTTCCTCGTTTGCTGAAACCTCACACCTTATAAAAATGAAATCAAAGTGGATTAAAGATTTGAATTTAAGATGTAATATTAGAAAGCCTTTGAAAGAGGGGTGCCGGGGTGGCTCATTTGTTAGGCGCCTGCCTTTGGCTCAGGTCATGATCCCAGCATCATGGGATGGGGAGGACAGCCTGCTTCTCCCTCTCTAGCTCCCCCATGCTTGAGTTTCCTCTCTCACTGTCTCTCTCTGTCAAATACATAAAATCTTAAAAAAAAAAAAAACACCTTTGAAAGAAAACAGAAGAAAATCATCAGGATCAAGGGCTTGGTGAAGAGTTACTAGACACAACACCAAAGCATGACCCATTACAGAAAAATGCATGAAGTTAGATTTAATCAAAATTAAGAGCTACCACTCTGCAGAAGACTCAAAAGGGGTCAGAAGACAAGCTACAGTCTGGGAGAAAGTATTTGCAAATCCTGTATTTGACAGAGGCCTTCTATCTAGAATAAATCAAGAACTCTCAAATATCAACAATAAAGAATTTTTTTTTTTAATTGGGGAGTTGGTTAATGGAGACAGAGTTTCAGTTCTGCAAGAAGAGAGCCCTGGAGGTAGATGGTGGTGGTGGTTCTACAACAGTGTGAACGTATTTAATACCACTGAGCTGCACACTTCAAAATGGTCAAGGTACTAAATTTTACATTACATGTGCTTTACCACAATAAAAATATTGGAAAAAAATTAAAGAACGGCAAGGCACCTGGCTGGCTCAGTTGGTAGAGCACAGTATTCCTTTTCTTTTTTCCCCCAAACTTTTAAATTCTAGTTAGTTGACATATAGTGTAATATTGGTCTCAGGAGTAAAATTTAGTGATTCATCACTTGCATACAGCACCAGTGCTCATCATAGCAAGTGCCCTCCCTAACACCCACTACCTATTTAGCCCATCCCCCACCCACTTCCCTCCATCAACCCTCAGTTTGTTCTCTATAGTTAAGAGTCTATTATGGTTTGCATCCCTCTCTTTTTTCCCCACTTCCCCTATGTTCATCTGCTTTGTTTCCTAAATTCCACATCAGAGTAAAAGCATATGGTATTTGTCTTTCTCTGACTTATTTCACTTAGCATAATATACTCTAGTAGAACATGCATTTCTTGATCTCAGGGATGAGTTCAAGTCCCACATTGGGTGTAGAGATTACTTAAAAATAAAATCTTTAAAAAAATTAGAGAGTGAGCAAAAGTCATAAACAGTCATTTCCTCAAAGAGATTATATGATGGTAAATAAGCACATAAATGTGTGTTCAACATCACTAGCCATTAGGAAAATTCCAATTAAGACCGCAACTTAAGGAACATATCAATAAGAACATCTAAATTAAGAATAATGACAATATCAAATGTGGAAGGATGCAGAGAAAGTGGATTTCTCATACAATGCTTCTGGGAGCTTACATGGTATAGTTGCTCTGCAAATTATTTTGGTAGTTTTGGTTTTTTTAAATTAATTTTTAATTTTTTTAAAAGATTTTATTTATTTATTTGACAGAGAGAGACACAGCGAGAGAGGGAACATAAGCAGGCGGAGTGGGAGAGGGAGAAGCAGGCTTCCCGTGGAGTGGGGAGCCCGATGCAGGGCTCGATTCCAGGACCCTGGGATCATGACCTGAGCCAAAGGCAGATGCTTAACGACTGAGCCACCCAGGCGCCCCTGTTTTTCGTGGGTTTTTTTTAAATAAAACTAAATATGTACTCACCATATGACCCAGAAATCTCAATCTTGGGCATTTATCCCACAAAAATGGAATTACACATCCACAAAAAACTTGTACATAAGTGTTTGTATCAGCTTTATTTGCAATAGCCAAAACCACGGAACATCAACAATGTCTGCAGGTGAATAGTTAAACTCATACACCCACATGGGCTACTGCTCAGGAATAAAAATTAACAAATTACTGAGATTGAGACATACAATTTGGATGGGTATCAAGGGCATTTTCTTAGTGAAAAAAAAAAACCCAATCTCAAAAACTCACAGGCTGTCTGATCCCATTAATGTAGACCACCCCTCTCCAACACAAAAGATTTTCATTCATGTGAAATCAGTGCCCAGACATGGTCAAATTCATGAATTCAGGCCTCAAGCACTAACTCACACAGAAGGACCCCAAACCCCTAAGATCTGAAGGATCTGACTGAGGTTGGTGTTGAGCCTATCAGGAATTCTTTGGTTAATCAAAAATTTGCTGGTTATTGGTATGGAATGATGTAATCAACGTTAGTGACTGTATTCATCTCCTCACCTGCTGCAACAAAGTACCACAAACTGGGTGGCTCTCAACAATAAACATTTATTCTCCTGCAGTCTGGAGGCTAGAAGTCTGAAATCAAGGTACTGGAAAAGCCATGTTCTCTCTGAGGGCTCTAGGGGGAGATCTGTTCCTTGCCTTTCTCTTAGCTTCTAGCCTTGCTACATCTTTGGCGTGCTTGCCTTTCAGAGCGATCAATCCACTCTCTGCCTCTCTGGTCACCTGGTCTACTCCCTCTGTGTCTCTTCTCTTTTTATAAGGACACCAGTGATACTGAATTAGGACACACCATAATGTCCTCATCTGAACAAGTGTACATTTGCAAAGACCCTATTTCCAAATAAAGCCACATTCATCGGTATTGGAGGATAGGAGTTCAACATCTTTTGGGGGGCCACAAATCAACCCATATAGGAGATGGCTGACTTGCCTGTCTACCCCTATTATTTAAGGAAGTGCTTGTATATCCGTAGTTGGAACTGCTGTAACTACTTCTCCACTTGACCCTATTTATCAGATTATGGAAAACAATGCTTAAAGGCACAGCATATGAAAAGTATATTGCAGGGGTGACTGGGTGGATGAGTCAGTTAAGCGTCTGACTCTTGA